CCCCTTCGCTTTGTTGATGTTTTTTCTCAACCCCGCTCAATTTTGATGTTCGGATGGTCGCAGTCAGCAAATGTGAAACCATAGCAACGCATCAATGACAACTACTTCCCCAACGTTCAATGGCAACCGCTTTGATCCATAGAGAGTGGATTTAAAGTACAAGAAGTATAGCTCTCTATCATAGATAATTAGTTATATACCTGTTTGTAGCTTGTAGAATCAGCAGGAGGTGGTCAAGGCTGAATGATTTCAGCTACAAAAGGTCCAATGAGTAACAACAAAGGTCAATTCATACTTCTCAAGACATATCCCAAGCCTAAATCTATCAAGACATACACTTCACAGTACAGAAAGGGTACAGTATATTGTGTGACTCGACGCAAAGCATTTGGAAAACAGAGTGAGTGGGGATCAATTGATTTGGTCATCTCAAAGTTTACAATAAAGTAACAAGAAGAGATAGCTGTATCCAAACATCCCAGCAAAGTCTTGGACCATCCACTATAGTAGCTCTTCTAATTCGGTATCTCTGAATCATACCATGGTGATTATCATGTGTTATTCACTCCAGTTCGGATAATGAATCTCCGTCTAAAGGTGACATCAAAAAACAATAATGATATGGGCAAAGTAGCAACAATCATAAACCATTCAAGAAATTGAGTCTCCACAACCATTGAATCGAGCCTTTGGAAACATAGAGGCTACTGCTAAATTAAACTTCAAAGAAGTCTGTCCAGCGTAAGTACCTTTTCCACGCTGATCAAAGTGACTTGGTACACATGTTTCAGTTCCGCTTCCAACATAGTCAAGCGATAGCATATCCAGGGTAAGTTTCTCATATGCATTCATCAACAAACCAATCTTACTGGGATAATTAATACCATCAATCTATGCGACAAGGACTTCTATTCAATTATGCAACATACACTGTATGGATTTAATGAAAACTCTATAAATCTTGCTCAACAGCTTCCAAGTCTCCCAGCTTCTCTAAGCCGAGCACAACTTGGGGTCTTTTAAACCATTTAAGTGCTAAACTGCTCAAGACAACACTAATAGAACTTAGTGCCATAGCAGCACTAGCCCACACAGGTGACAGTCTAGCGTGGTTGATCGGGTAAAATATACCAGCCGCAATAGGAATTCCAATGGCATTGTAACAGATGGCCCAACCAAAATTGAAGTAAACTCTGAGGAAAACCTTTTTGCTCAACTTGAGAAGAGTCAGTAAAGTTACAAGAGGATGAGAAGGAGACAACAATACAAAGTCTGAAGAAGTTAGAGCCAGATCAGAACCTGATGCTAGTGCAATACCAACGTCGGCTGTGGATAATGCCGGTGCATCGTTGATTCCATCACCAACCATAGCAATCACAGGTGGCTTATTGTTTATCAGGTTGGTCTCTCGAATCCACTTAATTCTTGTCGCCTTCTCCTCTGGAAGAACTTCTGCAATGACATTGTCGATACCAACTTCTTTGGCAATAGTCGTTGCCGTAGTGGTATTATCACCCGATATCATCCATACCTGAATACCACTCTTCTTCAACTCTTCAATAACGCTCTTCGCTTCTGGGCGGATTTCATCACGACAAGCAAGAAGGAGAACAGGGACATATGCATCTGTTTTGAAGAAGCTCTGACATTGAAGTGCAATAATGACGATGCTCTTTCCCTGTGCTTTCCAATCATTCAATAGCCTCTGTTGCTTGGAAGACAAGGTTACATCATTTTCTTCCATTAGTCTCTCATTACCAAGCAGCACCGCTGTTGGCTTATACTGGTTCCACAGACTATCCTGTGGTTCAGCCGAATCGAGATGGACTTCACCTGCAAGACCTTTTCCTGCAATTTCATGGATCTCAGGAACTTTCACCTGCGAGAGCTGGACTCCCAGCCTGTTAGAAGTGTGATCAACAAATGATTTAACAGCCTTCGCCAATGGATGACTCGAATTAACTTCAAGATCCCTGGAAACCTGGAGAGCAAACGTTCTGATGGACTTATCATGATGAAGCGCAAAGTTTGTGATTCTTGGTTCACCACCAACAGTAAGAGTACCTGTTTTGTCAAAACAAACCACGTTAACTTTGGAGCCCTGCTGGAAAGCCATACCACCACCTCGAGCTAGTATACCATTCTGTGCTGCTAAGCCACCACCCACAAATAATGCTGTTGGTGCAGCAAGACCGATTCCACATGGACATGCGATGACAAACACAGCAATGGCAAATTCAAGAGACCACGCAGCCCATCCACCAACTTCGTTATCTCTATAACTCTCAGGAATGAAACCAAAATAACCGAGGGAAAACCAAACAATCCAGGTCAAAATCGCAAGAAACGTGATCAGAGGAACAAAGTAGCTGGTTAGAACGTCTGCAGACTTTTCAATCGGAGCCTTGTTCATTTGACCATCTCTTACCGTGTTGACGATGTTGTCCAGTAGCGATGTGCCCTCCAAAGCACTCAGCTTAGCGATAATCGCATGAGGCCCTCTGCTCACAGTACCTGCAAAGATTTGTTCTCCAGATGTGTGTAAAACTGGGATGGATTCACCTGTCAATGCGCTCTCGTCGAACTGAGCTTCTCCCTGAGCGACGATACAATCCACCGGAGGTGACCCACCAGGAACAATGCGAATGAAATCGCCAACTTCTAAGAGATTTATTGGTACAACTTGGTCGTTATCATACGTACCATCCTTTGCCCTTGTAAGGAGAATAGCAGTGCTTGGTTTCAGAGTTCCCAAATCCGTTATTGCCTGAGCAGTTTTAGTCTTTGAGTAGGACTCCAATAAACGTCCAATGAGGAGGAAGAATGTCAAGAACACCACAGAGTCAAAATAACTAGCACTAGAGCCATGGCCATGCTCCGAAGGAACTTGACGTGCAGTTATCCATAGTAGAACTATACTGGCCACGTAAGACACGGTGGTTCCCAATGACATCAGCAAGTTCATGCTCCCAAATCTAAAGAACCTTCTCTTCCAGGACACATTGTGCTTCCACAGTGCTGAGATCTCAGTGATTGCTTTCTTGTGGAAAATGTCATCTGCGAAAAAGTACACAGGTGTTGCCAATATAAACAATATCCAGTCCATTCTGGAGACGTTTCCAACGAAGAGTGGCTCATCTAACCACATTCTGAACTTGTTGTTATGTGGAAGAGACATACCAATCATTCCAAAAACAAGAGTCGGGATCGAAACAATGCTGGTGAGGACCAATCTACTTGAAATCTTTGCAGTTTCTGCCTTGGCCATACGACGTAGATGCTCATCAAGAGTGACATCCTGCACAATCTCCACCTCAAAGTTCTTGTCTCTGATCTTTTGCAGCACAGATCTTATTGTTAGGCTCGGTGGTGATGGGATGTATGTGAGCTTGACAAATGGGTGCTCCAGTGTTATAGGGTCTTCTATAACAACGGAGTCACCGATGTGTTTGAGAATTTCTGTAATGGCATCAGGACAGTGCTCACAGTACATGCCTTTGATCTTTAGGTTCACAGTTCTTGTCAACTTCTTTGTGCTAGCATGACTTATCTCTGATATGTCAATGACTTCAAAGTCGAACCCACAGTCTTCAATAGCAGACTTCAGCTTTGAAATTGTGTCTTGATCGTCAGAATCAAGGATAAAGACACCAGACTTGGAAACCACCGAGATTGAATGTTCCTCTAAAAACGGTAAACTTTGAACCGCAGTTGAGATAGACGATGCGCAAGATGCACACGTCATACCACCAATTGCAGCCTGCACGCGGAACCTGGTTTCTCTTTCAACTGGAAGGACTTCAACAAGGGTAGCAGAATAACCAGCTTCCTTTACTTCCTGAATAATGATATTGGCAACTTGTTTATTTGGGATAATGGCTACTGCTGAGCTTTTGATAAGGTCAACAGAACATATTGGATCAGTGCCGTTGTGAAGATACTTCCTGAGAACCTCTTGAATTGAATTCGTAACAGTGTTGGCACACGAAGCGCACGTCATGCCAGCAAGGGCAAATACAGCTCTATATTCTGTGCCTTCAGCCACTGTTGTCGATGTTGAAGAGGACGCCTCTTGGTCCTGATTGCGGCATTTAGAGCAGTGCTGGTTGTGTACCCTTACTCTTTGCCTTTCACCAAAGAATAGGCTCCATGGAGAAGACCATGCACTTCGTCTGTGATGCACCAATGAGACATCTGTGGCCATGTCATATAGCTCATACTCCTCAATTATTAGCCCGGCATGCTCAATTCTTGATAGCACTGGTTTGTACAACCTTGGAAGCACTGTATTGTCCTTACAAGTCACTGTAACAACCTGGTCGTTTGTTATCTGTACTTTCACCGGAGGAAGGGAAGATGACGGTGAGCCAGCAAAGGAGAAGACATCACCAAGGCAAGACAAGATTGCCTGTTCACAGTCTTCACAGTGGATGTTGGATATCTCTATCGTGAGCTGCTGCATTCTACTTGTAGTCTTGTTTGCTTCTTTCTCTGTTGTTGCGTGCTTTCAAGAATAATCAACTCGACGTAAGGTATGGGGGTGTAAGCGAGGTTGAGTTTTCCAAAACCTTGCGGGTGCCTTTTTTATTTTCCCCGGTGGAAGAACAATTAGTGTTCATGATGACGTAATGATTATTGTTCTGTATAAGCCCGACAATCCCCGATACCTAAGCGTAACGCTTGATGATTATCCATATAGTTACAATAGTCATAGAGAATAAGATTCAACTTGTATCTATATACAACCTATAAGACGAGAGATGTTACTGGCTCAAGAACAATTCCTCAGCTTCAACAATAGATTTGGCCAGCAAGTCCACGATAGCCTCAGCGTCGGCTTTGGTGATGATGTACGATGGTGAAAGAGTAACATGGTCGCCGACTTCACCAGCTCCACAGAGTGCCATGATGGAAAGACCATTCTTGAAGGCAACGCGGCCAACTATATGGGCGAAGTCATCCTCAACAGCGAACTTCTCCTTGGTGGTTCTGTCTTTGACAAACTCAACACTCCAGAACCCACCACTGCCTCTAACATCTCCACAGAATTTGGAAACCTTTGGGATCTTCTCCTTCAGAAGTTGACCCATGTAGGAGCCAACTTCCTCAATATTAGCAGTGAGTTCCAATTTGGCAATCTTCTTCTGGACTGCAAGAGCGATTCTGGTGTTAAAGGCATGTGAATGATACGTCTGCGCACCTGGGATGCTGTTCGATCCATTGGCAATAGTGTCTCTAACCTTTGGCGAGATCAAGACACCTGCAATGGTGACAAAGCCCGAGCCAAGTGTCTTTCCGATAGATTGGATATCTGGACCAACAGCACCGGATGATTCATCATCAAGAGGCAAATACTTCTCCCAAGCGTGGAAGGCACCACATCTTGACATCCCACACATGACTTCATCCAGCATGAACAATGCCCCATACTTGTGGCAGATAGCACGGGCGCCTTCCAAGTAACCTGGCAATGGGGGTTCTGTTCCGACTGTAGAACCTGAAACAGTTTCGGTGATGAAGGCCGCAACAGTATCTGGACCTGCAGCGATAAAGGCCTCCTCCAGCTCCTCCAAGAGCCTGTCTTTGTACTGCTCTTCCGTTTCACCATCTCTCTGTTCACGGTATCTGTAAACTGTTCCAACTTTTGGTGTCTGCTTTGCACTCAGCAAGATGGGTTCAAAAGGGCTGGTTCTCGAACCGGAAATGGCCATGGCCCCCAGGGTATAGCCGTGGTAGGATTTCTGTCTCGAAATGAACTTGACCCTCTTAGCATCGTTTCTCTCAACATGGTACTGGTAGATGATTTTCAACGCGTTGTCGTTGGACTCAGACCCGGAACCAGTAAAGATTGCAGCCTTGAAAGCGCCCTTTGGAGAGCGTTCAATGAGGTAATCAGCAAGCTCTTCAGCATATTCGTTTGTCATAGCTAATGGGAACGAGTAGACGCATTCCTTTGAGGCTTTGACAATCTCCTCAAGGATGTCAGGGTCACCATGGCCCAGTGAGCCAACGGCAGCACCTGTGCATCCATCAATCATCTCAGAAACCTCCCCAGTGTATGGGTCCTTTACTGTGATTTTGATACCGTCTCCTGCAATGACGTAAGGGTTTTTCTTGGTAACGGTTGCCTGTAATAAGCGCGATTCTGTGAATGTCATTGTTGTTCGTGATAGTTATGAACTGGCTTACCTCATCTCTTGAGCTGAATCTCTCAACAGAGTCATTGGATGCCCTTTTTATACCTCAAGTTCCAACTTCTTTCTGTTATCCTCTCCCCTTTTTTTTCTCCTTCCTAACTACATTGATAAAGAATCATACCACTTTACCAAGTATGGCACTAGGATTGTGTTAAATCTATGATAGTTAACCAGCCAGTAGAGATTGGTGATAAAGTCTGTGATTAAGCGACCTCCAGATGCTGTCGTGCCTATGTGTTTCTCCTGTCTCGGACGCGTCTAACTTCCGCATTCGGACAGTATATGGGAAATGGATTCTTCGGTAAAGATCTCAGGTGTATACGTATAGTGGGCCTTGACTAATGCGACTACTTGTTCGAAGCGTCTCGGCATCGTTCGATGGCTTTAGTATGACACATTTCGCAGCATGATTGGCTGAGCACTGGGAGGGGGAGGTTGTGTGGGTTGATGTTTGGTAGGTGTCTCACCGGGTAGAATAGCCTAAACAGCCATGTGCCGAGGCAGAGATAAAGATCAGGGAGGAATTCATCAATCACAGTTAGCTATGGCTGCTAAAGCGTGTCATTGTGTGTGGGTGTGAACGCGAGTGTATTATTGGTGATGTTAAGCGGTAAAGCTAAGCGTTACACAATTTCCTCTTTGGGACCAGCTCGTATAATCAATGCCTTCAAATGGTGGGAAAAGCTTCTCATTTATAACGACGGAAAACGGCTCTTGACCAGTACCAAGTTATGACGCGTTCATACCATCTCAATCATGACTAAAGTACTTGTATCTGGAGCTTCTGGATTTGTTGCATTACATATTGTTGGTGAACTCCTTAGTGAAGGGTTCGAGGTTGTTGGCACTGTCAGATCACAGGCACAGGCTGATAAACTGTTGGCGAGATTCAAGGCTAAATACCCCCATGGATCGTTGACCTATTCCATTGTTCCAGATATCTCCAAGGATTGTGCTTTTGATAAGGTGTTTGAAACAGTTGATGATATTGACTACGTCTTACACACCGCGTCGCCATTTTCATTTGGACTTGAAGGCACACTGGAAGATATTTATCTCATTCCAGCTGTTAATGGTACGCTGAACATGCTAAAGTCGGTTCATAAGCTTGCTCCACAAGTGTCTAAAGTTGTTGTGACATCGTCAATGGCTTCTATTCAGAATTTTGATAAAGTTGGCGATGCCAGCTTCATCCACACGGAATCTACATGGAATCCTATCCAATGGGACGAGGTTACGGATGAGAACATGGCCTATGTTGCTTCAAAGAAATTGGCAGAGAAAGCAGCTTGGGACTTTGTTAAGGACAACGATGTCAAGTTCAAACTCAACACTGTGACCCCGCCATACATCTTTGGTCCCCAATACTTTGAAGAAGATGCATCCTTGGACAAGATCAATACCTCATCTGGATTGATTGCAGCATTGTTGAAATCCGATCCTAAAGACACACATCTCTTCTCTGAACCTTCGCTTTGCGCAGTTGATGTACGTGATGTTGCCAAGGCCCATTGCTTCGCTCTTAGACCAGAAATCAGCAATGAAAGATTGTTCGTTGCATCGGAGAGATTCACACTTCAGGGTATTCTGGACATCATCAACAAGGATTTCCCTGAACTTGACGGTAAGATTGCCAAAGGCCAACCAGAGGGTGAAAAGTCGATCCCAACCTCGTACTTTGACAATTCTAAGACGAAAGAGATTATGGGTGGGTACGAATTCGTACCGCTTGAGACATCGGTCTTTGATACAGTGAAACAGCTCTTAGAACAAGGCAACCTGAAGAGCACCCTTTAAAAAGTGTCCATCCGGTATAATAAAAGCTTTATTTTAACACTAATTATGAACCGATGACTAGCGATTTTTGTTTCTCCTTCAACTCAGCAAGTCTCTTTTCAAAGCTTGCCTTCTTCTCACCCTTTTGCCATCTAAGGCCATAGGCGTAATGGTCTTCTGGAACAAACTTGTGTCCCTTGGTTCCGTAGAATTGTTCTCTGAAGGAACCCCCTTCCACAGCATACTCCTTCTGAGCAAGACCTCTCTTTTGCAACTCTGGAATCAAAAGGTCGACAATGTCCTCAAAGTTCTCGAAGTGTAGGATACTGGTGAAGTTGAACCCATCAATATCGGTCTCATCAACGTATTGCTGCAATTGGTCAGCAACCTCCTGTGGAGAACCGATGAAGAAGTTTGCACGGAAGTAGTTCTTTGCAATGTAACGTCTGGTAACAATCTCACCTGGCTTGTAAAAGTTCTTCTTCTGTGTGCTTGCAACGAGTTGTTTGATTCTTGGATCGTCAGAGAGAGATAAGTCCTCATCCCACTCATAAAGGGCCAGGTCAAGACCAGTGCCTCCAACATGGACCAGGGCACCATCTAAATCGTGGTACTTTTCAACCTCGGCGTACTTTGCAAGTGCCTCTTCGTGGGTCTTGCCCACAAGAACCTTTGCTATGGTGATGAACTTCAAGTGCTCCGGGTTTCTACCGTAGAGTTCCTGTGCAGTCTTCTTGGTTTCGATGATTTGGTTTCTGGCTTCGACACGGTCTTCTCCTGGAATGAAGATTAACTCAGCATGCTTTGCACCGAGAAGTCTACCCTTTGGAGATGCACCTGCTTGAATGATCAGTGGTAATCTTCCAGGGGTAGGCTCTGTGATTTGCGGACCTGGAACCCTGTAGAACTTACCATCAAAGTTGATCTCTCTAATCAAATCCGGATCGGAGAAGACGCCACGTTCTCTATCAAAGACAACACCATCATCTCTCCAGGATGAGAGCAAAAGCTCGTACACAACTTGCAAGTACTCATCAGCCTTTTCATATCTGAGGTCCTTCTCTGGCAATTTGTTATCAGGAGCCAATTGTCTACCGGCAGATGGCAGCATTGAAGTAACAACGTTCCAACCAATTCTGCCGCCAGAGATATGATCCAAAGTGGCGATTCTTCTTGCGAAATGGTAAGGGTGTTCGGTAATTGTAGAACAAGTGATACCCATGGAAACGTTCTTCGTGGAGATGGCCACCGCGGAGAGGTAGGCCGTAGGGTCGTTCTTCGGGAAATTGTTACCGGTTCTGGCAGCCTCCTCGTAGTTATAGGCGCCACCGAGACCTTCCGACTTGTAACCACCATAGATTGTTAGGGAATCGCCGATAAACAAAGCATGGATCTTACCACGTTCAGCTATCTGCGCAATCTTAACCCAGTACTCGGCCTTGTAGTAGTCTCTAGACTGGTCTCTTGGGTTTCTCCATTGGCCTGGAGAGTGCAAGTTTGGAGTCAGCGCCTCAAAGAAGTTGAGGATCAATTGCTTGTTCTTGTGTGTTTTCTGCTTCTTGTGCTGTGTCATTGCCGCGGGTGTGATGGTTGTACTGTACACTGAGAGAGGGAGATCAAGTAATGAGCCAGCTTATTTATACCACCAACTTACAGTATCCCTGCCAATCGCTTGATCTCGTATGATCTCGTCAGATAGGATCCACAGTTTTGGCCATCTCGTTCTGATATCCAGCGACAGCATGGTACAAGCACCCATTTGCACTGAATTTCACCATGTGTGTACAGCTCAATCACCGCTCTTTATACCAAAATGAGTAACTGTGGCGATGTTGATCGGGATTGCGTGCGCGTGCCATCAACACGAAACTGTGGTCCAGCGCACTGTGTGGGTGTGGGTGTACATTCCAACTATTGCGAGGGTTAAATTATTTACCGGAGACACCCATCAAGTGCTTACAAATCGGTATTGCAATGCGGGAAAAAGATCATGTGATTGTGTATCCTGTTGAATGAGTTGAGCTGTGTGAAAAGTCACCACGTAGTGGTACGTATTAGTATGGACGCCCGAGACAGATGCTTACATGAATGTGGTAAAACACTCGTGATGGAGATCCATGGGTCCAGACATGAGAGGTTTTATAGATTGATGCAAGTAGGAGTTGGCTCAACCGATTATGAAGGATAATATTCAAGAGCTGTGTGCACAATCTGGGAACTGTCTAACCGGGAACCACCGTTGTGTGAGTAGAAGTGCTACAAGCTGGCCGAGAACTTTTCACTTTTACAATCCACTAGCCAACGTAAACCTCCCCATGTAGAAGTGATTGACTTTTATTGGTGTACTAGCCAAGCCTGGCTAAATTGTTTAGAAATATACGATGCTGCACTCATACAAACCACACCCGGCGATGAGGCTTTTAACAGCACCAAACATACCAGGGGGAACCCATACAACAATATCCCCACATTATCCCCCAAAAAGAGGTTGACAAAGGTGGTTACGTTCATTTTACACATGTAACAGAGGTGTGGCCCAAAAATGTAATTGCTAAGATCACCAATCGTAGCTGAGGTGCCCACGATACCTTGTGGAGCTACGTCACCATTAAGGCAAGCAATTGCCTAGATCTCATGTTGATTCCCACCATATACAAAGCTGCCTGAATTTGTTTTGTATTGGAGAACCAGTCTATGGCTGTTGCTAGTTTATTGAAGAATTCACGAAGATACAGGCGTACATATTTCCAGCACATGGCACCAGAATTGGACCAATCATGCATTGTCAAGTGTGCTCCTAGGAAGCTGTCTTATGCAGGGACAAGCACTAAAATCGGGCCCCTTTCACCCTCGTTGCAACTGTGATATTCTGCTTTCATGTTGAAGTTTGAATTAAATATCGGGTATTTTCTAGAATGGTTTTAGAGGAACTCTTTGAACCACCGTATCTTCCTTTTTCTGAGATTCTAAGAGCCAATTTTCTCAGTTTATATTTTTATATCATATTGTCATTATTCATATTTCTAGTAAATGTTCCAACAGCACACCACGTGGAGAGGAATATACCAAACAACAGTTGTCTGTGTAATATATTGTGACGTTAATATTGAATGAGATTATAAGCTGAACCTGAAGAGCATACAACAGCTGAAGAAATGATTAATGGCACTTAGGAGTGGTCAATGACAGGCCACCACGACGGCCAACATAACTCCCTGTTGCTATATGGCACACGATACGCTAATTTCCTTTAATTCATTCACATTCATTATTTCGCCAATTTCAATATGGATTGTTGTACTATTACTAGCTGTGGTTAGAAGACGTGGTACACTGCGAACAACGAAGACTCAGAGTAGTAAGAAACATACTCTCTGTGTGAGCTGTGTGCCTAGTTCTGAGTCTCTTCCGGTGTTACATTACATTAAGATGGAGTGGATGCTTCTAAAAGCGGTTCATATACCTAACAAACCGAGCCTCCAAAGCGTTCCATATTAAAGCAGCACACACCTTACAGCCCATAACACACATACTATGTCTTTGGCATTTATGATATTCACAAATCACAATGTTAACGTATAAACATCTCGATACTACAGAGTAGCACAGCGCAAATCAGCACACCACGTTCAAGACAGAGTAAATATAATTTATTAGCGTTTATAAAAATCGGATTGAACCAAAGTATCAGGCAGTACTCTTGACTGTAGAACTTTCAGAATGCGTGTGATCAGCATCCTCCTTTGCAAGTGGCAAGACAGGACTTGTTTGCTTACGAGATCTGACCTTCTTGAACAAGAAGAAAGCAGCACCCAAGATGATGAACACACCAATGGTGACACCAGCACCAATACCACCGGCATCAGCGAGGGTCAAGTTGGAACCTGAATCCTGATCATCGGAGTCGATGTCAATAGAGCTGAGATTAACACCTTCAGCCTCCAATTGCTTTGCAGATTCGTACAAATTGCTGTACGGAACACACATATCAAGCATGGCCGTATCAGAGCCATCGTTATAGCCACATACATCACACCAAGTGGAAACACCAGAGATTCCAGCGTTCTTTGCGTTAGTTACAAAGTCGTCCCAAGGCATGATTTCGTCGGTGGAGTTGAACAGCGCATAGCTTGTTGGTTCCTGTCCTAACTCGGATGTACCATTTTGGAAAGAGAATCTAACAAAAATGTCTTCATTTGAATCAGAGAGCAATTCGAAAACATAGGTACATCCATAGTCTGGCATGGTCTTGAATCTCTCATCTTGTTGATCCAAGTCCAAGATGCTAGCCAATTGGAACATAGTGTTGAAAGATCCAGTGTAGTACGTCAAAAATGGGGTTCCCTTCACCTTTGTTGTGTTCAATCTTGTCACCATGTTGCCCAAAAGAGACTGTGCGCCGATGGTTAGGTTAGTGTTGATGGTCTTGTCACTCAAAGTCCACTGGTACAAGTCAGACCACACTTTAACCTGACGAACGACATCTTCACTGATCTCCTTAGCGACGGTGGCATTGTGGATAGTGTTAACGTTGAGCTCGTCGTATATGTTCATTGAGTTTGTGAATGTCAACTCACTCTCGCTGAAAGTCTCCTTGATGAAGTCGTACTCATACAAGGATTGCAAGAACTCTGCGGATTCGTTAGAATAGGTGGACCAGAGCTCGCTCTTCATGGTTTTCTTGGTGGCACTGGTCAAAGATGGACAGTTCACATCACCCTTGATGTGGATGTAAGCGTCAGTGGCGTTCTCTTGAATGTTGGACTTGACGTATTGGTACCCGTCCAGTGGGTTCTCGACAACGGTACCGTTGGCCAATTCTGCCATCACCTCATCAACGTAATCTGCCTTCACGAGATTGGTTGGTGGGTATAAACCTTGCAAAAAGGCATAGTGGGAGAACAAGATGACGTTACTGGAGATCGCTTCGGCGTATAGCTGGCCATCGACAAACAGGCCCTCATCGTTCAAGCCTTTGATCAACGTCGAGGAGGTGTCGTTACGTTCGCCATCGGAATTAATACCGAAGTAACGCTCACGGTAGAATTGACCCGTGATGTACTGGTTTGTAGCACCAATTGGCGTCAAAACAGTAGCTGGTTTGGCTTCTCTGTCGTTGTGACGTCCAAAGATAAAGGAACCGACAATCTCATAATCCTCTGCCTTGGCGAGTTGGGCATACGCCATCAACACTGGTAACAGTGTACTGTAAGAAAGAAGCATCTTAGGTTATATTGTAGCAAAGACAATCTGCTAATTATCACAATATGTGAAGAGCTTGAGGTGCGTAAGGGGGATATCAAAAGTTTTTATACATCTCGCATCACCGCCGTAAATTTGGTCTCCTACGTTATACGCAGAGTGTATCTCTTCACCGTTTCAGGGTAAAAAATAATCTCCGCTGATAACTTTTTTTTTGCTTTTTCAAAGCGGAAAATGATGGAAGCGCCGGTGTTAGGGCTCTTTTCGTCCTCACAGTAAGACAAGAACTTGTACTTAATTACGGTCTGTGGAGGTGATTCATTAGGAGTTTGTCCTCACGATACGCTCAAGTGGTGCCATTGCGATGACTGTGGTGGTACTGCTGCTTGGAATAAACAAATTGAGGATGGGCTCACCGTCGTAGATGCATGTGCGTCTCAGTCACTGCAAGATCTCTTACGCAAAGCTGTTGCTCAAGACACTATGCACACTGCTTTTGTTATTGGAACAGCTATCTAGGCCATTCAATTCAGTGTTATGTGATGAGCACGGTGACAGCCATCAGCTCTTGCAAATACATTTCACCGAGTGGTTCCCGTGTCCTCCAATGGCTAGTTTCACTAACACGTCTAAGTTCGATTTAGCAGTCAGGACTTGAAGCAGACCAAAAGGTTGAATTGCTTGCTACACAGGATAAAACAACAGAATAATTTAAAGCTTTATAGTAATATGCATATCTACCAGTCGAGTTCATTTCCAGTAGCTGGAACGGCCCTGACAGGAACTGTGAATTTGAATTTGTCGTCAATCTCCTTAAAATGACTGGTGGATTCACTGCTTTTCACTTTCCATCTGGAAGTGCCGAGGACTTCATCAAGCTCTGACTCTGGCGGAAGCTTCAAATAAATATCGCCATCTTCTTCCTTGATTTCAAAGGTGGCCACAGACTGCGCAGCGTCGTTCTTACAAGAGCCCGTGTGCTCAGATTTGTCGTCAACGATATAGTTCTTCTTATGAAGAGGACAGGAAACGTACACCTCGTTGTTCTCATCTGTTGCCAAAATACCCTGTGATAGGACAAACGCACGCTTATGTCCACACATATTCTGACAGGCATACAGTTTTTCCTTTAGTCTGAAGATAGCAAGCTGTGTATCAGATATCAAAACAGTGGTGGAAGATCCAGCGTCCTTCTCTGGAAGATCTGTGGATTTGCACACCTTACGCCATGATAGAGATGACCACTTGACATTCTTGAAATCCTCTCTCTTAACTTGATCATCAACAGGCCAATCAGCTGGACGCCTTTGGCCTCTTTCTCTGATGATATCAACAGTTTCTTGTGATGCATCTGTGTTGGCAAACTGCGCAAAGATCTTATCATCTTCCTGCTTTCTGTCTGTCACAGAGGCAGCCCATTCGTCAAAGTAATGACCAACAAGTTCATTCATTTGATCTTCAAGATCTTTACAGATACCCAACTTATCATGCACAACAACGTCTCTAACATATTCAATACCACCTTCAAGGTTTTCCAACCATCTCGCAGTTCTCTGAAGCTTATCAGCAGTTCTGAAGTAAAACATCAGATATCTATCCAGCAAGGGAATAACTTCAGATGGTGGGACATCAGTTTTGAGAAGTTGCGCGTGGGCTGGCTTCATACCACCGTTTCCACCAACATATACGTTGAATCCATTTTGGACTGCACATAAACCAAAGTCCTTCGCATGCATCTCTGCACAGTCTCTGACACATCCAGAAACACCACCTTTCATCTTGTGTGGCGATCTGATTCCCTTGTAACGTTCCTCCAATCTGATAGCCAGTCCAACAGAATCGCCAATACCGTAACGACACCATGTGGATCCAACACATGACTTGACATTTCTCAAAGTCTTACCATATGCTTGACCAGATTCAAAGCCATTTTGGTATAATTCCTCCCAGATCTTTGGTAAATCTTGCTTCAAAGCTCCAAAAAGATCAACTCTTTGACCACCGGTGATCTTGGTATACAAGTCGTACTTCTTAGCAATCTCACCTATAGCTATTAGCTTCTCAGGGGTGACCTCACCGGCAGACATTCTAGGAACAACAGAATACGTTCCGTTTCTTTGAATGTTTCCCAAAAACTTATCGTTAGTCTCTTGCAGGCCATGGAAATCATTCTCCAAGATGTGACGGCCTTGAAGAGTACTGAGAATAGATGCAATACATGGCTTGCAAATCTCACAACCAGCGGCGCCTGGAATCAGACCGTGGTGTTCCATAACCTCACTGAACTTTTTGTATTGCTTCACCATGATGATAGAGAACAAATCTGCTCTTGATTCCTTGAAATGGATACACAGTGCGTTGGACAACTGCTTTCCCATCTTCTTCATCTCAGCTTCAAAGATAGCCTTCATTGTTGGTTCACACCCACCACAAGATGTACCAGCTTTCGTAACAGACTTAAGCTCACCCAAAGAAGTACATGTACCATCACGAATCTTTGCCACCAATGTACCCTTAGTCACGTTCTGACATGAACAGACCTGTGTATCGTCGGAGAGCAAGGAGGCATCCTCATCGTCACTGGTCTTACCTAAGATGAATTCTGATGCTGGCATAGTCAACGGTTTACGCTGTTTCACAATAGAGGTGTACTTGGTGAACTGTGATGTGTTACCAACTAACACACCACCAAGCAAATACTTACCATCAGAGGTGAAGATGAGCTTAGTGTAAACACTCTCAATTGGGTTCTCATAGACAAGTGACTTCACTTTAAGCTCATAGCCCCTTGGAACCCACTTTGGACCGTTTCTATCAGCGAAGTAATCACCAAATGACGCAACGTCAACTCCCATGAGCTTAAGTCTGGTACCAACATCCGGCTCAGAGAATTCCTTTGGTGAGTGGAATTTGGCCTGGATCAAGTTGAAGCACAGAATATCCGCCATTGTGACTCCTGGTGCTATGAGACCAAACGTCTTGTCATTCCATGAGGCACACTCACCAATAGCGTAGATGTTTGGATCAGATGTAGCCATGAAGTTATCAATAGCTATACCTCCTCTTTTGGAACAAACAAGCCCAGCTTCACTAGCAACTTCGTCTCTTGGCTTGATACCAATGGTGTAGCAAAGCAGTTGGCATTCTTCAATTTCTCCAGTATTGTATCTAACTGCTTTCATCTTGCCATCGTCGCCAAAGATGAGCTCGTCGACGGTAGTTCCAGTTCTCGCAGTGACACCGAGATCACGAACTTTCTCCGTCAGTAAGAGCCCACCCTTTTCATCCATCTGCTGTGACAGCAACCATTTAGATCTGTGGACAACAGTGACATTATCAAAAGTTTCCATATCCAAAAGAGCCTTACCAGCTTCTAGACCAAGGAGACCACCACCAACAACAATCGCTCTCTTTGTGCTTGTGGTGATGGTTTCGCTAAAGCTCAACATGGAGTTCAGATCTTCAATTGTTCTGTATACGAAGCAGCCCATATCTCTATAGTTCTTGAAATCATCCTTGGAACCACCGTTGACAGGGTCTGGGAGCATATGCGTTGGTAGAAGACCAGATGAGCCTGTTGCAAGAACCAAGATATCATAACTGTACTTGTTTCCCTTAGAAGTAGACAGACGCTTTGCTTCCCTGTCAATCTTTACAACGCTCTCATCAATCTTGAAGTCCCATTGATCCCTGTTACGTGAGTCGTAAAACGTCTTTGGTGAGAGTAACAAGTTGTCAAAGTTTCTGTGTTCAAAGTACTCGGTAAGACCGACTCTGTTGTAGGCAAGGTAAGGCTCCTCACCGATAATAGTGTAATGGTACTCATTTGCAGTATCATCACCTAGCATTTTTTCCAAAAATGCAAAGCCAACCATTCCCAAACCAACAATAACAACATGCTTTGAGACACTTAGCGATTCCATCGACTTAGGAAGTGGAGGTATCCCACCTCTTTGCTCATCGACCTTCATCGTAGTTCGTTTGTCTTCGAATTCGGATTGTAGAATGATGTGAATGAGAGAAGACAAAAAAATGATGAAATAAATGAAGAAAAGAAGAACTTTTTTTCAGTAGCCCTTGTGTATCAGCACATGAAGAGGTTATTGGATAATGAGTCCATATCCAATCAGGAACCTTCAAAGTGTCAGCTCAGCAGAAACAATACCAGACAACCAACACAACAACAAAAAAAAAAGAAAAAACATTATCCGCCTCTCAAAGCACGGACGAGATGGGTCCAACATGAAATATACAGCCATACGGAGGCACCAACTGAGGTTGAGATAAGGCCATCGCTTGAGGTCCATGGTTGGTTCCTTTGCGATGTATTGTGCTTGAATCAAATATTCTCCGCCTGGAGGTTGTTCGTTAACACCGAGTAACCGTGGCAACAACAACATGCCTCATACTGCATGAGAATTATGTACGTGGGCTATCATCTCATGTTGATAAGAATTAGAACCCTACACTTCTTCAGATTGGTTGGCATGGGGCAGAGAAGTTTGGGGGAGAGAAATATGATTGGTTGTATACTGGATGATAATGAGTCAGATCAAGATAAAGTTTCAACTAATCAGGGCTTTCGATATCTTATGCGCACTGTATACGCAGAAGTTACAAGCTTTATCTATATTCTAACGTAGTATTCGATACAGAGAGCGATATCAGTGTTATACAGCAATGCAAATCAGAAGTAGACAACTCTTGAAGGGTCTAGATCGCTCTCTTTAACAAGCTTCTCTATAGCGCCAACCATTCCAGGAGGACCACAGACCAGCACCATGAACTCACCGTTCTTCTTTTGTTCCTCGATATATTGGTCCCATAACTCTTTGTTAAGATAACCAGTGAGACCTTTCCAACCCTCGGGTGTTTCTGAAAGACAGTAATCTATTTCAAGATTAGCATTTGTAAATTTCTTAAATCCTTCAAGGTCTTCGTAACAAAGGATGTCCCCAAGAGCACGATTGGCGTAGAACATTTTCATCTTTGTATTGTCCTTTTCTTGAGACACAATCTCTGCGATAACTTGATAACAAGGGGTAATACCAGATCCACCAGCCAGGAGTAAGAAAGAGTCAGCTCTTCCAGGCTTCTCATTATAGAGGAAGTTACCATTCTCCAAATATTCAAACTCACCAGTTGGACCTTTAGCTTCAATTTGAGTGCCCATCTCCATGTTCTCCAAAATCATGGTCATCTTACCACCTGGAATATCACCACGAGGAAAGTATACTTTGATTAGAATTTCCAATATACCTTTCTGCTTGTGGTTTGACTTAGGTGTATAGGCCCTCATCACGAGTTTTCCGTCTGGTCCTTTAGATCTGATGAACAGGTGCTTACCAACGGGCAATCCAGTGGTTTGCTCTGGCGACTCAAGAGCGAAATGGAATATTCTTGAATCATGAGATATGATTTCCTTCTTCACTAGTGTGATCTTCTTCCAAACTTTAGGATTCAAAAGCGTAGGTGTGATTTCAGTCACAGCGTCTGTAGGGGCTGACACTGCCGTGGTTTCAAGTCTTCCTATATGGAACTTTTTCATCAACAGTTTGGATCCTTCAGAGTGAATAGCAATGAAGTCATCAGTGGCATCTTCACCAGCAACATTTGTAATGGCTTGAACACCACCTGGGTGCTCGTCCAAAAACGGCGTACCGGTGAAAACATGACCCTTAACGACAAACCATGGGTCCTCTTTGTTAGCGTGCTTCGCCAGCTCCTCAGCTGTAATGATAACGTCCCTCTTTTCAGGATTGATCATCATCTCCAGGTCCTCATCAACAACCTCTTTTTTGACTTTAGGACCAGAATCGTCTTCATCATCCTCACCCCAGGTTCTATCGAGAATATCACCACCTTGTGCTTTGACTCTATCCATCCATCCTCCAGCCTTGTTGGCAATGCAAGGATGTTCGAACTTGACCTCATCTGCTGTGTCTCCAGGCTGGATGGCAACACGGTACCACCAGTTATTAAGCATGGAGGTGACATTCCAGTACATGTTTCTAGGTTGAGCACTCATAGAGATATCCATACCTCTCACGACGATATCCTTGGAGCTCTTGAAGAGCTTCTTCTCCACTTTGGTGCTCCAGAAGCACCAGCAAAGACAGGACATTCTGTCACAGACGTTGACAGTACCACCAAAGAGGTCGACGTAGCCAGCTTCCCTATATCTATCTTCTGGGTAGTCGATATCACAAAGTGTCCATGTCTTACCACGGTCCAGGGAAACCTCGATTCTTCCAATTCGCTTACCACCTCCATTATACCCAAATCCCTTGATTTCGTAGAGCTCACTCTCGTTTGTTTCATTGATGATCAAGCGTTCATCGTTCTCCGGGTAGACAGTGATGGTCTGTAAGTTCAGGTCATAGATTGTGTACCGCTCATCCTTCCACCAGTGGTCCTCTTCAGCAGCCATTTTGTTGGTAACCATCGTTGGCAGAACCTTGTTATCGTAGTAGTGATACCAGTTATTGGAGGGGACGTCTGAAACAACCAGTCTCTTCAACCACTTAACTGAACGACCACCGATAATACCTGGCAGAACACAACGCAGCGGTTTACCATGATCTGGTGATAGAAATTCACCGTTCTGCTTATAAGCAACCATGATCATTCTCTCGGTGTCTCTAACCATGTGGAGGGGAACACACGTACCATATGGTCCTTTAGCAGGATCATCGCCTCCCTCCATCCAGACATACCTAGCTTTCTTAGAAGGATTAGCCTTGGAGATGATATCCCATAGGAAACAACCTGTCCATAGAGACGTTGAAACACCTGAGGCACCCCAGTTGAAACCTTTACCCTTCAAGACCATGTTCTGCTCTTTTCGTCTATTACCAGCACAGCACAGAGTTATTGGGGTTGTGTATTGTGGAAAGTCACGTATCATATCTTTCAAAGTCAAAGTCAATGGATTATCAACCATACCTTCGACAGTGAAGGTCCAGTTCATGATTTCTGACTCGTCAACAACAGGCACAGCACCGTGGTTTCTTACAAAGTGCAAGTGAGATGGTGTGATAAATCCCTGCTGGTAGTTCAAAGACAGAGGTGGTTCACAGTTGAATGGATGGGAACCAGTCAATCTCAGCAACCTCTCATCTCTGGCAACATGTGAATCTTTGGTATTGGTATCGATATCTAAGATCTTGGTCAATGGCGTATCCTTTCTCCAAAAGAAGTCATAATCATATTCTGATTCAGAGGAACTGGACTCTCTTCCACTGAAGATCTGTTCGTCAGACCTAGAGGCTGCAGAGAAAGCCATCGCTTTGGTCAATAGTTGTTGTTTAATTGTATGTTCAGACGAACGTGATGGTCAAGTCGAAAGATATATTCTTTCATGACCTCATTTTTAATTTCCAAAGCCATTTCATCATTAGGAGCACGGCAAAGATACCCTTCTCTTCCTCATAGCCTGGACAGTGAACACACAGGTAAAGCAAGTTGGTGTACAATCATACGAGTGTTCACACCAAAGAAACATGCCTATACACAGCAAAGGCCATGCGAGATACTGCAAGCTAATTTATTCTCCGCCAGATTGTGGCACCTAGCAAGTACTCTGAATGTGCACAATTACATAAGGCTTTGAGCCATGAGGTGGGTACAGCCAGGGCTACACGTTAGAATCCTCAATGGCGTGGAACACCATTTGTGTTTCAATCTCTAGCGTGGTAGACCAGTGGTTACCGTGAGTTGAGTCACAGTAACCACTGTTTCATAGGCAACGGTGTGCGAGCACAGTAACACGGTCAGATGTTATGCCATTATACGAGGCCAATGGGTCCACATCTGCAGAGCAGTTCAAGCTAACACTGCGGACAACATCTAACCAGCACTTAGGTCAAGACAGTGAATGTCCCAGAGAGTTGCAATCGCGGATGAGTCTATCCGATTGGAGCTGAGATATCAATGATAACACTGATAGCGGTGCGACTAACTTCGAAATCTATGTCATATCCAGCTCCAACTATTGGCCTGCTATGCACAAATCATCAAATGGTGATCGATGTATTAATAAAATCCGCTACTCCAATATATTTTCCGCCCACAGAAGAAAAAAGAAAAGAAAAGAAGATCCCTAAGTAAAATGATCAGCGGTACCATTTGCGGTTGCTGGAGTTACAAGGCACGGTTGAACTGGCAAGCCAAAGAAAAAAACACACACACAAAAGGAAAAGGCTTAAAACCACCTCGCAGATTCCTCACGCATTTTTCATCAGAGTCACGGCCCTTATCTTTTGATCGAGCATCGAGAGAGGACGATTGTGAAGCACTTTTATCGTCACAAGATAACAGTAAGATTTGTTTCGAAAAGATCCTGATTTCATCTGTGTTGCACTGCATATGTCATTTCTTGTCATCAGTTGAATACCCAAAAGGTTGCTAGCAGCCCTGTACGCATCTAGAAACATATAAAGTACCGTTTCTCTCTGTCTTGATATTTGACTCGTGTTCATGAACATCAGACTCCATTAAACACATCTTGGACACTGTTAAACTACAAGATTATTTTATAGATGGATTTTAAACGCAAGCTGTCCCTGCTGGTGAAGGCGCCAGAGCTGAACCCCAAAACCAGAAAGGCATACTCCATTCCGATTCTGAACCCTATCAACATCTATGGTAGAGCGTTCCATTTATCGTGGCTAGGTTTCTTCGTTTCCTTCTTGTCATGGTTTGCCTTTCCTCCCCTTCTGGCCCATTCCATCAAGAAAGACTTGAACATGACCTCTGCAGACGTTGCCAACAATAACATTGCTGGTCTTTGTGCAACTATGCTGGGTCGTGTCATCCTGGGTCCAGTGTGTGATAGAATTGGACCTCGTTACGCCATGGCTTTGGTGCTCCTTGTTGGGAGTGTTCCTACTGCTTTTGTTCCCCTTGTCAACAATATCGCTGGCTTGCACGCAATCCGTTTCTTTGTGGGTTTGCTGGGCTCAAGTTTTATACCGTGTCAAGTGTGGACAACAGTTTTCTTCGATAAGACCATCGTTGGTACGGCAAACGCCTTCGCAGGAGGGTTTGGAAATTCTGGTGGTGGTGTTGCATTCTTCATGATGCCTGCAATTTTGAATGATTTGCTCAAAGATGGTTATTCCCAACGTAAAAGCTGGAGTTATGCCTTCGTCATTGGTCCATTCGTCATTTTGATCTTTGTTTCATGCTTGATTCTTCTCTTTGGACAGGATTGCCCTGAAGGTAAGTGGTCACAGAGAGGAGACGTGTTGGATATTGGTGTTGATGTACGTTCCGTTGACGTTGTCTCCATCAATGCTCACCATCCTGTGCTCAGTCACATCAGCGGCGCTGCTCCACCAGTGAACCGCAGGCTTTCTGAGGATAAAATAGGAGCCATCGATGAAAGAACTTCAGACAATTCAATCTCTGATAACGCTGTTGATGTTGTGAAAACCCGTGTTAGTGATGTTGTTGACCTTGAACAGATTGTTGAAAACCCAACCTGGAAGTCCTTCTTGATGGTCAGTTTCCACTACCGTACAATGCTTGTTGCACTCCCATACATCGTTACCTTTGGTGGAGAGCTGGCCATCGAATCCGTATTATCTGCACTGTATATGCAAAGAGCCAAAATTGATGGACTCAATTGGAACCAGAGTAAATCTGGTTCTTGGGCTTCAATGATAGGTCTTCTTAACGTCGTGACAAGACCACTGGGTGGTATTATCTCCGATTATCTATACAAGACTTTTAAAAGCACAAGAGCAAAGAAGTTCTGGTTGTTATTCTGTGCTTGTATGCAGGGAATATTCTTGATTTGGATTGGATTTGTTCCAAGCTCGAAACTATCTCTCCATGGACTGATTGCATCCATCAGTGTTATGTGTGTGTTTATGGAGGCTGGTAACGGTGCGTGCTTCTCGCTTGTCCCACATATCAACCCTAAAAACGTCGGTATTGTATCAGGTATCACCGGTGCCTTTGGTAATATAGGTGGTATCTTCTTTTCATTGGTGTTTAGATTCTCACTCTACTCAAACGGAACCAATGATTACATGAGAGGGTTCTGGATTATCGGAATCTGTTGTGTGGCAATTGCGGTTGTGTGTTCTTTCCTTCCTGTCAGTGAAGATAGATATGTCGCTCAGGAAACCGTGAACGACCATGAAAAGGCTCTCGCTTAGGAAAGCAATTACAGTGTTTAGTGTTGAAATTTATTACAAATGTTTTCTTTTCTCATTCTCTTTAGTTGCGCCATATCGGGGTTTTGAGTATAAGTCCGATTGATTCTATTCGTTTTACCGCAGCTCATCGAGGATCTAAAAAAGAGGTAAAAAATTTAAAAAACAAGATGTGGTCATCACCAGCTGCAACAATCAAGTCTCGTTGTGCTGTGAAGAAACCACCAATGACAATCTAAATGAAGATAGAACAGGTAAAGAAGTACGTCATAAAGAAGCTTCCGAGCAGAGTGATCGCTCAGAGAATCACAAAAGCTACCGTCAACTCCACTGTGGCCTTCATTCTATGTTTGGTGCCATCCGCGTTATCTGTTTTGGGCGGCGAGCCCGCCATGCTGCCGTTGATATCTGTCATGGTGCACCCTGGAAGGAGATTCGGGTCCATGCTGGAAGGTATCGTCTTCTGTACCACAGGGCTGCTAGTGGGCAACGCTTACTCTCTTCTGGGGAGATTCATAGCCCAATGTATCCTAGGAAACCTTGAATATCTGCCCGACCAGGAACAGCTCGAGTACAACTACGACAGATACCGTGCCGCTCTGGCGGTTCTTGCTGTATTCCACATCTTGATGCTTTTCTTCCATGGATGGATGCGTGTGATATCGCACAAGTTCTTTGGTATCGTGTTCCCGTTGTTCTTGGTTGTTCACTTCACCTTCACTGACAACCTGAACGTTTCTGCAGGAACCATTGCGAAGAACTTCACAGTGCCGTTCTTCGTCGGCATAGCAATCTCACTGGCGTGCAACTTGGTGATTTTTCCAGAGTTTGGCTCGTCCTACTTTGGTACATCCATGTCGGATATCTTGAATGAACTGCACGAGACACTTGACTATACCCTCCGGTTCTTTAACCAGAAATCTACCAATTACACACAGGAACAAGTCACATTGGCTCAACTGATCAAAAAAAAGACCACGCTGAGATCAAAACTCAATGCGACTCAGGGTGTCTTGAAAGAATGTACGTACGAGATATCGTACTCTTACTGTTCCCCATCACAGGCCAAACCACTGATTGAGATTCTCAAAACACAGTTGTCATATACATGTGCACTGATCAATGCCTCACAGCTACACTACACAACAGCGATGAATAACAGCGATAACGACCAGCTTGAGAATGTCTTAAGCAGAACGGATGATCCACTGTTCAAGCTTCATAAAAGTATTTCTCGCTGCTTGTATATTGTGAAGTTATCAATAGCACAATCGTACGATGTCAAGGTTTCAAAGATGGCTCAACCGGAGTACTTCACAGTTGAAGAGATCGACATGACAAAGGTCAACTTCGAGTCGGAGGTACGAACTTTGGCTAGAGACCTTTCAATGCTTGATTTATCATTCAGAAAAGAATTTACATTGCTAAGCAATGAATTTGAAAACTACCTTACTCCAAATGACAACATGTTCATCCTTTCGTCTTTCCTTATGAACTTGAAGGAGACCACGAATTCGGTTATCAACATGATGAACGTGGCAAACAACATCCTTCAGGTAAGACTAAAGCGTGAGAAGAAAGGAATCTTCGGAAGACGTATTTGGATGCCTTTCATAAAGAGCAGAGAGGACTTAAAAGGTTGGTTCGAAGCAAACCATGGTGACTTTTTCAACTCAAATGAATCGGCAAGTTTGAACGGTGCTCCTTCAATGAGGATCTACACAGGTGACGTGGTGGATCCTGAAAAATCACACTCTGATGACGAATCTACAACTGTCTTGTCGACTAATGAAGAAAAGAAGAACTTTCTTGATTCATTGATTGTCTGGCTTCTCAAGCTTTACCATTCACACTCAGCCCATATCAGATTTGGACTCCAATGTGCAGTTGCTTTGACATTAGCGACTTTCCCGATGTTTGTACCTGAAGCAAGACATTGGTTTGTTGATATTAGAGGGCCATGGATAGGTTTCGTTTGTATCTTGGTTGTTGAGCCAGAAGTTGGAAGCACGTTCTTTGTCTTCTTTCTAAGAGGTGTTGGGGTCATTTCAGGTGCTGCTTGGGGATACCTGTCTTACGTCGCAGGGGATAACCAGAACAACCCGTATCTTGAAACTGTCGTGACCGTGATAGGAGCAATACCAGGGTTCTATTTTTTCCTTGGAACGCCATATATCAAGGCAGCGATTATCGGTGTGATTTCGATATATATAGTGATCCTGTCAGCTGCGCTTCCCTCAGAAGTTGGTGGAAGCATATTGGTGAACTTTGGTAAACGTTGTCTCGCCATGATTTATGGAGGTGCAGTGGCATTGATCTGTCAAATCGGCTTCTTCCCGAACAAGGCCAGAGATGAGCTGATCAAGGAAGTGGTCTACAGTACAGGCAATATTTCCAAGATTCTTTTACTTTATGCTGCTGGCTTAGATGGAGAGACCGTTCAAGTCAGTTTATCGGAAAAAAGATTCCATACTTTGCAACGACTCTCTAGCCTGACTAGTGCATCGCTCATCAGGGCAGATGCGTACAGAATCAGTGCTAAGAAAGAACCAAGACTGAAGGGGAGTTACCATCAAATCGAAAAGATCTTTTTTGAGATCATCTTTATTCTAAGACAAATTTTGGAGAGAGTTGAAAATATCGTTCAATTACGTCGGTCCTATGGCTCGGCTATTGTTGAAGAGCTCAACGATGATGTGTTTCCTTATCGCAGACAACTGATAGCTTCTATGAACAACACCGTAAAGGCAGTCGAGTTTGCACTGCTCACGAAATCGCCCCTCCCACAGTACCTTCCTAGTTGCACTGTTGCTCAGAAAAGGCTTATCGCCAAAGTCTCTGATGTTATCAAAACCAAATATAAAAGGAAAGATTCTATTGACGATAGCTCCGATGAGGAGCTTGTGATGGATTTTGGGCATAGAAAACAGAAGAAGATACTTGAAAACCAACAGGAAAACGTCTTGAAAGAGAGGTTTCTTAGTTGGAATGCTTCTAGTGCAGCTACAGAAGAGATTGTCGAGTACATTGAGGAATTAGTTGAGCTAACAAAGGTTCTCGTTGGTGTTAATGAGTTTAAATACGGGTTCTTGAGTCGTTCGCTATATTCTGAGTATGCTGCAAAAGCCGTTCGTGGATATGAGCAGCTGGTACCAAATAACAATGATAACACTACCCAAGATGAGGATGACGATAGCGACCAAGCACTGGATGATGATGAATTAAACCCAGTCGCTTTTGATGATGTATCCAGCATTGCAAACACGCACAAATCAGCCATGTCTGAAGGATTCAGAAAAAGAGTGTATTCTATTGGCTCATGGATCCGTGGAGATGAACAGAGTACGACTTCTATGGGCCAGTTCTATGACGACAGTGATGAAGAAGACGGTGATGAACAACTTCCGCTTTCCCTAATGAGAGTTGCAAGCAGAAGAGGAGGCAATTCATAAAGAAATAATTCAATCAATCTCTATAACTTCTGGACTGTGTACTTTTGGTTTAGGGCTCTCATGTTGCTTGAAATCCTTGCGTTTTTTACTCTGTCTTAGAGACTGGCCTTGTCCTGAAAAGACATGTGACGATGATGGCTCTTCTCCTACAGTCTCGTCAATCTTTGGAGGCACCAATGGGAACCCAAAGAACAACTGTCCAAATGGCAAAGTCAATGGAGCTGCTTCACCACTCACAATCAGCTTTTCAAGATCAACATCTGCTTTCTTCACTGGTTTTGCCACCTTTCCTGATAATTTCTGACCTTGGCCATGAAACGACTCAACGGTATCAGCAGCACCTTTAGCAATGTTAACATAGTCAATGGAATGAGCCATGGTTCCCATTACGTTCTTGGTGGATGGCGCTGGTTTCTTCTTCTCTTGTTTGGAGTAAACCGGCTCGACATAACCAACTGGTGGGGCAAAATCTGTCTCCAAATCCGTTTCAATCACACATATACTGTTAAATGCCGATTCCGGTTTCACTTCTAATACCTTTATACCGTATATGTGATCGTTGTAGTTGACTTGTATGATATCATTCACTGTCAAAGTAGAGAACTTCCGAAGCACGTTCTCCAGCACCGCCTTCGGATCAGATATATCCAAGAAATCCACAGATTGGGGCTCAATTTTGACAAATTTACCCAGTGGAACGTCCTGGTTGGTCACCTTCAGCACAGATCCTGGCTGCACGTGTAGCGTATTCATCATCCACTGCGGTAGATAAACTCTTCCTTCCTCAGCAACAAACTCAAGGACACCGGAGAACGTTCTCAAATTCTCCTTCTCGTTCAACAGCTCAAACAACATTGGATATCTGATGTGCAACATCGTCAGCTTGTTCAACGCATTCGGAGGAAGGAAGATCTTACCACCGTAATTCGCATCTTCCTTCTTGATGCTCTCAGGCATCATATCCACCGGGTAGCATCTAAAGTACTCTTCAAACTTTTGCGGCATCGGAGCAAACCCGCCAAACTGGCCGCCTCCTGGGAATCCAAATCCACCATTGAAGCCGGAAAACTGTCAAATGTTAGTGAATACAGCTCATTTCACACAACCACGTTTCCAATACAAACCTACCATCGTCGCAATTGATTTTACCTTGAGCTCTGATCCTCAGCCAAGTGTCAAAAGCGGTTGCCAGTACATCGCCCGTGATGTAGTGGCGAGAAAATGGAGCGCATGGAAGGGCTGCCCGAAGCATTATGTAAGCACCAACATTGGTTCGGCCAGTGCGAGACGTTTTTGCGTAAATTTTGGCGTAAACAAAAGCTGGCGCAAAAAGGTAAACAAAGGAAAGGCACTTCCACCATTGAGCCTGTAAGATAACAACTAAATGGGTGCCAACACAGTTGATCCCGAGCTCCAGGGACTAGGAAATGAGGACGATATCCTCTCAGGGATTGATGTGTCTTCCATGATGCAAGGTGGCGATGGTGAAGAGGATGGTGATGATGGTCAAGATATCGGTCAGCAAAACGTGTACGACTTCTCTGATGAAGAGGAGGAGGAGGAGGAGCTCGCTGAACGAGGATATAATGCCGAGCAGGAGGCGATTGAGAGGGACCTGCTGGATGCCTTCAACTCTGATAGTGACGATTGGGAGGTGGATGATGATGACGAAGGAACAGATGATGATCTCAAGGCGCTTCTCAGGGAGACACATAGTACGAAGAGGAAGCGCTCTGCTAAATCGAGCAAAGGTGCAAAGAAAAGACTCACGTCCGTGCGTCCTGCGAAGGAGCTGGATCCAGAGATTCGTGTATTGCTTTCAGAAGCCAATGAATGCTTTGTGGCCAGACAGTACGAACGGGCAGAACTGAAATTCAAAGAGGTGATTAAGAAGGACCCTCGAAACTTCCCAGCATACAAGAGTTTGGGAGAGATTTACCTCCTACTCAATGACCCGAATAAAAGTTGTAATACATGGTTTCTTGCAGCTCATTTGAGACCCACGGATGGTGAATTCTGGGCTTTCGTGGCAAGACAATCGCGTGAGCTGGGGCATACATCGCAGGCTCTGTACTGTCTGAGAAGAGCAGTTACAGTTGGGTATAGGACATTTGACGTGCTTCTAGAAAGATCAATCCTTTACAGGGAGAATGGAAGCTATGGAAGAGCTTCAGAAACCTTACAAAAGATGCTTGAGCTGTTTCCCAAAGAGCCCGCAGTACTGCGTGAACTAGCCTTGATCTACAACCAACTGAACAGAGTCAATGATGCTATCGCACTGTACCTCAAGTTGTTTGAGAAGAACATAAACCATAGAAATGCCGTACAGATGGGGGAAGATGTCACAAATGAGAAACCCTTCCCTGTATTTGATTGGTCGTCTTTGAACATCTTGGCTGAATTGTTTGTGAATCAGAAGAACTATGCCATAGCTATTCGAACAATCAAACATATCTCAAGATGGATACAGGAGAGAGAATCTGAAGAATTCTGGGAGTACGTCACTGATGATTCGGAATTTGATGAGAGAAGATATGAAAATGCACATTTTGAAGCGCTGCCCGATATCTTGAAGAACAAATCACACAAGCTTCCAATCGATATACGTGTCAAATTGGGATCTCTGAGGCTTAGTCTTGATAACATTGATGAGGCTTTAGTGCACTATAACTTTCTGCTCAACGACAATATCAATGAAACGTCGGACCTGTTCTTAGAGGCTGCTCAAAAATTGGAGGCTGCTCAACTGTTTGCCGATGCAATCAAATTTTACGTACCTTTGAGCAAGATTCAGGAGTTTCAAACTGCACAGCTGTACTCTTCCTTGGCCAGATGCTCAACAGAACTTGGAAAATACACCGATGCGAAGCAATACTACAACATAGCACTGGAGATGGAGCCGGATAATCTCGATATGATGCTTTCTTTGGTTGAAGTGTTGTATTATCTTGAAGAAGTGGAAGAGTCGCAAGAACTTCTTGATAGAGTCAATTTCTTGAGAGCAATTGATCAAACACAAAAAACCAATGAAGATGTTACAGTAGATGATGAGCTTTCTAAATTACCATCAACGGGAGGTGCTTTGATTGAAAATGAAGTCAGAGTGAAGAAGAAATCAAGACTCACAGAGGCTGAGAAACAGGAAAGAGAGGCGCGTATTACCCAAAATGTGATTGAAAAGTTCAATAGAGCACAAAGGTTGTACCAAGGTGTTGAACAGGGTGACAAGGTTGCTGCTGCTACTTGGATTCAATTGACATCAGAGCTTATTGAACTTTTCTGTAACGTCAAGAATTTCTTCCCAAAGGATCGCTCAAGACAGTTCAAAGGTATCATCATGAGAACTAAAGGTCTTAACATGGATATTGATTCCAAGATTGAAAGAATTTCGGAACTTTACGAAGGGTTCACCTCCAAGATGGAGGAAAGAGTTGTTTTGACTTCAAAGCAAGAATTTAGAGGTATAACATATGACCAATGGTTTTCACTCTTTATGCAATATGCCTTGGCTGTTGGAAAATTCGACAACCCTGAAGATGCTAACAGCATTATTGACAATGCAAAGAGCATCAACGTTTTCTACCATGATAAACAGAGAGAAAGAATAATGAACCTTGTGAAACTTGCTCTTGTTATCAAAACGGATGACTCAAAAAACATCTTGAACTCCATAAGACAAGTTGTGAACATGTATCAATTCAACAGGGATCTTTTTAGAATGTTTATGCTTGTCCAGCCTTCTGGTAAGATGTGTACGGAAAACTTCATCTCCATCAACCATCAGAAGTATTTTCTAAGACAACTGAAGGGGTACGACTCTTTAAAGCTGAGGAAGCACATCGCAGGAATGGCAAACATTGTGAATAAAGACCTTGATCCTAAAGGGCACGATAACGTGTACATTATGCATATATATGCCTGCCTTCTATTCACGAATAGAAGTTACGTTCCAAGTTTGGTGTATTTGACGAGAATATACAAAAACATCAAGAACGAACCATTGATCTGTCTATTGACAGGGCTGGCCCATGTACACAGATCAATGCAGAGATCATCAACCAATCGTCATATGGAATTACTCCAAGGGTTGAAATACATGATGGAATACTTTGAGATCCGTTCTTCAAGCAACTCCACTCGCTTGGAGCACCAAGAGGCTCTCTATAACCTCGGCAGGGTGTATCACCTCCTGGGGTTGGTCTCCATTGCAGTTGAGTACTACAACCGCGTCTTGACGGAATATGATGATTTGGACATCGAACAGGATCTGAAGAGGCAAACAGCATATAACCTGGTGTTGATATACAACAACAGTGGCAACACACGACTCTCAAACAGTATCATGGAGAAGTATTTAACGATTTAATAGTATATACAGCACGTATCCTCATCATTCCGGCTTATCAACACTCCTCGGATTTTAAAACTGTAGCATTATCGCTCACCCCCCCAGGCATTCACTCCTGTCTATTTCTATACAAAGGATTATCAAACAATCACCAACATTAAAGCTTTTAGAGGAAGAACAGGGGAAAGAGTGCTCAATCCGGCAATCAACAATGGCACCTACAATTTCACCTCAGGTATGGCTTATTGTAATTGTGTGCGTTATCTGTATTTGGAGAGCTAACAAGTGAATAACTAGGGACGCCTGAAAGTATCGCTGAAGATGGCTATCAGTCGCTTGAGGTTTGCTCAGACGAAGAAGACCGCATTGGCCAAGCAACAGAGGAGACAGGTGAGTAAGAGTGCCATTGTATCTCGTAACTACAGTGTAATACTAATGTATTATCCAGATGGCTGAGCTGCTGGCTCTAGGTAAAGAGGAGAGTGCCAAAATTCGTGTCGAGAACATCATTAGAGATGACATATACATTGAGCTCATGGAGATGCTAGAGCTCTACTGCGAGTTGTTATTGGCAAGAATTGGATTACTGGATCAAAAGGAGTGCGACCCTGGTCTTGTGGAGGCAGTCAAGACTATCATCTACGCTGCTCCGCACACTGATATTAAGGAATTGGTTCTGATTAGAGAGATCCTCGTGCACAAGTTTGGGCCTGAATTCACACACTCTGCCATGTCCAATGAGGATAAAATCATTCCAGAGAAGATCGTCAAGCGTACAATTGTTGAAGCTCCGTCCCAAGAGCTGGTTTCATTGTACTTGAAAGAGATCGCCAGGGCCTATGACGTTCCATTTAGCGAGCTGGATGATGAGGACGATTTAGAGAACAAGGACTACGACGGTGACGATGGCTATGACGATGATGATGATGATGGCGAAGGTGGAAAGCCAATTGTTGTGGAGGAACCAATTGCTGAATTCAATGACCTTGGAGCTACACCTAGAAAGCTCTCCACCACCAGTGGGCTATCAGATCTCGATGAGAAGCAGCACTCGCCAATCCACGTGCGACCACCAGCTGGTACCAGCGATAATCCTCATCCAACCGTCAAGATCCCAGATGACCTACAGAAAGCCGTTGGGAAGAAAAAGGCCAAGCGTGCGAGTGATGCCGGGCTAAAGAAGAAGGAAGATGATGATTTGGATGCCCTGAGAAGAAGATTTGCAGCACTCAAACGATGATTGGCTTAGTTGTATATACGCGTATATATATCAACGCAGCTAAAATACGTTGTAAAGAACACAGCCTTATACCGTAGGAAAAAATGGTCAAGGTGTCACGTAATCCGTCCCATGCGGTGAAAAGCATCAACTTGCTCCATTACATGATCAAAATCAATGGATTCGAAACAAATATTCATATCTTTCTGGATCTTTGGTCTCATCAACAACGTCCTATATGTGGTGATATTGAGTGCTGCTATTGACCTTGTTGGGCCGTTTGTTCCCAAGGCAACCGTGCTGCTGGCAGATGTCTTGCCTTCCTTCACCATGAAGCTATCGGCTCCATTCTTCATCCATTTTATCCCCTACAACACCAGGATTGTGATGCTGATCTTCCTGAGTGTTATTGGAATGCTGCTAGTGACGTTTGGGGCGATTGGATGGAAGATCTTCGGGATCATTTTGGCATCCATAAGCTCAGGGCTTGGAGAGTTGACATTCCTTCAACTGACACACTTCTTCGAAGAGACGAGCTTGCAAGGTTGGAGCTCTGGCACTGGTGGAGCCGGTCTCATTGGCAGTGGAGTCTTCTTGCTGCTCACAACGGTGTTGAAAATTGATGTGAAGCTATCACTTTTGATGTTTACTCTCTGTCCACTAGGGTTTCTCTACTACTTTAGATTACCACGGACATCACCCTACTCTCCACTACAGTCAATTGAGCTCACCACACAACCAAGTGAGTTGAAAACACACATTACACACACGCTGGAAAGGTTGAAGCCCTTATGTGTTCCCTTTATGGGCCCACTCTTTACTGTGTACCTCGCAGAGTATCTCATAAATCAATCAATAGCACCAACTCTGTTATTCCCTATAGAGTCTACTCCATTCCACAAGTATAGGGACATGTATGTGACCTATGGCACTCTGTACCAGCTGGGTGTTTTCATCTCGAGATCATCAGCATCATTTGTTCGGATACGTAAACTATACGTTCCTTCCATCCTACAGTGGGTGAATGTGGTGGTGCTACTGTTGCAATCAATTCTTTATTTCATTCCAAACATCTACATCATTATGATGATCGTGTTTTATGAAGGATTATTGGGAGGTGCGTCGTATGTGAATACGTTCATGCTTGTACTTGAAACAATATCTGATGATGAGCGTGAGTTCTCTCTCGGTGCAACTTCTTTGAGCGATTCCGGTGGTATTGTAGTGGCAGCTCTTCTAGGAATGTGGATTGAACCGAGCCTCTGTCATTACCAAGTGGATCATGGAAGAGAATGGTGTCATTTGAATTGACCACCTATGCCTACTTCCTTCTCTTGGTTGACACGCCCAGAGTGTTTACCTTTCTCTTTAAAACCACTTTAGAAGTAGGTCTCTTGATGAGGTTATTTATAGGCTGATCATAATCAGATTCATCACTGGAGTCATCATTGGATTCGTCATCGGAACTCTTGTAGATATTCATCAGCTCCGTCTGACGTTTAGATGAAAATGCGTCCTGTGCGATCTTCTCATCTTCTTCTTCCTGCATTTTCTGTTTGGCCAACTGTTGCTCCTTCTGGCTCTTCACGATGGTCTGAGACTTCTCCTGTAACCTAACATTCTTCTGTTGGATCTCATCCAATTCCTCGTTCATCTCCTGTTCTCTTCGTAGTGCATTCAACTTGGCTTCGAGTTCCTCCACTGTCGTCGTCTTATTACCAGTCTTGCCCTCTTTCAGCTTTGCCTCCTCTTGCTCCTCCTTCTCCAGCCTTGACAATGTCTCCTCGAGGGTCTCGTCTTGTAGTTTCTGGTTTGTATTGCCAGAGTCATACAGCTTCTTTGCTCCAAAGATCAAGACATAATCAGCACTCTTCGGGTCAGTTTGGAAGATTATTTCACTGGCACATCTGGGACACTTGATGTGCAGTTTGACTGTCTTCAGCCCAAGGTACGTCTCCTCTGTGTTCTCCTTACGCGCATTGAACTTCCTCGCCTTTGAAGTGTATTCACCACAGTTATCGCATCTCAAAGAGTACGGTGTCATGAACCGTACCGTCGGCAGGCTTGCAGAGCCGGTTTTCACCTTCTTCCTCTTCTTGATGATCTTTGAGGGATCAAAGTCTGGTGGATAGTACTTGTTGATCACTTTACGCTCTGACATTGGTTTGCCTCTCCTCCTTTGTCTTCCTCTTGATTCAATGAATGTGTTCTATAGGCAAAGTTGTATGATGAGGTTATACTATGTGATGTCTGGGTGTTTCGCTTTACTGCCTAATCCGGCTGTTTGCGCAAGCCATTTTCCACTAGCCACACTTGACATGTTCGACAAATCAGGCAATGAAAATCGATTCCACGTGCGACACCGACAATTCTCTCCGTTTCTGGCAGTCGCGGAAGAGCAAAATGGCGCAAGACAGCGGAGGCCCGCAGAAACAGGACATGTAACCGTGGTTACGGAGCGAAAAAAACACCAAAGAGAGTTTTTTTTTTCCTTTTTCTTTCGCTTTTGTCGGTTTAATCCCACCGGTTTCCTCCTTGGCTCAGCCCAAAGGCCTCCAAAGTTAGTGAAATTCATCACCAAAAGTCCCTTCTTAGGCTTATTTATCTTACCTTTGCATACTTGCACAGTCGCCAACGAAGCTTTTTGCATTACACAACCAGCCAGGCTTCCCAGGACAGACAGTTATGAAGCCATCAAGCCGTTTTCTGCTGGAGGTGTCATCGGTGATCCACCTAGCGAGTGCCATTTGGCTATACCCGGATGAACTGGAGAGTTTGAAGAACGTTACGTCGTTGATCGCAGATGGTCTAATGGACTACTACACAGGTGATCAGTACGGTCAAACCATCGGTATGTTCTCGAACCCGTACTACTGGTGGGAGGCTGGCGGTGCCTGGGGCTCCATGATCGACTACTGGTACTATATGGAAAACGACACATACTTGAACCAAACGTACGAGGCACTCTTAGCACAGGTTGGCGATGATTGGAACTACGTGCCGTTGAACCAGTCCACGACAGAAGGTAACGATGATCAAGGGTTCTGGGGCATTGCAGTCATGGCTGCTGCCGAGAGAAACTTTCCAAATCCTCCAGATGACCAGCCACAGTGGTTATATCTAGCACAGGCGGTGTTCAATACAATGGCATTGAGATGGGACCCAGATCACTGTGGAGGTGGTCTAAGATGGCAGATCTTTGAATGGAACTCTGGTTATGACTACAAGAACTCCGTTTCCAACGGCTGTCTCTTCCACATTGGTGCCAGATTGGCCAGATACACCGGGAACACTTCATACGTTGACTGGTGTGACAAGGTGCACGATTGGATGTACGACACAGGTCTCATCCATGAGAGCGACTGGTACTTTGTCTATGATGGTGCGAACATTGACGATAACTGTACGGAGATCACAAAGCTCCAGTGGACTTATAACCAAGGTCTCATGATGTCAGGCTCTGCTTACTTGTACAACTTCACTGAGGAGGAGAAGTGGAGAACAAGAACACTCGACTATTTGAGAAGCTCCACGGTATTCTTCAACGACTCGGTTCTCTATGAAGCTGCGTGTCAAGGCAGTAACAACTGTAATAACGATCAAAGATCGTTCAAGGCTTATTTCTCTAGATTCTTGGGCTTGACCGCATATATGGTTCCAGAGACTTATGACGACATCTACAGCTTGCTGGACGCCTCTGCAAGAGCAGCCTCCAACTCGTGCTCTGGTGGTACAGATGGCCACACGTGTGGACTCAACTGGTGGTATTCAGGCTGGGACGGGTACTATGGACTGGGTGAACAGATGTCTGCTCTTGAAGTGATGCAAAATTTGAGAATTAGGGACAGACCTGCTCCATGTACTAACTCCACCTGTGGTACGTCACAAGGTGATGGTGCTGCTGGTACGCAACAGAGTCAAACCAATCTAAGTCCACTGACAATTGACAAGGGTGATGAAGCTGGTGCTGCAATCATCACCGTTGTTGTCGGTGCGACAATTGTCGGAGCATTTGCTTGGACTGTGCTATGATGATTCAATCTTGTTCAATTATACTATGACTTTGCTTTGTTTGTTTGTTCTCTGTTTATGCAAGTAACTACTTGCAAATTACTATATTATGAAAATATATCTGGACCAGAATGGGAGGTGAAACGACTTATAGTGTAGAGGTTACATAAAACAACACAGGTTACCCAGTGAGCTTCCGACTTTGGCATCTCGGTTCCACCATAGCTTGATGAATTCAATGACGAATTCAATGTCGTCCGTGGAGTAAGGATCCAATCCCATTTCAACCAGGTCAGAGTATTCCACCACTATTGGCTCATTAACGTCCAAGTCCCCGACAATATCCTGAACGGTTCTAAATATTCTCTTTGTAAGGCTTTGGAAATAGCCCACTATTGATAATAGCCTCTCATTACCGTTCTCGCCAATCTCACTATAACCAGCAATCCCTTCAGAGTAAGTCTCGTCGTCCATGAGCTCCTTCTCACCCGCTGAAGCCCACCAGTAGAAGCCAGACCATGCCAGATACCTCCATGAAAGTGGCTCAGTTACCTGAGCCCACCAATCCAGCGATGATTCATCATCTGTGATGTCACTATCCTTATACAGTTCATATTCTCGTACGAGCACGTTGAATCTCTTCAAATCTCTCTGTGTTGCTCTTAGAGCTGGGACATTGACTGCACCTGGTAGCTTGGCCTTTGACTGGAACATCACAGGACTGGAAGCGTCTTCCCTCTGCAATTGCACAGCTGTGTCGTAGAGCTTGTTCTTGAACATGATAATCTCATCTGACGACACTGCAATGAAGCCATCCTCGTTTGAGGCCAAAGTCTTTAGCCAATCAATATCACTGACACCAACGGAGAAGATTGGTCTGTTGAACTGGAGATTACACGCCGTGGTTTCATCGATTAGCGATTTCAGCTCCTGTGGAACCGTTGATAGTATTGAGAGACAATAAGCAAAGGCACAACTCTCCTCCAAAGAAGGGGCATCGAAGAAGATGATTCTCTGTCTCAACAGCGAGCACCTCCACACTTTGAAGATCAGTGGGCCTAATGTTTCCAGGAGCGAGTCCAGTTTCAACAGATAGTGGTGATTTCCCTCCTTTGCATTCTCCGACGGCAATATTCTCTGGACCCTTGGTGATGACGGTGTTGACATAACATTGACGATATCAGATTTGGCCTCAAAGAACTTCTCAAACGAGTCATAGCCGTCTTCTTCCTTCCAATTATCCAACAGCTGGTTCAGCTCTTCCACGTGCTCAACTCCACATGAGAAGTTTGCCGGCTTCCAAGCAGGACCCGAGGATGTCACCAACGAGTTGGACCTATGCTTGTAGGGATCAACAATCACACCCAGCGAGTACATCTTAACAGTGGATCTATCACCGCTCTCTGACTCTTTCAAGTTCTGGTGGAAAACACATACTCCATACAACAAATCATCAACACCCTTTGATCCCTTAGCCGGCAGCACAAATGTTATCACGTCTCGTTCCCTCTCATGCAAGCCTGAAGGCAATGCTTTAAACTCCACACCCTCCAGTGAGATCTCATCGACTGACTTGCTCCATTTCAACTCATAACCAGTATGGACGTTGAAGTGGGCTAGAAAGACGGCACTTATCGGTATGTTCTGTGCAGCAGAAGCCGATGGAACAAAGATGTTCAACCCTCTGGAGACCAGCCCATGGTCCATGTTCACACCAACGTACTTCACAGGCGACGTTACAGCTGCCATTGTTCTTCTGTGGATCTTCTAAAGCTCCCTGTTCCTCTCTCTCGCTGGCCATTCATATAGCTAAAACTTCAAGAGAGCTGGAATTTCCCTCGCTTATTGGCTTTCTCCCCCCAATGCCGGATAAACACTCAGCTTGCTCCTGCGTGCTTAGTAAACACCGGATAAACCTCAGCGAGAGCAATCAAGCACATCTACGCCGATATTGACCAATAAAAGTGACTATACATATAGTTGGAGTAGTAGCTAAGTGTATATATAATCACAATTCGTCGTGCTCAACGGTTTCCTTTTGTTTCGAAACTGTCTCGGTGGTTTCCTCGTCAATTGGCGTATCAACCGGTGTTTCCTGTATTACTTCTTCTTGTTGTTGTTCCTCGATGTCATCTTCAGCTTCATCTTCCTCCGTTGAGGCCTCTTTTCCTTCCTCCTCTGCCATCTCTTGTCTCTTCTTCTCCTCCTTAGCTGCCTTTCTCTTGAGAGAACGGATTCTCTTGTTGTAGATCTCCTTCAGTCCCCTGTGAGCACGCGCAAATTTGGCTGCAATGTTCTCCTCAAGCTTCTCCAATCCGTTCAACTTTTCATTGGCCTCGATCATAACCTCGAGCTTGTCATCTCTAGAAACGGACTCGAACTTGTTTTCACCCTTTTCGATGAGATTCTTAACCTCTTCAAGCGCACTATCGATGCTCTTCTGGACCCTGTTGAACTTGTCCTCAGAGATTAGCTCTGGCAGTTTCAACTTTGAGAATTCTTCGTCAAAGTCCAATCCAATTTTGGCAAACTCCACGGATAAGTTCATGGTGATGTCCTTCAAAGTTAGCAACGAATCCTGGAACTTGTTCACAGCCTTAACACCTCTGTCATAAACCTTTTTAAACTCATCTAAATCCAACGGGACAGAAAGTTTGGCAATTTCACCTTCAATTTCATCTCTAATCTTTTTAACCTCGTTGAGTTTACCCTTTATGGTCTTTATAGAGGCACCGTCACTCTCGTAATCTAGCCAATCCAACAAATCGCTCACAAGGGCATTTGCATGGTCCAATACATCCTCTTCAATTTGTTCAACAACGTCATCATCTGTGAAATAGGAACGTGCACTGTACAATGCCGCTTCTAATTCATTCAACTTCTCAGCCTCTGATTTTCTCTGCTTATCAGCATTTGCCAAGTTCAACAGGTGTAATTTCAAGTCTTGCCTTGTAGCAGAGCCTAAAGGACGTGACGAAAGATACTTTGGCTTGACTGCAATCTTTGAAGTGAGTTTGATATCTTCGTTACTGTCAAAAGTTCCCTTGAGCTTTTCAAACAATCCCATTGATGCAGTACATTGTGCACTCAAAGACTCAAGTTCAACTATACGACTCTGTGATAGCTTAAAGTTGGCAACATACTTCACTTCATCAGCACAATCGCTGATGTTGAATTTAAGCTTCTCGACAATATCTGCTAGTTTACCGACAGGTTCATATCTGACGATTCTCTTTAAATCTTCAATCAAGTCAATGCCAAACGAATCACTAAGCTTATCAGTCACATCAAGCGTGAACTCTTGACCGTATGAGGATCCCTGTGGGAAGATCACAACCTCTGAGTCATCATCGAATGAAACAGAGTATTCATATGGAGATCTCTCTGTAACGTTAAATTCCTTTGCTCTAAACACCTTGGATATTTGGACTCCACGGAGTGTGGCACCAAACACGGCAGCTTCATCTGCATTGATTGTCTTTGAAATCAAATCTTCACCGATAAAAGACTGCAAATGGCGTTGAACGAATGGTACACGGGTTGAGCCACCAGCATAGATAACAGACGTCATGTCCTTAATGCTGAGACCTGCTTGTTTCAACACATCCTTTAAAGGCTGTGTAATACTTGGAATCGAATCAGATATAAAGTCCTCAAACTCTTCACGGGTAACTTTAGTCTTGAAATCGATATCCTCATAGAGGGATTCGATGGAAACGTGAGCCTCGTTATTTGCACTCAACACTAGCTTGGCTTTCTCAGCAGCCTGGAACAATTTAGCCACAGAACGTTCATTTGACTGGAATTTATCAGATCTAATCTGTTTATGGTTCTTCAAGAACTTTGATCTGATCAACTCTGCCACAACGTTGGTGAAATAACCTCCACCAAGAGTTTCATCGAACGCATAGCCATGGACTTCAATACTCAGTGGGATTGAATCGTTGAGCTTTGTAAAGGAAACCAAAGTGGCCTTTGTAGAGCCAGCGCCCATATCATAAACGATGTGGTATTCCTTTGTATCGTCTGCCAACTCGTTATTGGTCGCATAGTTGGTGGCAATAGCGACACCATCGTCAATCAGTGCAACAACGTTGAGTCCTGCTAATTCAGCAGCATCCAAGATAGCCAGTCTTTGAGATTGTTTGAAGAAGGAAGGGACTGCAATGGCAACGTCCTGGATTTGGGAGTACCCACCTGGCACCTTTTCCTGGAGCAAAGAGGAAGCCCTTGCTTTGATATTCCCCAAGTTCATAGCCAACACCTCCTCTATTGGATACTGGTGATCCTCGACTTCAAACGAGATGGTGTTTCTGTTATTCTGAGAAGGATTGATCGAAACACCAGGGTGTGACTTCAAGTAGCGCTGGACAACAGCGTCATCCGCTGGTTTGCCCAATAATGGCTTATAATTCAGCAGGCACTGCTTCGGGAACCTCGTGCAGTGAGACGACGTCTGAGAGCCGTAGAGCCTCTCGATACCATCGTTGAACAGTGGCTTCAATGCCAACCCTGAAACGTCCTTACGCTTGGAATCGGCGCTCATCACGATCTCAAAGGGCATTCTTGGGGCAACCAGAGCAGCCTTGGTGAAGTCATTGCCGAGATCGATACCGAGAATCGATGCCACCGTCACAGTACATATCAACAACAAGAGCGATACACCTCTCATTCTCTTAATTGGCGTTAAAACTTTGGCCTTCTTCCTATGTCCTTTACCAGCAAAGTGGTGGTGATGATGTGGCACTTCACCGAAACCCGGCCAACAGCACGCATAGCAAAAGTAGTGAGCGTACCGATAAACAAAAGCCTAAGACTGTGTACGCAAAAAAAAACACAAACAGCTTTGCTCGATGAGATGGAAAGTTCTAGAAGGAAGAGGAAATTACACAAACTCACGGAGAGAAGATGAGTAACAACAACGTGTTGGAGGCTCTTAAGCAGAAGTGTGAGTACCTTGTCGACGGTTTGTGTTGTGATGGTTTACTAACGTGGGTTGATGTAGTGCTTCAGGAACAGGGCGAGGGTGCTGGCTATAGGGCCCGAGAGTCGAGGGACGGTGAGAGAACTGCTGGTGAGAGGGCTCCTGAGTCCAATGGCTACAGCTCTGTGAGAGATACTCGTGGCTCTGACTACAGAGACCGTGATGCTGACAGACGGGAGTATGGCAGAGGTGGTGGTAACTACAGAGATTACAGAAGAGACGATAGACGGTACAGGAACTCCGGCGGAAGGGAGGATAACCGCTCCAGAGGCTACGATTCAAGAGATTACAGGGACTCGAGGGATTCAAGGGATCACTATAATGATCGGAGAGCGTACAGGGATGGTCGTAGAGACCACCGAGACTACAGAGACTACAGGGATCGCAGAGATCGCAGGGACCCTAGAGATCACAGAGATCACAGAGATCACAGAGACCATCTGGAGTTCTCCCAGTACAACTTCAAGCCAGAAGAAGTTGAATCTGCCACCAGCATCGACAAACTGGAGCGACACTCATTGTGGGATGTCAAGCCAAAAGGGTTTGAAAAAGTCAGTGCTGAAAGGGCAAAGATTTCAGGTTTATTCCCATTGCCTGGTGAAGGTCGTAAACAACGTATCGATATCTCCAAAGTTGAAGGACTGGTCAACAGTGGTGATTTGAACAACTACACGTCAATTCTGTTCGACGAGGTCAATATTGACCCTGCATCCTCTCGTCTTTCAAAACAATTAATCATATCTGGTGTGGAATTTACACTGTACCCTGTTGAACGTCTCGTGAAAGGTTTGACAACTTTCATCTCTTCATTGGCAATTGATGGTGCGATGATCGTCAAACATGAACTCCACCTAAACAAGTTCTTGATATTACAACTCTCAACGAGTGAGTTGACTACAATACTATACGCATCGTCGTACCATTTACAAAAGGAGTTGAACCTCTCGTTAACCATTGAAAGACCACAATCTTATATCTCTCCTCAAAGAATTCCAAATGACCCATCATCCGATTGTTCGAATAAGATCGCTATTGTTAATGTACCCTCTGATATTACGGAAGAAGATTTGAAGGACGATTTGGATCCATTGGTACCTAATTGCCATATCCAAATAATCAAAGATAACGATTCAAACTCATTGGGAATTGTGTTTGTAACGGTTCCAGATGGTAAAGACGTGGGGGAGATTGTTGAACTCATCAATAAGATTCAAATCAGGGACGTAACTCTTCATTCCATCAAAGCGTGTGCAGGACTTGAACAAGTTGAAAAGGTCACTTTCAGATCGTTAGCGAAAATAGCAAGCTCTCACCAGCTAGTCGAAACCAACGTTATTGTGATCTTGAATGCCGTTCATCCAGAAGAGTTGAAGAAAGACATGGCATACGACCAAGTAACAAAAGATATGGCACATGAATGTTCAAAGTTTGGATCGGTTGTATCTCTGAAAATACCACGTCCAGATGAGTCCTACAAGAGGAATTTAAAAAACTTGCAATCTTCAATTGGTAAGATATTTGTGAAATTCGAATCCACAGACAATGCAACAAAGGCTGTTAAAGGTTTGCACGGATGTAAGTACCATGAAAGAACCGTCTTGGTGAGTTATATCCCTGAAAATGACTACGAATTGAACTTATTCTGAACTTTTGATTTGATCAACAAAAATGTGTTTTTTAAGCTATATAATGACGTGAAAAAGGAAGAGTTATTCGCTTACAACTTTGTAGCTGGGGTAGATCTCTCCAAAGTGGTAACGTCATCGTAGATCAAAGTGGTCAAGAAGTTGTGGTACTCCTTGCCGGTAACGTCATCCTTGAAGTAGTTAGCAGCTTCAGCAAACTTGTGACCTGGCTTAGCCTTCGAAGCCAACTGTTGTTGAACTTCACCCAGCAACTTAGAAGTGTACTCTGGGGTAACAATCTTACCCTCTTTGGTCTTAGCACCATGTCTAACCCATTGGTACAATTGGGATCTTGAAACCTCGGCAGTGGCAGCATCCTCCATCAAGTAGTTGATTGGAACACAACCGACACCACGCAACCAAGCTTCAATGTAGGACAAACCAATCACCAAGTTGGCCTTGATACCAGCCTCGGTGATCTCACCACCTTCAACGTATGGAGACAACAAATCACGTTGAGTGATTGGAATGTAGCCTTCAACGCCCTTACCGGAATTGATCTGGTTTGGTGTGAGCATTTGCTTGAAGATCTCGTTAGCAATTGGAGCCAAAGCTGGGTGGGCAATCCAAGTACCGTCATGACCAGCATTGAACTCTCTGAGCTTATCCTTCTTAACGTTGGCCATGGCAACAGCGTTACGCTTTGGATCATCCTTGATTGGAATTTGAGCAGCCATACCACCCATGGCGTGGACACCACGACGGTGACATGTGTAGATCAAAAGCTTGACGTAAGAGGCCATGAAGCCAACAGTCATGTTCACTTGCGCACGGTCTGGCAAGATGAACTCTGGGTGGTTTCTCAAACACTTGATGTAGGAGAAGATGTAATCCCAACGACCACAGTTCAAACCTGCAGAGTGCTCACGCAACTGATAGATGATTTCATCCATCTGGAAGGCTGCTGGCAAGGTCTCGATCAACACGGTGGCACGGATGGTGCCTCTTGGGATGTTGATGTAATCTTGAGCAACGTTGAAGATGTCGTTCCACAGCTTGGCCTCAAGGTGGTGCTCCATCTTTGGCAAGTAGAAGTAAGGACCAAAGCCCTGGGCAATGGTCTCCTTGGCGTTGTGGTAGAAGTACAGTGCAAAGTCAAAGATCGAACCAGACACTGGCTCACCGTCAACCAACACGTGCTTCTCCTCCAAGTGCCACCCTCTTGGACGCACAATCAACGTTGGAATGTGCTTGTTGAGGTTCAACTTGTACTCCTTGTTGCCCTTCTTGAAGTCGATTTGCTTTCTGACAGCGTCGTACAGGTTCACCTGGCCGTCAACCATGTTGAGCCATGTTGGCGTGGCAGAATCCTCCATATCACACATATACGTCGCAACGTGTGCGTTCAGCGCATTGACAAGCATCGATCTGGAAGCTGGGCCTGTGATCTCGGTTCTTCTGTCCTGAAGCTTTGGTCCCAACACAGGGCCCTTCCAGGTAGGGTCCTCTCTGATGTACTTGGTCTCCTCAAGGAAGTTTGGCAAGATACCGGCATCACGCTTGGACTGCTCAACCTGGCGGTTCGCCAACAGTCTCTTACGGGTCTTGTTGAAAGTACGGTGCAAGATCGCAATGAACGCCAGCGCGTCCGCGGTGATGATGTGCTGGGCGTTCTGTGGAACGCGCGCACGCACTTGCACTCCTTGGAGCACGTCCTGGGTCTCTGGGAATGGGTTGTCAGCAACAGTCATCTCGTCTGGGGGGGTGTTTGTTGATCCTTTTACTTTGAACTTGGGGTGTACAACAAGGGGAAAGGAGAAAACAAAAATTTCAGGGGAAACACCCCCTTTTAAATACAACACGGGAGAAGACCGTATAGCGAGTCTCTTCAACAATATGCCTCCATCACCTTGGTACCCCCATTTTCCCATTCAACCAACAACCAGGTTTCAATAATCCGGGGTAAACGCGCGGGCGGAAGGAAGCGCACGCACCAATACCGTGCGTTTGCCTCTTCGGCTTCGCTCGTGAGGGATGTTGTGGTTTGCTTTCAACCGTGCGAGGGAGTGCGCCTGGGGATGAGCCCACACGGGGAGGCAGGCCGAGTCACGGAGAGTGCCGTTGGGTTTCGGGTCAGGAGAAGTGGGCATTTGTTGTTGAGCGTGTCCTGCTTCTCCCGACACGGGCCATGTCAGCTGTTACACGGTGTGCTTTGGTAGCTGTTACGTAGTGTGCTTTGTTAGCTGTTACGTAGTGTAAGGTGTTACGTAGTGTGCTACGTTAGCTGTTGCAAAGTTAGCTGTTACGTAATGTAAGCTCTTATGTACTGATAGCTCTTACGTACTGTTAGCTGTTACGCACTATTAGCTCTTATGTACTATTAGCTCTTATGTACTGCTAGCTGTTACGTACTGCTAGCCCTTACATAGTTAGCTCTTACGTAGTTAGCTCTTACATAGTTAGCTCTTACGTACTGTGCTTTGTAAGCACTTACGTAAACCCCTTAGTAAGCCCTTATATAAGCACTGGTGTCCGGGTGTAGCCTCCCTCCGTCGCTCTTTCCTCGCCTTCCCGCGGGAGGCTCCTGATAAAGCGCCATACAACGGCCTTGCGACTTTTCCCTTTCGTCGTACAACAACAGCACACACACTTAGACACAACGCTTACACGGTGAAAGAGCACAGCCAACGTGTAACACAGCACAGCAACGATGGGGAATCTGTCTTCAAGGATGGCGCACGACTCTGGCGAGGGCCAGCAGGGACGGGCAGGCAGATCAGCGAGCTCTGGCTCCAACAGTGGAGTTGGCAACGGGGTTATGAGTCAGACGTCTACTGGCACGACAGGGGCAACGGCGGCACCGGTGGCAACGACAGGGGAAGCGACGATAGCAGCAGTGCCAGCAGTGCCAGCAGCGAATGAGTCGGCACTTCAACAGGCGTTGCACGGTGAATCGCATGCGCTCAGCGAGGGTGAACCGCAGATGAGCGCAATGTTGGATGCTTCACAGAGAATGGCGAACGTGAGAAGACGAAGATCATCGGCACAGAGCCAGAGACCGCGTCAGAGACGTAGGATACACAGACTGGCGGATACCCTGAGGTTCTGGAACAGAGACGGTGAGTCGATACAGTCGCTGTTCGATACCATGATTGACGAGGCCCGTGCTGACATGGATAGCAATGCTACTGATAACAACAACGTGCGGATAGCAACAGGCGCTTCCGCCGCTGTTCCAGCACCTTCTGGTAACAATGATGCATTGCCTCGTTCACCCTCTGGCGATGCCTCTGGAAGAGAGGATGAAATTGCACACTTTATGGATGAGCTGGATAGCATAGCCTCCAGATTAGGAAACACGGCAGCTGCTAGGGCAACCCAAAATAGATCGCTCTCAGGATCCGCTGACTCCAACGACTCAGGCACAACTCAAGGGTCATTATCGTTCGACAACCAGGTTGAAATGCTTTCAAGGCTCTTGGAACTGGCAGCTTCGTCTGCTCTTCGAGGGCTAATGGGATCATCGGTGGTCAATGGTCGTCGTTTTGATAACACTTCGAGATCAACAGGCGACAATGGTGCACCACAGGACTCGACGTACCAAGAGTTCGTCACACAATTGCACCATGGACTGCTAAACACTGAGCTCACTCGTAACGCTGGCTCGGACAATATGTCCTTCTTTAGAGCGTTTAGATTCGACAGTGAAACCTCTCAAGGCGCAAATGGTAACCAAACAGCAAATGAGCACTCTGTTGTACCTGTGATGATCATTGGGCTACGCTCGGTACAACAACCCCGAGACACCACAGCCACGACATCCAATAGCACACCACAACCAGAGAATGTTGACTGGTTTATGCGTGGTGAGAACAGCAGACCTCCAACAACTTCTGCAAATCCAACAGCATCACATCCAACATCACCAACACTATCTCCATCGTCATCAGAAACAACAACAAGGTCTACTTCAACGCCACAGGATGAAGACTCGGCTGCACATACCTCTTGGGTGATATTTGTAATGGGCAACTCATTCGAATGGAACCATCCGTTATTATCAGCCCCCTCATTGATGTCTGAAAACCCAACTTACGAGGACTTGTTGAACTTGCAAGACTTGATTGGTCAAGTCAAACCACAAGTCACCACCGCTGAAGAGTTGGAAAAACACGACTGTCAATTGTTTGAAATCGTTAGCACTGAGTCATCTAGTCTAAGAACAACACAGTATAAGACCTTAGACCATACAGCTTTGAACGACAGGTGTCAAATTTGTCTATCCGACTACCAGTGTAACGAAATTGTTCGCAAGTTGCCGAATTGCGGACACTTCTACCACCAAACATGTATAGACACTTGGTTGACAAGGGGTAAGAATAACTGTCCCTTGTGCAGATCCAAGGGAATCCAATCACAAGATGATACCACAGCGTCATGAACCCATACCCCCCTGTTTATCTTGTTCTCGTTCTCTTTATTTGATTTAATTACTTTTAGTTTTCTTCTTTATTATCATGACCTCCAAATACCACAGTCTACAGTATACACTTAGCAAACAAAGGGACAAGTATAAGATACATCACTAAGTATAAACATAGCCTCCATAGTTTCAATTCACGTTGATTTGTTCGGACGGCCCCCAATTTGGCTCACCTTCATTGTTGAACAAGATCCTATTGGGGGTCTGTGGTTTCCCCTCTAAGCTCACCAATGGTATGTGATCGTTCAACGAATATTTAACAACTCTTTCAACAGCTTGTGGACCAGTATCCCCCATTCCCATGTAGTATGCAACCATTCCTGCAGTGATCCCAGCTGATAGGGAAGTTCCAGATTTGTAAGTCGATGCACCACCTCTGAGAGACGTTGTCTCCACTGAGACTCCAGATGTGAATATATCAACACATGGCCCCCAATTGGAGAAGGAGGCAATTCTATCCTGTGCATCCAATGCACCAACAGTTAATGAGCCCTTTGCGCTTCCCGGAGAGAAGTCACACGCAGACTTCCCGTCGTTACCAGCAGACGCTATCACTGGGATTCCCTCGTTGACAACGGCCTCAACGGCACCGTTCAATATCAAGTTCTTTTTCATTATAAGCGGGATGACAACAACCGATGGTCTCTCAGTAATGCGTGAATCGCTCACTATCAAGTTCAACGCGTTTATAACGTCTGTCAACTTGGTACGACCTCTGTTGTCAGTGACCTTTATATCGTACAAGTTGGCCTTCTTGGCCACACCAAAGGTTTCACTACCAATGACGCCAGCTATGTACGTTCCATGGCCCACAGGGTCTGTTTGGTCCCTGACACTCTGGCCTGTATAGTCTGCAATTTTATGAACCCTGTGTGTAAAATCTGGGTGGTTCAGCTGTATACCAGAGTCTAATATGTAGACATCTACACCGATTCCACCACTAGGATCATACACGTAATCCATGCTTTGTCCAGCGTGTAGCCGCTCCACCTGTGAAAGCCTGGTCAAGTGCAGTGGCGCATACTCTTGAACCTCTGAGAGAACGAGTTCCCGGTCAAGGGAGATTGCAACAACATTAGGATCGTTGTACAAGGACGAAACGGTCTCGGTGGTGAAGTTGCCAGTGATTCCCTTGAAATCGCCAATCTGGAAAGACGACAAGTCGAGTTCACCTGCTGTTTGCAGAGACAAGTGGCCCAGGTTCGTGATGTAGAACTTGGAAACAAAGCTTTCAACGTCTACGTCTCTGTGGAACTGGACGACAAAGCTGGTACTGCACACTAGTTGCACCATACAACTGAGAGAGATCACGTGGCGCTGTCTCATTCGTTCTATCGATTCCTTTGTGTCTCAGTGGCTTTCCCTGTACATCATCAACAAGGAAAGAGAGCATCAAAGCAGTTGAATTTGTGGTTTGGAGATATCAACACTCAAAATGGCCTGTAACGACACAAAATCAGCTCTTCAGGAGACCTGCCAGTATGGCCTAGAAGTCCAATTGCTCCTCCGCGTACTCTGGATTTGGTGATTCCGGGTTTATCACAAACTCAGAGATATCTTCGTCGCCTTCGACTTCCAGCCCATAGTCAACGAGCTCTTGGTTGTGTAGCTTGGAGATGGTGTCGTGAACTCTTTGATGTTTGGTATCTTCACTGTCATATTCGAATTCTTCTTCCCCTGCGGAGCCTGTGTCCAATATGCTCATTGTCTGGGCTTCCTGTCCGCCTTCTTGTTCCGCCAGCAGTCTCTCCTTCTCTTTCCTTTCCCTCTCTTTCCTTTCCTTCCGTAGCAACCTCTTTCGTTTATCCTTCTCTCTGCGTGCATCAGCATCGAGTCTCTCTGCCTCTCTATACTTGGTCAGGTAGATCTTCAACGCTTCAGCATAGTTCTCGAATCCCAGCGAGTACATGGCATATAGCACATCTTCGCCATTTAGGGTCTTTCTCTTCTCTGCTTGACATCTATCAACTGCCCCTGACGTTACGAATGAGATGAACTCAGAAACACACTCTTGCATGCACATCTTGGACTCTTTCGAGAGTTTGCTCTCTGGAGGCAGGGCGTTCTTCATCACTCTGGCCACTGGAGAAAAGGGTGTTAGTATTAGATCTTTCAGTGGAGTAAACGTTGATGGAGGGGAGAAATAATGCAGAGGATTTGGTGATACTTACCGTTAGCAATGGGCAACCATCTATCTTGTTCTTTAATCTCATATTCACGGTCCAGTTCGTTCTCTGGTTCTGTATTCTCAGCAGGAGGATTTGGCACTTCATGGGAATAAAAAGACCCAGTTATAGAGTAAGGGACTGTTGATCCGGAACCTGGGTGAGGAGCAGCTGCCTGGATGTACGTATACTCTGGTGGTCCATCTTGTCGTTGCATCTTCACAATATTCTTGTTTCTTGCGGTCTATGTGATGAGTATTAATAGCAGTAGTATTGGTCGAGGTGGAAGCACTAGTGGTGGTGCTCTGGAGTGTATAATGGGGTGTCTTTTCAATCCACTCTTTCAATTGCAACACTATCTGTCTCAGAAACCCTGTCTTCCTTTCTTTTATCGATCTTTTGCTCACTTGTTCCTGCCCAAGCACTATATATAAGAACAGTAGATCTTTTAGATAACCTTTTTTGGCCCTGTTTTTAAAACTTTATGCTGCCACTGTTTCAATTTATGGACAAGAGGTATAATGAAAGTTACAATCAATAACTACGGAATACTTCCATCCTAATTTCATAGGAAATGTTGCAAATGACAAGCGGGTATTAGCTCGTCCAACGAATTGACACCCGAAAGTTGAGAATTTTGACACCTCAAACCGCTCTCTACAGAGTGTTGCCCAGTATCTGAGCCCATACGCACTTTCAGTCGCGATACTTGTGGTGGATAACTGTGCCACAAGTTGAGCCATACGTGAGCACTTCCAGAACTGTCGGTAGACACCTACTTTACGCGTTCAGGACGACAAGGACAGTGCCATTCCACTTGTGTGCCTGAGACCTGTCATCAAACAGGCCGGTGTTTGGGTGTTAGCACAGGGAAAAAGCTAAAAGCGCCTGGAAATCACTTTTGACAATGTTCATAACCAATTTCAGGAAGCAAGATACACACACAGGTGCTCTGTTCGGCTTAGGAAGGCAGGAACCAGCGTACTTTGCAGAAATTGCGGACGGTTTGAGAAACGGTAGGCCTATCCAGCGTTCGAAAGCTGAGCTAACACGGAGTAGAAGTTGAAACAACCGAGCTCCACGGCTAAATAGCGAACGCTCCCAGTTGAGCCCAGTAGCTAATGTCCGGAACATCTCAGCGCATTAAGCGAGTTAGAGTCGATTAACGCCGACATATTTAACACCGACGCGCCAACCCTTTTAAGGTTGGCAGTGACGCGTCAGGAAACGTTGTTCTGCGGAATTACCAGCTCCCAGAGGAAGCCTTTCCAGACGCTTTAGGTGATGTAGAGCTCCAAAGGGTCTTTTCCTACGCGTCTGGGATGGGACTGCATGTAAAATGAGCCCAAAAAGGCCCCCAGATGACGTATTGGTGGCATTGGACCAACACGGATAGAGACGTCGTGGCATCGATCACCCTGTGGTGTACGCTTCCGGGCTAAAACTGTGCTTGATTGTAGTTTGATGTCTGGAAAGACGATGTATATGAACATTGGCCTGTCGGACGGAGTCGAATACCGCATGAGGGCCATTATAGAGAGATTGAGTGCGGATTGGGGAACCGAGAGATGTATCCTGACCGGTATCGACGACGACAAGAGTTTCAGTTTGGCATGGTGACAACCCGTGTTTCTGAGCTCCACAGATGATAAGGAAACCAATGGCTCACATCCCAACTAGGAAATCTCGCATTGGTGAGCATCAATTGACGTGTTTCCTATTCCAGGCAACACGTACACAACTTGTACACAACTTGTACACACTCCACGTCCCGCTTTGGGAAGTAAAGTTCGTCCAGTGTCAACAAGAGATGCAGATCGCACAAGCCCATAAACAAACGATACAATGTGTTCCATAGCTCACGCCCCGAATTCCCAATTAAACTCCCAACACAGTATGTACCATGTACAGAGTAACCACGCTGTTGAGCATTGCAATTCCGTCTCAGATACGCGTTTGTCGCTCCCTCAAGAGCCCTCCCCCTTACTTCCTGCCCAGTTTGCATCTCTGTACGTTTTTTTCCGTGCTTCCAAGGGCCTTCTCTTCATCTCAGCTCGCCTCCCCTGTGGGAATTGCGTGTTTCCTGTGTAAAATCCCAAAACACGCTCCCCCTGGGCCCTTTTCCCTCTGCCTAAGTTCTCGAAACACGCTCCCCTAGGCCTTTTCGCTCCTGCCTACGTCCTGCCTACGTCCTGCCTGGGAAAAACAGTCTCTCCGCCTAGCAAGAACCCATTTTAGGGCGAGAAGGAAAAACAAAACGCGCTTTCCCGTGCCTAACGCGTAAATTTTTTTTGGCCCTTCACCTTCTCCCACTGTACAACGGCCTTTTCTTTTTTTTCTCTCTTTTCGGGTTGGTGCCCTAACGCGTCGAAGCAAGTACGGACACTTTTCTTCAACCACTGCGCTCACACCTTTTCCACGTAATAAGGCAAGGGAATAAGCAGTGACAGAGAAAGGAAGGGGAAAAAATCTCCTGCTGCTTCTGCAATCTGAAGGTTCATTCGTCGAGCTTGGTACATTTTTATAAAAGGTTATTCAGTTCCTTTTGTTACCACTTCCCTATACACCATAAGCACACACCGTGGAGTCGAAGGTTGAAGCTAGAAGACATGAGTTGGTCACCACAGTATAACAGATTGGGACCTCCAAAGGCACCTAAGCGCCGGTACCCTAACCCAATCCTTACACAATTGGAGTGTGAGCACCATGAGGTTGCGATTCGGGACTATACACAGGAGATCAACCACCATCTGAGCGACTTGGAGCGCTCGTCAATCGTGTCGATGGAGATGATCGACCTCCAGCCAGAGATCAAGTGGTACATGCGCCCATACCTCCTGGACTTCCTGTTGGAAATCCATCAGACGTTTAAACTGGAGCCGCAGACGTATTTCCTGGCGGTCAATATCGTCGACAAGTACTGCTCGAAGAGGGTTGTCTTCAAAAGACACTACCAATTGGTTGGTTGTACGGCACTCTGGCTAGCTGCCAAGTATGAGGATAAAAAATCACGTGTGCCAACGCTCAAGGAGCTCGTCATAATGTGCCGTGAAGCGTACGACGCTGAGACGTTTGTACAGATGGAACGTCATATTCTAAGCACCCTGGAATGGTCTGTATCACACACTTCGTTGGAAGACTGCCTCCAGCTCATACATAGAGATATGATGGATATCCCAACCAAGCACGAGATTGAAAAGATTGCAAGAATGTTTTGTGAAATCTCGACATACAAGAGATGTCTACTACAGGCACCACCATCACTAATAGCTATAGCTGCTAACCTATTGGCATGTTCGGTCATGGACACGCCCATTGGTGTAGTACATTTTTACCAAGCAGCGGAGAAATACGTCAACGAGTTCGATGACGATGCTACGTTTGACGAAGATCTCGAAAACCAGCTCCCTGCCGTTGTATCTCCATTTCTCTCTGGCTATTCAGAAGATACAATCTACGAAATTTCCAAAATCTCCATGGTGCTGTTATTAGCATTCCAAGAGTGTTCTCAGTCCCTCCTGAACAAATACGTCGATCAAGCACCAACGGTTTCAAGGTTCATAATGCATAAGGCATTTGTAATGGAACAATTCCCATCATTGGAGGAATCCACATTGTTAGGTGCAGATATTCCAGACCATGTGCATCAAAATATTCTATCGTTATTACTTCTTCATCTCATTAGTGCTGATTACGACAACAATGAAGTTCCATTTACAGCTTTCGAACAACCTCCACAGTTCATGGCACCACCCCAAATGCCACAATCATCTCCTTTGACGACACCACCAAGTGCAAGCTCAATGTCCGTCTTCTCTGAAAGGGAATATGGAATGATTCATGACACGCCCATTTCATCACCTGTGGACAGATATGTACAAGCTGGCAAGAGGAAACGTAATTGGTACGTTGATGATTCACCTTTGAATTCAAAGGACAGGGGTGTATTAATGTAAGGGAAATCCGGTCCCTGACTTAATTTAATTTCACGATACAAGAGACTGGCTTTCTTTCTTTGGGGTACTTATTTGAACTGCCAGAGAAAATTGTTTACTATATAGATACCAGGAGTACCAAAGCTCTTTACTACCCATACATAGAAGAAGAAGGTCTTTGGAGATCTATTGAACTAATTCATGCAACGATGTCACGAATATATTACCAGATTGTAGAATCTACTTGTCGTAGCTTGTTAACTCTCCTGTCCTTTCAGTATAATTTATGATCGACGTGTACCGATGAAATTTCAAATCCATCACAGGGGGGACGCCTTCAGGGGGAGGAACGCCATTAAATGCTTTATCGATTCATATATGAAAGTCGCAGTATATTATATTAACATGATAATATTGATCATCAATGATATTTAAAGGACATTTATAGTCAATGTTGGAAATTTTATCTGGCTTGTTTCCAACAAAGTTTTGTTCATATAGATTTTGCAATATAAAAATGTCAACTCCGGCCTCAGAAGATTGAAAAATAATAAATCTGCACCAATCAACCAGGGCTATTAAGCGTAAACGGCCCAACAGAACCGCAAACTTTCTTTAAATAACAATGTTTCACCACACAGCTATGCTGAATATATCAATGGATCGTATTTATAGCTGTTTCTCCGAGAGGAAAGGAGCTCATTTCGTTATAATTTGACTCGTCGTTGAAACGTTCATGCACGCTCATGTGCCTTTGAGATGTCCGGATGATTTGTGACACAATAGTACACTGCACTGGAGCTAACTAATAACTAGGGGACTACACCAGTATTACAAGCCACGATTAGCTGCATTAATTAAATTAAAATAGATCATTAAATAAGGGAAAGAAACAGTCATTAAATGTATACAGAGCTTCTGCTGGTAGTGCTCAATCCTCTTTGTCACTCTGCGGTGTCATTGGTCTTTTTATCAGAGCTGGATCGCTAACCTCTGAGACCTCTGTGTTTGAGCTATCGTTCGAATCTTGTTTCTTTAAGATTGAACGGTCATGTGTATCATAGTAGTCACCTTCAATGACTGTATCTCTAGTTAATACGACGTAAACCAAGACGCAAAGTAGTAAAACTCCATTGAAGGCAGATGTAATCTTTTGGAAAAAGAGTTCACTCTCCAAAGCTGTTAGCCTTGATTGTGCATTTGTCAACAATAGTGAATGTTTTGCATGTTGTCTGTTGAAAACTTCGTCAGTTTTCCGTTGGAATTGCGAATACAACTCCGACAATGCCGAGACTTGGTCATGGATTGACGTGTTAAACGAAGCCATAAGAGTCTCCATCTTCTTTCGATGACGTGTCTCTAAGGATGCAAATGTAGAGGAGATTAACTTCGATTGTTCCTCAATGTACAAGATTGAAAGGGTTGCATTTGTCTCCAACTGTGAAAGACGCTTCATAATGTTTTTATAGATCGACTCCTGTGCTGTGGAGGACTGTGAAGTTACAGGCTCGACGATTGGACATAACGACATTTCACTGGAGTTCGCCTGACGAAAAAATTCATCAAAAGGGATCGAACGCAGAGTGATTGGACAATTGTCATATGAAGTTGCATTTTCGATAGTGTCGTTGATCAAATCGTGTATGATAGACTCCTGAGTATCAGTACAATTGATATTATTGGTTTCAGCACAAACTGATGCCTTGTTTACTGTTTCTTGGGGTGACTGTTGCTGCTGTTGCTGTTGCTGCTGCTGTGATGGTTGTTGCAGCTCTTGATATTGATCTAACGACTCTTGTCCTTGTTGTCCTTGTTGCTGTCCTGGTTGTTGCAATTGTTGCTGTCCTTGTTCTTGTCCTTGCTGCTGCTGTCCTTGTTCTTGGGTCTTCTTTTGTTCTAGAGCTTCCTCTTCCTTATACTCCTGTATCATTGTTCTTCCATGTACCCTGACAACACTAATAGGACAGTAATATTCGTCTCCGTAGTGCTCCAACACTTCCACACGGAAATACTTTGCCCAGATCTTTGGATTTGTAATGTTAAACTCCTGGACGTCTCTAACGTCCCTTGCAGTAAATTCACCTAGTACTGTCCAACCGTTATTAGGCACCGGGAATATTTCAGAGACACTGATACGGATCTTTTTAAATGTTGAGGAAAAGAACTCATAATTTGCAATCACAACAGAATCGACAAGGATGTCCTGACATAGTTCCACAACGACAAATTTGTTCGCAGCTGAACATGGTGTCAACAGATATGAGTCTTTGTTCTCCACTAGAACACTTAACGCATTCTTTGCTTCGGAGTTTGTCTTCACTATAGTCGCTGCACAGTCCAGAGATGCAAAGTTGAATTTCTTTGAGTATGTCTTACCCTCAGATTCACCCAAGCCTTGGGTGTTTGGGAAGAACTGCGCAATGTCAATTTCCATCTCCTCACCTATTGACTCCCCATTACTCGTACCATAGCCATACACCACAGACCTTACTTGGTGTGCATCCCGCTCCTTTGGTTGCGTGTCTGCCCCTTTGGCTTTCTTCCACTCCTCAAATGATAAGAACGTTGACGATGTGTTCTGCGTATCATTGCCCAGGACCGCCTCCATCAACAAGTCAGAATCGTTAAACAGCGTCCCATTCGGTGTTACTGGGATGGGAGAGTCTATAGTCTCTGTATCCAACGAATACACCGGCACAACCTCTTCCTTTGATTCCACCACAAGTGATGACGTTGTCCATGACGATGTCGATGTCGAAGACGTTATCAAGTGCGTAGTGGTTGCAGCCACACTCAGCGGTAGCAAAAGCACGCTCAGCGGTAACCGTATCGACCTTATAGCAACCATGTTGTGCCCTCAGTACGGTGCTGTCTGAACGGTTGGTGAGTATAAAGCAAACAGACTCCAGCACCAATGAGAAAAAGAATTCGACAACTTTCCAAAGGTACCAATGTGTCCCAAAGGGTGAGGCGGACAAACCAATGTTTCGTGATTTATTTACAGCAGGTTTTTTTTTCTCTTCATTTGCGTTTTTGTGGTTTTGTGCGTGTGCGTGCGTTTTGTGGTCACGTGACTCAGGTCAGGTCCCCTGGAACAAAGTGCGAGTGGACCCGCCATAGTTTCAATGGGTGTCATGGATACACCAACCACAACAACGATGCTCTTTCTATGGATAGCCACCTTATCTGTTGGTGTTTGTACTATGGGTATGATAATGAAGCTTAGGTAATTATAAATATATAGGAAACAACGAGGTCAACCTCGCAGAGGTTGAGCGCTCACCAGGTGGTGATGTCCGTGTTCTTCCCACTCGGCGGGAAGGTGGCAGGGCGGTGGTTCCTGTAGCTTCACTGCTTTGCTTTCAGCCTTTTGGCAACAGCGTACTTGATAGACTTGTTGACACCGGCGGTGAACAGGCCTTTAAGCATTTGTGACGTTGAGCTCCTTAGGATGGTCTTCTCGAGCTTCTTTGAGGCGTTCTCAACAGTGAACCCTGGTGGGAGAAGAAACTCCTTCTTGTTGATGACTTCGTCCATAATCGGAGAATAGTACTGTTGGAAGTACTCAAAGTTCTTTTCGACGATGTTATCGATCTTCTTTGGGTTCTCCGCGCCCAGTCTGTAACGCACATCTCCGATGTAACTTAGACTGGTGATGTTCTTGAAGAACTGGAACTCGTCAAAAGTCTCAGACTCGGGTAATTGATGGTATGCTAGCGTTGCAGCGGCTTTCAGGTTCTGCTGGTTCCAGTAACGAACCATCGTGTCATCTCTCAGTATCTTGACAGGTTTTTGCAATCTCCCTGCAAGGTAGAATGAATTCCACTTGGACAAATCGGTAACGAGATTGTCGATGCTCACAACACCGTATTTGACCAATTGGCCTTCAATCTCAACAAATGGGTTGAAATAGACACCTGCACCAACCTCTTGGAATTTGGAGACAACCCCAGAACCAAAGTACCTCAAACACGAGTAGTGGTCTGGGTTGTACTTCATGTTGATAGAATGCCAGTGCTCAGGGTAAGTGACACCAAAGATCAGATCAGTCTGTGTATCTGGGCTCGAATACCCCTGTGAAAACACACCGGACCCATAAGCAAACGCATACCTTATAGGAGCGTCGAACTTCCACAGTATAGAGCGTAAAGAGTCTGTGGAGTTTGACGACAGCTCCAAGTGCTGGTTACGAGCATAGTGTGGAGGGAGCTGTGCGAATCTCTTCGAGTCTCTATAACCCTGTGATAAATATTCAGATTTGCGAATGGACTCGTCCAACACTCTGAGGTCCATATCGTTCTTCTTCTCGCTGTTCACGCTAGCTGAAGATGCCTTTGGCTTCGAGCTCTTCATACCCAGGATGACCGACTTCTCCAAGAGGTCTTTTGAAGATGGCTCTGACGCGCTGGAGAGAAGTCTCTTCGCGATGGGAGCAAATGAACGTGACGATTTAAGCATGTTTAACAAGGAATGGATGTGTGATAACCTGTGGTCGTATGTTATAACAACTACAGAATAATTTAAGGTGGATACCTGGTCACTTATAAACCTCCAAAGTCACAACTTCCCAGCACCAATCCACCAGCCAAAAAAAACATGACAACGTTGCCATAGTTACTAATATCTATTTGTTGGAGGCCTGGAACCGCTCTACCGCGAAAAGGCAAAAAGCGCGGTAGCCTAGTGTGGCAAGCTTCATGCCCGCACTGAGGGCAGAGAGCCAGGCTGAACGGGGGCAGTGGGGCCAGCCTACGGGGGTAGGAAACAAAGCCCTTCCCACCACCACGCTAACGAAGGACTTGGCCAGCTCCCACCGTGTGCCTACCAGGAGGGATTAAATGCAATTTGCCGCCGCTGTTACTGGATGGAATATCCGGCTAGAGGGCAGCACTGGTAGAGGCACATTGAGGAAGAGTGGGGGGGGGGGGCGGCGGGACGTTCTTCCCAGCCTATTTCCTCGCCTCTCTCGCGCCCTCTCAGTGCTGCTTATCTTGAGCACCGGCTACAACCTGTAAGCAGGCGGTGGGGCCTGGACCAGTGGCGAAAAGTGTACCGCGGCAGTGTGGGAAGACAGGGAGCTATCGCGTGTCGGCATGTCTGTTACGCGCCACAGAAGCCAAAGGCTAAAAAAAGCCCATTTGAAACGAGCGCAAAAAGAAACGGGACAAATCTGGTAACCACACGCAGGGCTGGAATTGGGAAATCTTGTGCGACGGCCGGGTAATACCTTCAGCGTGAAGATGAGGGCCCGATGAGCCTTCAGGTTATGGCCCAGTACAACGTGCGGGTGGTGTAGCATCGGACTGTACAGTTGAGACACACAAGGGATAGAAGTTGGATGTCTGCACTCCACCAGGTGAAACAGAACTTGTTGTTCTACAGTCTCTGGACTGATGTGAAGGAGGTACCGTTGAAAGAGGAAACAGTGCTTTCAGGAATACCAAAGAACCATTTACTAGGAGACGATGAGGAAGAGGGCAACCAAGGTGGGGTTCCCGCTCCAATCAAGCCAGAATTCGTACTCCCGATCATGCTGGGCGAACAATTGACACCCTCAAGATTGAGCACGGTATTCGAGCAGTTACACAGTCCGAAGAGGTTGGTCGCTGGAGTAGTTAACGATGACGGTACGGTAGTGTATTACATAGTACATAATGGGATTGCTAAACCAAAAAAGAATTGATGATAATGGCCAGGGGCAGGGATCAGCACCTATATGACAAGATGCTTTATACTGTTGAACAAGTTTGGTGACTCTGTAAATGAAGGCAGGCGTATCTGGACGTGGTCAGTTGCCGGGTTTATTCTCTCCTGCAACAAGTGCTCTAGTTGTGTTGAGATGTGAGGATAGGATTTGTCCAAGAATGTCTTTATGAACTGATCTGGTAGCGCAGCCCTGGTCCACACGTATATATGCGCCAGTATTATCAAATCTCCAGACGTGAGCCTGTTCTCTCCAAACAACCCCAAAGTGTCGCCTTCATGGTTCGCATTCAGCTCCGCCTGTAACTCCAACACACGACCAACGTATTCGTTCAATTGTCTTAGACAGCTCATATTTGTCACGGAGTTCTTCATTAGAAGCTTATCTTCAATCATAGACTCATATTTCATCCTGTGGATTTTAGAAACAGAAGGAACATTCTTCATCATCTCCTCGGTTACCTGGCTCTTATCCTCAACCTTCAACCCGATTCTTTCACAGTTCAACTTAGCTCTGGACCTAGCGACGATTGGCGCGTTGTATTGCATAGGGAAAGGCAGGTACTTGGAGTATAACGATCTAGTATACTGCTCATAGTTCGATTTGTTCAGAAACAGACAGTAATCAGTGATGAGTTGGAATTTGTCCTCCACGTACAGTACCAAGCCTTCGTTGATGGCTCTTTGTTCCTTCAGCAACCCAGTATCCAATGAAAACCCTTGCTGGTCCAGATATCTCAATATGTCCAGCAATCCATCGTACTGGGTACCCTCGCCGTGGCAGATCAACGTTGGCAGCTGGCCAGAGAGTGAAAGATCCGTGTTACAGGACGTCACAACCTCGTACAGCTCCGATGGTACGCATAGCGACATGTACCAGTAGATCGCTATGGACTGAGGCGATAGCAGAGAGATTTCAGAGGGGGTGCCCCATACGTGAAGTTCCATCCTCACGTGGTTCTCAACAGCGAGTGTTCTTTCGAGTGCTTTCACGAGTATTAAATGGTTGTTGTTCCGAGCTGCTTCACAGTGGAAATTTTCAACCGATGAGATCCCGTCTATTGCTGCTACACGGGGAATTGCTACCTAAAATGGCCAATTAAAGAGATCTACACATGTAAACTATGATGAAACTAATACATACAACATGCACAGGGCAAACCAACACGCCAAACAAGCACAGCGGAACGATTCCACCAGCTGAAACTCGCAAACTTGTAAAATGCTCCTTACTAGTGAATGCCCTCGTTCAATCGTGGTGTCCGGGTGTGTGAGCCAACCAATCAGAGCTCAGCGGACGTCAGCTCTGCTGACTTATTCTCCGCTTGTTGATAAGTGGTACATATAAGAAGGAAGAGAGCGTGTTGCTGCTGTTGCTAAGCTCGCTGGTTCTAAGCAAGCACGCTGGGAAGATATGAGATCGGCAACTGTACTGAGAAAGGCCGGTGAACGAGCTTTGAGCAACAGGTGGAGCGCCATCCATAATGCCTTGCCCTTATCGCACTTCCTCACTGATAACTACGGAAGAAAGCACAACTATCTGAGGATATCGATCACGGAGAGGTGCAATCTGCGATGCCTCTATTGTATGCCTGAGGAAGGTGTGCCGTTACAGCCCGACTCCCATATTCTTTCGAGAGATGAGATCAAACAGCTCGCATCGATCTTCGTGTCACAAGGCGTGGACAAGATACGACTCACCGGCGGTGAGCCCACGGTTAGACGTGACATTGTTGAGATTGTCCAGGATCTGAAGTCCTTGGGGGTCAAGGAGCTCGGGATAACGTCGAATGGTATTGCGCTGCACAGGAAGCTGCCGCTGTTGGTTGAGAGTGGCATCACTGCGCTGAACTTGAGTCTTGATACACTTCAGGACGGGAAGTTCATGACCATTACCCGAAGAAATGGGCTGAACCAGGTGCTGAAGTCCCTTGAAAGGGCGTTGGAGCTGGGAATCAAAGTGAAGCTGAACTGTGTTGTGATCCGTGGTGTCAATGAAGATGAAATCCTAGCGTTTGTGAAGTTGGCACAGTGGTGGCCCATAGAGGTGAGATTTATCGAGTACATGCCGTTTGATGGTAACAAATGGGAGCTGAACAAAGTGATATCGTACAAAGAGATGAAAGAGTTAATTCTGCAGAAGCATCCATTAATGGTGCATAGAGACCACAAGTCAGGTGAAACAGCAAAGGTGTTCAAGTCGCCTGACTGGGTGGGTTCTGTTGGGTTCATCACTTCAATGACAGACGACTTTTGCAGCGATTGTAACAGGCTAAGACTCACGTCTGATGGGAACTTGAAAGTGTGTCTATTTGGTAATGAAGAAGTTAGTCTTCGGGATATGATAAGGTCAAACGTTCCAAAGGACGAGATCTTGGAGGTTATTGGGGAGGCTGTGAAGTCCAAGAAGGAAAAGCATGCAGGACTAGACGAGTTAAAGACCATGAAGAATAGACCAATGACACTGATTGGTGGGTGAGTCTCGATATTTGTTTAGACAGTGGTATAGTTTTCACTAACACGAAAGGATCATAGGTAACCAGCGTCCAATGAGACAGTTTGGGGTTAGATTTTACTCTACAAAGAGTCACAAGTTGACCCATTTGAATGAGAAAGGTGAAGCCCGAATGATTGACATTACTGAGAAGCAAGTGACGTCCAGAATGGCAATCGCTGAAGGGTTCATCAGGTTCAGTAACGACTTATCCATAGCCCAGATAGAGGATAATTCAAACAAGAAAGGCGATGTTATTTCACTCACGAGAATTTCGGGCTTATCTGGTGTGAAAAGGACATCAGAGCTGGTGATACTATGCCATCCGTTACCCGTGACAAAGGCTTCCATTTCCATTGACGTTCTCCAAGATATAAACAGCATCAGAGTGGAGTGTCAAGTGAAGTGCGATGGGAAAACAGGTGTTGAAATGGAGGCGTTGACTGGTGTCACGGTAGCGTTGCTGAATGTTTACGACATGTGCAAAGCTGTTGATAAACAAATGGTTATTGAAGGCATAGAAGTTGTTGCAAAGAGAGGAGGCAAGAGTGATTATGGAAGTGCCCTTATAGAGAAGAGCAAGATGTAAAATCACGTATCTGTCACTGGCATTGGTGAGATCTTTTTATAGCGTTCTATAATTCCAAGCCAATGTCTTCAGAGTGTTTGCTGTTGATATTGGCTGTAATCGATGGGATCCAAACATAATGCCATCAACGGCAAGTTGACACCCATGATAGTTGCCGTAGTTGTCTTGGTAAGTTACAAGGATCAAAAAAAATATGGGGAATGAATTAAGTGATGTGTTCAGAGAATGATGGTTATGAAAGCTTTGGACCACCACGTCTGTCGAACTGTGGTAGTTCTGAGTATTTCTTGTTCTTGCTCGAAGGTTTGAACTTACCCAGGATCTTGTGCTGTTGTTTGTAGACCTGTCTTCTAATGGCAGAGATATCACGGTCACCTCTTGTGAGCCAGACAAAGAAGTACATACCCAATGCAGACACGCAAATCACTGAAGGAACAGACAACATCACGTAGTACCAAGTATCATCGCTGATACCTTGATCTTGACGAGCTCTCATCTCCTTTGTGTTTTTACTGACTTTAGTACCTCTGGCAATTTTGAACATTGTTGCGTCTTTCAACAGGTCAAACTCATCATCAGGGACGCTCTTTGGTTGTAAAGACACTGCAATAGGTTGTATCCAGTCGTTCAACAACCATTCCTCTTGGATTTCAAAAGCATAAAACCCATGGAGGTTTTCGATCCAAGGTGTCGAGAAGAACGCACCTTCAACGTCTCTTTTCTTCATGCCCTTCTCCATGAGACTTTCCTTGACGTAGGTGAAGTGTAGACGGACGTACTCCTCGTGTGGCTGGAAGAAGTTCGTGTACCAGGTGATGAAGTAGGTCTTCCCCATCGCCAACTCGGTCTTCTCATAAGGTGTACAGAACGGTTCACTGGATCTATCACGGGCAATGCCTTGCTTTCTGTAGAATTCAGGCGTACATCTCACAAGAGGATTCAGATCAACATAGGTGCCATCCTCAGGGATCCACTCCACCTCGGTGTGGATAGCGCCTGGGTCCATGTTGTGGGCCTTGAGATCGTCGTACCCGTACGTTATTGTTGTTGCGGTTTGGAAGTACGTGGAGTACGTAGGCGACGCGTTCTTCGTTCTACCGTTCTTCAGCTGCGGCGTGATTGTCTTTGGAGAACCGTTCTTGTTCAGCGAGATCCAAGGCTGAGGTAGACCAGTATCCGCTGGTGGTTTAGCAAAGAAGGTAACACCACCGATGATCGTCGGTGTCACGATCTCAACAACGTCGTCGTAGATAGTACGCACCCACGGCTGTGGCTGCTCCACCGACGATGAAGTGGTAGTGGTCTTTGGAAGCCTAACCTTCTGGTATCGCTTCATCAATGGCACGGCCGTCAGGGCCTCATCGGTGCTACTGGCTGCACCACTGGCCGTCACGGCCTCGACACCAACGGTTGGCGTGATGGTTTCAGTGTTGGCAGCACCGTTCACAACACCGTGAGCTACACCGAGCAGCAGCAAACGACTCAACAGCAAACGACTCAACAGCATCTTCTGATTGAGAGCACGGATAGAGAAATAGAGAGAAGGAGAAATCAAAACAAAGAGGAAAGGGAAGAAAACATTGAAAAGAGGACATAAACAGCCGGCACCGTCCAGCTCGGGCGTGCGCCCTTATAAAATTTCCACCGCGGAGATCACGGCTGATCTAAGCACCGAGGGGAGCGATGAGCGCATTTACAGGCGGTGTAGTAGGGCCAGAATTGGCGTATTATTGAGTGGTGTTTGTATGTAGAGCTACTGTCATTGTTGGTGTGAGCCAGTAGACGTCGTCGTTGTTGTTGTCGTCGTTGTCGTTGTCGTCGTCGTCGTCGTCGTCGTCGTCGTCGTCGTCCTCGTCCCTCGAGGTGCTGGTTGAGTCGTCATCAGAGTTCTTTGGAGTGCTTCTAGGCGTGTGTCTCTTTCTCACGGACTGGAGCTCCTCCATCTCCGCCTTGTAGTCGATATCAGGCATATCCGAGTTGTTCTCGTTGATGTCCTTGATGAACTCCAGAGACAGCTCCATGAAGCGTACGAATTTCTCCTCGGTAATCAGCTTCCCAGAGTACCTCAGCTCTTCATAGAGCTCAACGTACTCCCTGCACGCCCTTGTATTAGAGACATCCTTGTTCTCCTCGAGAAAGGCAACAATCTCTCTGAACGACAAGTTCTTGGGAACCGCAAGGTTGTTCATGACAGAGGTGTTGTCCCATTTCAGCTTCATGCCGATGGCACGGATGGTATCCTCGTACCTCAACAGCGGTGGCAGCACGTCGGAATCGGGGCTCGACAGGCCAGCGTGCTTAACAGACGATGGGGCAACCAGCGCCCTCTTCCGTATATGCTCGCACTTGTCAAAGTTGGCCTCAATCATCTTGATACACGCATGCGGTAAATCGTCCACGTCCAGCGGAACATACCTCTTGGGGATATCTCCCAGCGAGCTCCGAAGGATAAATATCCTCGTCGTGGTGATGAACGCACTGAACACGCCAAACAGTACAAGAGCACCAACAACGACAAACGTGTTCAACGCATAGTTGGAGGACTGTGAGGCCTTTGAAATGGCATCAATGGGGACAACAGCGCAAAACCCAATGAAAAACAGCATGAAGAAGAAGAACGTGAGCCGGTAGCACCACAGTCGGACCGTGGGGTGTCCTATGACCCTCTGGACGCATTTAAACGGAAGACTCATGCCCAAATGAGCCTCCTCCACAGGGTTTCAATGGCGATGAGGAAGAAGACAAAAGAAACTTATGGCTCAGTGGAGATATGTAAACAGTGTGTGCCCGTACCGTATATAATTTCTATATATGATGAGCTGAGTTTTCACTTACTGTATTAGGAAGTCAAGCCACGCGAGAGACGCGTATAACGAGCAAACCGCATACAATACGCGTTTAGTTGAAGAGTTTTCGTTCCTGTTCGCCTCCAGTTCGTGTGTGAAGAGACAGAAGGATCGTTGATGACGTCTGAAGGCTCGAGGTTCTTCTCTGAGGATTCCTCTTTTCTTAAGACAGAACAGGAGGATGGTGCTACGGTGAGAGAGGACAACGATAGGATCGATACACTGCCGTCATCGCCACAGGTTGGTGTGCGATCAACGGGCACGAAGGGTCTGTTTGTCCCTGAGGATGACGACGATGAGGAAGAGTGTGATGATCGTAATGCTGGCGAGTCTGCTGAACCTGGCGAGTCTGCTGAAGCTGAAAAGTCCGCCTATGATGATAGGTTCATTCTCTTTGAATCACAGGTCCAGGCAATAGTGCCGGAGATGAGTCCAGGACTGTTGAAAGAGCTGTATGACAGATATAAAGACCACGAGGATCCAGTGATTAAAGCAGTCAACCACTACTTTGAGGAGGATGCTTTCAAGCCAGAGCCCATGGTTTACATCCCACCACAGCCACAGGCTGTGGAAAGAGATGGAACTCCAGGCTCTGATGAAGATGCTCTATGGGGACCTTCCGGGCTTCCCAGACCAGTCTTGTCTTGCCTCCATTCTTCTCAACGGAGTAGGGAGAAGGCAAGCATGATCGAATCACTGACTCAAAAGCCAATCCCAGAGTCGATCAAATGGAGAAGGTTTATTGGAAGCCTACAAGTTACTGGCTGGGCGACGAGGCCAACAGTGAAGCCCATACCATATGGTACTCGTCTCACGGTGACAAAGAGATTTGCGGATTTGTCCAACTTTACAAAGCGACGGAGGACCAATGGTGCCTCTGGATCCTATGTTAAGCTGATTAAGGATATAGATGATCCTTCAAAACGTCAAGAAGTTGGTAGACTGCCAGAAGATATAGCCTCGATGCTTTACCATTTGGTGGATCATGATGTTTGCGATTTCGATGTGACAATGGTGTTATGCGATGGAAGACTACATACTGGTGATTCCTTCATTGTTCAGCTGGATTGCTTCCTCACTTCAAAGATATTCGAAAAGTACAAGGCGAAGACATCTGAAGATGATATCAAGCTCGTGAGGCACAGAGGATTTGAGAATGGTGCGCAGGTGACACCAGATGAGAAGCTGAAACGGGACCGACAGGTGGCGATGTTCAAACTGTTCAACAGGCTGAACTTCGAGGTTGTTGACCCGGATAAGGCACATGAACCGGAACCGGAACCTGAAGAGGTTGAAGTTATAGATTTAGAGAGCGATGACTTGGATTTACAAGTGGCCAAGACAACACACCCATCTACTCAATCTGAAACAGACGAGATGAATCTGAACCAGCTGAAGGAATTCTACAAGAGAACCCAGACTGAAAAGGTCCTTGAAACACTCCCAGAGACCGAGGTTGGAGATAACTTCAAGCTGCAACTGAGATCGTACCAGAAGCAAGGCCTGACGTGGATGCTGAGAAGCGAACGGGAACTGGAGAGTAATGATGACTCCAGTGAGCTTATGAATCCACTGTGGAAGGCTTTCAAATGGCCCAAGGATAGATCCTGGGTCGTGATGCGTAAAGAAAGCTTGAGACCGAGGTTTGAAGGTCAAGACTCGTTTTATGGTAATCTCTACTCTGGAGAGTTCTCCCTAGAGAAGCCTATATTGAAAAACCAGTGCAAGGGTGGTATCCTTGCGGATGAAATGGGTCTCGGTAAGACCATTTCAACGTTGGCACTGATCCACCATACTCCTAGGGACAAGACGTTTGATCTACAGAGCCCTTCCAGTTCAGCATATGCCTATGCAACAACGTTGATTATTGTTCCAACTTCCCTGTTGTCGCAATGGCAGGATGAATTCTTGAAAGCTAACAATGATAACTCATCAGTGCTGGTGTACTACGGATCAGACACAGGGATCAACTTGAAGGACACGCTATGCGTTCCAGATCCACCTATGGTGGTTTTGACGTCATACGGGACAGTTCAGGCTGAGTGGTCAAAGATGTCAGCTAATGGGGGAATCCTACACGGTTCATTATTCAGTGTTAAATTCTTCAGGATCGTCCTTGATGAAGGCCATAACATAAGGAATAGACTGAACAAGACAACAAAGGCATGCTATGAGCTGAAGAGTACGCGTAAATGGCTGTTGACTGGTACACCAATCATCAACAGATTAGATGATCTCTACTCACTAATCAAGTTTCTGGAGCTGGAACCTTGGGCCAATATATCATATTGGAACACGTTCATCACTGTTCCATTTGCAAAGAAGGACTACAAACAGGCATTGGATGTAGTACAGTCTATCCTGGAACCCATCTTGTTGAGACGAACGAAGAACATGAAAAAGAACGGCAAACCACTAGTGGAACTGCCTGCTAAAGAGGTTGTCATCGAGAAGGTCAAATTTAGTCCGAAGGAGAGAAGACTATATGACTGGTTTCTTACGAGAGCAGAATCCTCCGTTAAAGATGGTATCAAAAGAGGTGATATTCTCAGAAAATACACGATGATTCTTGTCCATATCCTGAGGCTCAGACAAATGTGTTGCCATATGGATTTGCTCACAAGCTCGTCAGAGGAGATGGACGAAGACTTGTCTTCGAAGAACTTGACACCTCTGGACATACCAGCAGAACTGCTTTCTGACTCGGAAGCCTTCCCTCCAAATGAAATGAACATCGCCATCAACCACATCCACAAGACATACCTCAATTTGAACGAATTGGAATGTGCTATATGCCTTGCGGAGCCAATCACACCTTTTGAGGAGATCTGCTTCACCGAATGCGGCCATTCCTTTTGCCTAGGCTGTCTATTGGAGCACTGTAACTATCAACAGCTACGAAACCAAACTCCCCAGTGTCCAAATTGCAAGGCAGAGATCTCATCATCCAGGCTGTTACAACCACAACGGACGATCAAAGTCAACGAGCCTGGCTCCTATTCTTTGCTTCCCTATGCCAACTTAAGGTCGTCCAAGCTGAATGCCCTGTTGTCACACCTGAGAATGGTTAGGGATACTTGTCCCAATGAGAAAGTTGTTGTCTTCTCACAGTTTTCTTCGTTCCTGGACATCATGGAGAGTGTGTTCTCGAAGGAACCAGGATTTGAGGTTTACAAGTTTGATGGTCGTCTAAGCTTCGAGAAGAGGAAGAAAGTGCTGGATAACTTCAAATCAGCCAATGACAAAGTCACAGTTCTTCTGCTGTCTCTGAAGGCCGGTGGTGTTGGACTAAACTTGACTGAGGCCTCTAGAGCATATATGTGTGATCCATGGTGGTCTCCTAGTGTCGAGGACCAGGCCATTGACCGTATACATAGAATTGGCCAGAGTAACAATGTCAAGGTGGTTAGGTTCATAATGGAGGGCAGTATCGAGGAGAAGATGCTAAAGATCCAGGAGAGGAAGAGAACTATTGGAGAGGCTGTCGAAGCCGAAGAAGAAGAGAGGAGAAAGAGAAGAGTGGAAGAGATCCAGATGTTGTTTGAGTCTACATAGTATATACAGGAGGGGCTCTAAAGATATTCATTCAACCAATAGACATTCTTTTTGGAGAAGAGGGGCTTTGGAGAGCTTGTTCTTCCTTGCCCAGTTCTTCAAGCAACCCCTGTCCACGTGTAGCTTGTTATTCTCCACCTTTACGATCTCCATGTATTTCAAAGTCAGGGTTATATCATCAATGCGTATTCCAGTTATTCTTGACAGCGCGTTGAGAGTGATCTCGTCCTCCGCACAGCTACGGCCGTATAGCAGTTCTCTAGCCACGGTACTGCTCCAGTACTTCAGATACCCCATTAGACCAAATGGTGATAGTGGCTTCTCTGGCCCAGAAATGAGTCTTTCCGCTTTCGATAGCTCATAGGAGAATGCAATCAGCAAAGTGCCCAGGTGTCTTCTCTGGTACGGTGGGAACACCAGGATGCACGCCAGGTTGTTTCTATCGGTGGAGAGCAGCTCCTTGGAGAAGAATCCCATCGGCTTGTTGGTGAGGTTGTCGTAGACAACATAGAAGTCAAAGTAGTCCACTGCAAAGAACATCGACTTGTTATCGAGAAACATCTTCGTGAAGAGACACAGGTTCTGCGTGAAGAGCTTGTGCCGGGAGCCTCGTACCCTCCGTATAGTCACGTCAGCAGCCAGGTACCGTATCTGGCCTGGCTGGCGAGCCCTATGGCTACACCTGGCGTGGTGGCCCAGGAACTCATCCTCAACATCGGTGTACTTGAAGCACCAGTCACACACGTACAGCTTCTCCAGCCACGTCTCCTCCTGGTTCACCAGCGACTTGCTCCTCGACTGCTTCTCCCCATTCAGGTACTTAAACCCCAGGGTCTTGTGATCCCGTGCAAAGTACACAGCGGTGCCATACCAGGTGCCCATCTCATGGTTACCGAGCCGTACTTTGCTGATGTTCGGGCCCTTGAGAAGACCATACGTCCCGTCTTCAACCTCCAACTTGTGATGCATTGTGTACCAAAACACGCTACGAGCTCCTTCTACGAGCTCCTTTCCTTCCACGTCGCTCTCGTCAGCCTCTCCTCTGGCAGCTTACCCTCCAGTGGATCTCTGTGTGTGTGCGTGTGTGTGTGTGTGTGTGTTCTCAGCCTGTTTTGTAGTGCGAGAAGGCCCCTTCCGAGGGCGGCATCAACAAACAAAGGGCCACAAAAAAAATTTCACCTCATCGCGTAAACAAAGCACACAGAGCTCGCAAGGGAGAAGCTGGGGACAACAAGCGACAGAAGTAGACGATGGGGAAGTACAGGCCAAGGTTCAACGACAAGGCTCGAGCCGGTATGCGTGCGAAGCAGGAGAAGCTGAAAAAGGCGAGACAGAAGCAGTTCACGAGGCATCTGGATGACGGTACAGAGAATCATGCTGGCGATGGTGATGATGGTGGTAGAGGTGCTGATGAGGAGGCGGCTTTTGACCCCAACGCTGAGATGCTACAGCCGATGACGAAGCAGGAGAAGGAGGACCGTAAGAGAAAGTTGCAGGAGGAGCTGAGGCCTGCGAGTGAGTCCAAGATGTCCAAGCAGAAGCGGAAGAGGCTGGATAAGTATATTGAGCATCAGCTCAAGAGAGAAGAGAAGCAGGTGCTGATTGATAAGCTACAAGAGTCCAAATTCGATACGTCGCTGTTGGAGAGCTCTAAGCTACTGGGTACCGGCAAGAAGACTAAGAAGGAGGAGTTTGCAGAGGCGCTGTCACTGGAAAGACAAGGTCGAGGTGATGAGACGACAAGGAAGATTCTCTATGAGGAGCGTAACGTCCGTGACTGGGATGAAGATATGAAGGACCAGGAGAGTGATGCTGGTGGAGAAGAAGATGGTGAGGAGGACTTTGATGAGGATAAGTTTGGTTCCTTCGGTGGTGAACAGAAGTCCTCGTTTGTTGACATGAGACCAAAGACCGGCGGCTTTGGTAGTGGGTTCAACTTCAAGAATAAGGAGAAGGTTAAGAAAACGTCTAAGAAGAAGTATACGTGGAGAGCCAAAGTGGAAAACGAAGAGCTGAAGAAGTTGAAGGATAAGCGTAAGAGTGAGATTGAGGATGAGAGAGACTTTGAGTCGTCTGAAGGAGACGATGAGCCGTCTGAGGAAGAAGCTGAACATCCAGAAGATTCGAAAGCTGTCAAGGATGATGAGGAGGACGATGAGGAGGACGAGGAGAATGATGAGGAGGATGAGAATGATGAGGATGATGAGGATGATGAGGACCAAGAAGACGAAGAATCCAAGAGGAAAAAATTCTCGCACAGTGCAAGAGCAGAGGACTTCAAGGAGTGGGCAGATGAACAACTGAGAAAGCTAGAAGGGAGACTCGCACCACAAGCAACCTTGCCAAATCACGATTACAAAACCTACAAGAGAATAGATCGCCCAGAAGACTTGGAAGATGACCTCAAGGAGGATTATATCCCGGTCGACGAGAATAGTACACGTAAAGCATTCTTCGTCACCGTTAATAGACCAGATGATATCCAGCAAAGCCGTTTGAACTTGCCAGTTTACGGTGAGGAGCACAAGATCATGGAAGCCATTCATCATAACGATATTGTCATCATTTGCGGTGAAACCGGTTCTGGTAAGACAACCCAGGTTCCTCAGTTCCTATACGAAGCAGGATTCGGCTCCATGAACTCGCCTGAGAACCCTGGGATGATTGGTATCACGCAACCAAGAAGGGTTGCTGCTGTATCCATGGCAAATCGTGTTGCTGCCGAATTAGGCGACCACGGTGATAGTGTTGGATATCAGATCAGATTCGACTCTACGACTAAACCAGAGACAAGAATGAAGTTCATGACAGATGGTGTGTTGCTGCGTGAAATGATGACTGATTTCATCCTGGAGAAATACTCTTCAATTATCATTGATGAAGCACACGAACGTAACATTAACACAGATATTCTCATTGGTATGCTGAGCCGTGTTGTTCGTCTTCGTCATAAACTCAATGCTACGGACCCTGTGAAATATAAGAAGCTAAAGCTCATTATCATGTCTGCCACTCTTCGAGTTTCTGATTTCAGTGAGAATAAGGCACTGTTTGAAACTCCTCCTCCAATCTTGGAAGTCCAAGCAAGACAATACCCGGTGTCCATCCATTTCAATAAGAAAACCGCACACAACTACATTGACGAGGCGTTCAGAAAGACCTGTAAGATCCATCAAAGATTACCACCTGGTGCAATTCTGATCTTCATGACCGGTCAAAATGAAATTACAGGCTTGGTGAAGAAGTTGAAACAGGAGTTTCCATTCACTCAGTCGAGATCTAAAAAGTATCATAACGATGAAGACGAGGTTCAGAATCTAAGAATCAACGCCAAACAAGCGGATGCAGAAGTGGAGGATATCGAGTTCAGTGTTAAAGTCGACGACGATGGTGAACTTCTTGACGATGGTGATGTGTCAGATGACGCTGAAGAAGGCTTTGACGAGACTTTGGAGGAAGGCCAAACAGAGAGAGATCCCTTGTACGTCTTGCCTTTGTACTCCTTGCTGCCAACAAAAGAACAGATGAAAGTGTTCCAGGATCCACCAAAGGGAAGTCGTCTGTGTGTTGTGGCTACAAACGTTGCAGAGACCTCTTTGACCATTCCAGGTGTTAGATACGTTGTTGACTGTGGTCGTGCAAAGGAACGTAAATACGATATCAAAACTGGAGTCCAAAGCTTTGAGATTGACTGGGTTAGTAAGGCAAGTGCCAATCAGAGAGCTGGTAGAGCAGGTCGTACAGGTCCCGGCCATTGTTATCGACTGTACTCATCTGCGGTCTATGAGCGTGACTTCCCGCAGTTTTCCATCCCTGAAATTCTTCGTATGCCGATAGAAAGTGTTGTGTTGACAATGAAGAGTATGGGTATCAGTGGAGTGATCAAATTTCCTTTCCCTACACCACCGGAGAGAGATCAGTTAGCCATTGCCGAGAGGTTGTTGCAAGTGCTTGGTGCACTTGATCAAGAGTGCAATATCACGGAGCTTGGGAAAAACATGAGTAATTTCCCAATGAGTCCAAGATTTGCCAAAATGCTCATGGTTGGTAACCAAAGAGGCTGTATGCCGTACGTTGTGGCCATTGTATCCGCACTATCTGTTGGAGATCCCTTCATCAACGAGAATGAACTTGGAATCGAAAATGAAGATGAGGATCAGGGAGATCAAGAGTTGGAATTCAAGAGAAACCTGAGATCCAAATTCCACAGCTCAAGGCAGATCTTTAGTAAACTGGACAAGTACAGTGATGCACTGAAGTTGTTAAGTGCAGTTTGTGCGTATGATTGGATTAAACCTGAAAAGCGTGATGACTTCCTCTCCAACAACTTTCTCAGACCAAAGCTTATGGAAGAGATCAAGAAGCTCAGAAAGCAGGTCACGTATATCGTCAAGTCCCTCACCACAAAGGAGAGCGTAGCAAGCAACGTTACGGAACAGGAATTGAAATTGGACATGCCAAAAGATGACCAGGTAAAGCTGTTGAAACAGGTGATCGCAGCAGGGTTCGTTGACTGTGTTTCGATCCGTGCCGATTTGATCGACAGCGATGTCAAGCTGACCAGCAAGACGGACATTGCAAACATTCCTTACATCCCTGTACTGCCAACCAATGACCAAGAGAACACTTCTCCATATGTCTACATCCATCCAGGTTCCATCCTGTGCACGTCAGGTGAAGTTCCACCGTCGTACATCGTCTACGAAGCCATCACTGCCGGTGCAAACAACAACCCTGATTCCGCAACGCTGCCAAAGCGCAGAATGAGATCGCTCTGTAACATCACAGCCATGGCTCTTGCTAACGTTGCAAAGACCAGTGGTCTCATCACCTACTCGAAGCCCTTGGGCCCACCCTACGCTCCAAAGCTGTTAACCTCTACAAAGCGGGAGTGCTATGTTATTCCAAGATACGGTGCCAACGTCGGCACTGGAGGTGTCGGCTGGGACTTGAAGCCCGTCAAGGTGACCCAGAACAGAATTCAGGGCAAGTGGATCAACGAATAGTTTGTATATCTAATACAGCCTTGTATAGATTAAAGTGTCCCATTTGATGTAGATTTGTATTGCCCAATTAGGACTATTTCCCTATCGGGATGTTTTGCATCAGTTGGTTTTGTGGTTTTGCCTGTCCACCCATCATCAACAAGCAAAAAAAGCGCTGTAAAAATTACGCGAACGAACAAACCAAAACACACAAAGCACACACAACAACATCACGGCGGTTAATCAAAACAGCGAGCAGATCACGAAAGAGAAGAATGACAGCTAACGGGACCTCCAGCGGTAAGTTGCTCTCGCCAGTTTGCCTCTAAGCGCGCTATTCGATCACGAACAAGCGGACTGCTCTTCTTGCAAGCGCCTATGGACTAACAAATTCCAGCAGCTGAATCAACAAAGCTATTCAAAGAGTCTCTGAGTAACGTTGTCTCTGTGTTGAAAGACGCTGATAAGCGCGGTGTGCTGATGTCTCCGATTCCCGAGCACTTTCTGGAGCCAGACCCGCTGTTGATATACAGAACGTATCTGACGCTCAGCAACAAGGACAAGGCCAAAACAACGACGATCTTGAACAAGTTTGAGAAGGGGTTCTACATTAGTGCGTATGGGTTTTATCACGACATCAAGCTGTGCAGCTCGATACTGATCAACACGCTGGAGCTCGGGTCAAGACACTACGTTGATGTTGATAGATTTTACAAGCTGTCCACAGAGCTCTTTCTGAGAGAGTGCTACAGACTGCACATCAACATCAAAGAGATGAGTGAGAAACGCGAATCGATAACCAGCAGTTATGAGGAAGAAAGCCAGTTTGAAGAGATGCTGAACAACGACTTTGATGCCATCTGTACATCGTACACCTTGGGACACGGCGAACTGTATGTGACCACAACGCAAAACAACGTGCCATTATTCACATCTATGAACAGCCGTTCTGCACTCGATGAAAGGGAAGCTATTGTGCCAGACAATGTTAGCTCTTCAAAAGTTATTCCAACAACGTTATCGGCACAGTCGATACCATTGGGAGCCATATCACCCCAGGTGACACGCTTACCGCAGATGCCACAACAGCAGTCGACAGAGATATTGAGCCGGTTTTTACATCCAAACTGGTACTCACTGCCTACAGCCAAATGGCTGGCTTTGAGCGATCTGCAAACATTTGCACCAGTGGTTGATGAACAGACCATTGTTGTCTCTTCGCAGGACAAGGGGAAATTATGGCTTGAGCACATTGGCTATAAACAACTACAAAGATGGAACCAGGAACCTTATAACGCTGCACAGGCATTGAATGGCGAAGACGATGATGATATGAAGGAGGATGTTGATGAGGATGAGAAGGAACCGAACGGAGATACGGCAGTGGTGAAGGATGATGTGAACATGACCCAGGAGATTGAGGTTCCTGGACCTGTAGAGTTAACTAATGAAGATCTATTCAACATTTATGAGTGGAATCCATCAAACACATTGGACGATGATGTCATTGAAGCCTTCAACGAAGGTCAAGAACAGGAGCTGTTATCAATGAAACTGGCAGAGCTGCAATCCTTAAGAAAGGAGAGATTTGAGAAGGCGTTACCACTACCTACACAAAGGGAGACGGGCCTCCATCACGAGTGTTTTAGACTACTCAACGAGATTATGATCAAGGGAGATATAATGCCAGATGTAAGACCGTCCATGCTGTTGCCAACAGAACAGTTCATCTACAATGGTACTCTTCCAGTTCCACAGCAAAACCATCCAAGAAAGAAGTACAAGACGAGAAGATAAGATAAACCTAACAAGGATGGACCAGTATGTACTATAATATCACCAAGAAACACCATTGTCTCGCTTGCGGTAAACAGCTCGCCTACAAACATGAAAGCAGTCATAAAACAAACGTCCCAGTAAAAGCTATAAAACCATCCAAATTGCACCACCAACGGCCAAGAGGAGCACAACGGCAGTGACTATAGCGGCACCTGCCACATCACCGCTATCAATGTTCATATCTGAATATGTCAATTCATTGCGCGTGGTGTTTAAGCCGGCATTAACATCACCAACGGCAACTCCTTCGTTCTCCTGTGTAAGTGGAGCAGGCGATATTGGTGTCAAATGACTCTGGATGGTTTCCAGCGCACTCACCTGTTCACCCAAACCGTAGTAGCCATCCCAGCCATCATACTCCCAGTTCAATCCACAGGTGTGTCCATCTATACCACCAACACACGACTGGGCTGCAGCAGAAGCCGATGTATCCAATAAAGGCATGATGTCGTCGTACAAGTCTGGCACGAGCAAGGCAGTCAATCCCAAACACCGTGCAAAGACACCTTTAAAGAACCTTTGATCGTTGTTACAGTTATCACCATCTTGACACGCTCTCTCATACATGATCCCATCTCTGAAGAACACTTTCGCACCTTCAACCAAATGAGCTGTGACGTCGAGCCAGTATTGCTCCTCTGTAAAGTTGTAAAGATAGGCAGCACCACCAATCATGATTCCAATGTTATAAGTCCACTCGATGTGGACAATGTCGGTACAGTTCTCTGCAATATCGGCACCGTCGTACACACGAGCCATTCCGTTGCTGTCCACTATGAATCCGATGTCTACTAGCCAGTCGTATGCGATTTGTGCTGTCTCGACATACGTATCGTTTCTCGTGAATCTGGCCAGTCTTCCTGCCAAGTTGAATAGACATGCCGTTGAGATGGTATTCTTGTAGTTATAACCAGAATTCCAGGTGAAGATTTGCCACCTTAATCCACCTCCACAGTGCTCCATATCCCATCTTTCCCACATCGTGTTGTAGACCGCTTGTGTCAGTGCAAGCCAATCAGGCCCATCCTGCGGAGCAGTAAAGTTTCTCTCCGCAGCAGCCATCACGGTCAGCCCCCAAAACCCTTGATCATCATTTCCCTCGGTCATGGTCTGATTCTTGGGCATGTAGTCGTTACCCTCACCAGTCTGGTGCATCAGGGCATCGTGGATCAACTGTTCATACGTATCATTCCCGCACAGGTACCACGTATCGATCAAAGCGCCAAAGGCGTGTCCGGCCTGCCACCAGTAGTAAGGGTACACGAACATCCCCACAGCACCACCGTATCGTGTGCCTTCGTAGTAATCCAATACACCATCTTGAATCAGCGCAGCTGCGTCACAGATGGAGTCTCTCGAGCTCAAGTCGAGATCTATGGCTCCTGAGCGTGTGACTAGGAACGCTGTGAGTATCGGTAGCAAAATCATACCACAGTGCTTTTTTATGACTCTCGTTTTGTAATGTTATAGTATCTGTTCTTCTTAGCCCTGTATGAATATCACTTCCTATCTAAATCAGAAGATGACACCAATCACGAGAACTGTTCAAGATGGACTTCTGTGCCTCTCTTTGTCTCTCTCTCTCATATTTTTCAGTATCCATAAATACCCACATCCATGGGCATTCTCCAAGAGTTTTCACCTCCCTTACGGGTAAATACATCATCTTACATAGCAAGAAAGACTTTAGAATACTGTGTGGGTGATGAAAACTTCCAGGAAGTACCATAAAACATTTCTTGGTCACTGGGATTAACGCGTTAGAAATGCTGCGGTTATTTTTTCGTGTTTTGTGTTTACGGTGCGGAATTGCGCAACTACCCGATACGGCCCCATCTGGCGCTGGAGAGTTTCGTAAATCGTTTGTACACAAGCGAAATGACACATGGAGGCTTACTTTTAGTTTCGTGCAGGAAGAGCAGACCACGGGCGGATGAGACTACGATCAGGAAGACTACAACCAGGAAGACCACGACCATAGAAGACCACGACCATAGAAGACCACGGGTAACGGGTGGTTACCGTAAGGGAGCAGGGTTCATCTGCGCAAATGTTGAGCAGCGTAAAGGGAATTCTCTGGGCGCTGGATCTTGTGCGCAATTTCAACAGTGTAAACGGGGAAGACCCGCTTGGTACTTTTTGCCCGCGCACACACAGGGCATTTTTTACAGTGCGTGCAAAGAGAGATGATAAGTTAGAAGGAAGTATACTGGTTTGCCGTGTGAGATTTCTCTAGGGTGATGGCTCGTGATGGGAGAAGAAGCTGCTGGTGATGGATTCAGTGAGTGGGGTCCGTCGATCAACGGCTATAGATTTGTGGGCAAGACGACGGACCAGAAGTACTACAAGCAACGTCATCACTTGGCGTACTCCAAGGACGTCACTGGACAAGACGGGTATAACTGGTCATACTTGGATGATCCGCAATGTGGCAGTGAAGATGAAGGCGGTGTAGATGGCGACAGTGCTGCTGTCAACGACAATGATGATGACATCAACAATAGCAATGCTTATAGTTATAACGATTACTGCTTGGATTGGCAGTCGATAAAGAGCACAGGGTCCAATGTTCTGGTGTTCCCGATACGAAGTGTTGGTGATGCCTTGACTGAACCAAACGTGGAAGCATTCCTGAGAACAGCAAGTGACTATGGGAAGGCTTTAAAGATGGAGAGGATCAGATGGCACCCGGATAAGATGGTTAACGCTTTACGATTGAAAGGTGGCGTCGAAGCCGAGCTTTTGAAGAGTAAGATCACAACAACGTTTCAAATCATTAACAAACTATACGAGAGTAATTCTAAATGAAATGGTGCGTGTTTTCTATTATATTAAGACTATACATCACAAGAATCAACTATTGGCTTCTTCCTCTGTTGTAGCTTGTACAATTCCAGTCAAATTAGCAGTATCATCGTCATTGTTGTTCACACTGGTGTTGTCATTTTCATCTTCGACAGCATCCGCAGTGTCCAATTTTGGCTTCTTGATAATTTTCTCATCGTCAACATCTGTATTAACATCTTCATCTTCTTCTGCCTCCTCGGCTTCCTCCTCCGCCTCTTCTTCCTCCTCTTCCGCTTCTTCTACTACATCTTCCTCTTCCTCAACCTCTTCTTCAGCTTCTTCCTCTTCGGCTTCTTCTTCTTCTTCCTCGACCTCTTCTTCTTCCTCCTCTTCCTCTTCGTCTACTACTTCCTCACCTTCACCTTCGGCTTCACCCTCACCTTCTCCGTCTTCACCTTCACCATTTACAGTTTCACCGTCTTCAGCTTCGTCCTCCTCGTCTTGCCCATACTGTTCTTCATCATCCACGAGATCGGCCTCGGGTTGTTCTGGTGGGAATTCCTCCGTATCTTCGTTGTCCCATACAATGTTGAATCTTGTAACTCTTGGCTTCTCAGCCAATATGTTTCTCACGACGTGCTCGACCTGTACTTTGTTCGGTGGGTTTTCCCTCAACTCTTCAGAGTCATACTCGTTATTCACGTAGTAACCAACCCTAACAAATTCACGATCCGCGTACGCGCAGCTTAGCAAAATCACAGTAACTGACACCAACTCGTTTGAAGGGATCAAGTCGGCACTCGGTGGATCAGCCGTGAATAGGAACTTGTTCACACCAACAGGCACCGGACCAACCAGGATCGAGTCTAACTCCTGGTCGTGCTCCAGAGAACGCGATGATCCAACGTAGGTCAGCTTCCATTCCAGGTCGTCCTTCAAGGGCTCTAGACACTCAAAGGTGATTTCAAACTCATACGGATCCGTGAACTTGGCAGGGTTATTAAGCACATTGATTCCAAGTAACGACACAATTGACATCCCTTTAGCTGAATGATCTGACCTCCTAATGCCAACAATTGGAACGTGTCTTGTTTACTCATTCCATGGTGTTTTGGACAAAACGAGGGAAAACACAGACGCGTCGCCATGAGAAAGCAAAACACCCAGACACCCACTGAAAGCCGGGACAAATGAGATCCGACTACAGACACAGCCCTCGAATCTCGTTAAACGACGGGCGCATCGACATTTTCTGTTGTTTTTCTTTGGCGGCACTGGCCAAAAATGCCATACAAAGGCCGCTAGGAAGAGGATCTTGACGGTACAGCCCAGTTTATCACGATGAAGTTGCCAAAGATCGTCTCATTCGATGCATTCAACACGATATTCACGCCTAGGAAGCCTGTTCTCCAAATATATGCCGAAGTGGCGCAACGTCACGGGCTAAAGGTGCCTCAAGAACACCTTGAAGAGAGGTTCCCCATCGTCTTCAAACAGATGCAAGAGCAGTACCCGAATTACGGAGGACACTCCAAGATGAACTATGTAAACTGGTGGGCAACGTTGATCTCCAATACATATGCTCCACACGATACTCCGAAGGCGTTTGTGGAGGAAGTTGTGGACACCTTCTCGACAGACGATGCGTACGGAGCGTATGCCGATGTTCGTCAGGCACTAGATCAGCTGCACAGATCCGGTGAAGTTGTAATGGTTATCTCTTCCAACGGCGACCCCAGGGTTGTACAGGTTCTGAAGGCATTGGATCTACTCCAGTATTTCCAGAAGGTTTACCTTTCGTATGACCTGGGTGTTTCCAAGCCCTCGATAGATTTCTTCAACCACGTCATCGACGACCTCAGAGGACCGTTCACACCCAGAGAGGAGATGTTGAAAAACGCATGGCATGTTGGAGACGAGCTGACCATTGATCTCAATGCCAGTGTTAATGCAGGGTGGAATGGTATACTTGTAGATAGAGACGGTGCATTCAGAAACCTTGCAGATAAGCAAGGCAACGTGACAGAACAAGAAGCACCAGTGGCACCAACCGACCCAGAAGTGATAAAGTTGGACGATAAACGTACAGTGATCAGCGATTTCTCCGTGTTGGGTAATGCTCTGGGGCTTTAAACTTTGTACCTTTCTAGAATTCCAGGTGAGTTTCTTCTGTTACATATTCGCCAACGGTGAGCTTATTTAGCACTACATCCTCAGGATGCGCTCCTTGCTTGTATATACGGAAACGAACAATGCATGTTGATATTTAACCAGCTTGGACTGTGGATCAAATCAATCGTGTTCGCTGGCCATCAGTGTCGTGTCACCGGCACAGGGATCTCTAAAGGCAATGAAGGCTTCCCAACACTTGAAGCTGATACACTGTGAGAAAGAAGACGGACCATTTGGTCGACGTCCAATGACCTCATATAAGTGGATTGATTCAATATCGACCATACTCCACAGTTCAATGTATGCAATTAACTTAGTTCTAAGGACCCGCCTGGCCCCTAAATACCGGCCATAGTCCACTCAGTCATCAGCTTTGATGACCAGGTTTTATCTAACTTCCGGTTTCCAACCAATTGTGGGCTGGATCAGAATTTGGCTGTTGGTAATTTCACCTGCTCCGACTAAATCCAAAGCTAAGGTGAGGCGGACTTTTCGATCTACGTGTCGCATCCTTTCGCAGGTTCAAAGTTTTAGTTTCATGTTGAAATTAACACACGCGAAAGATGATGTGATCTCACGCAAGGACGGGCGCACACTGAGCAGGGCAGCGTCATGAGCTCCATGGCCCCATGCTCAGGGCAACGGTTCCTCTGTGGTTTAGAGGAGAGGGAGAGAGCATGGTCTTAGGAAAGGTGGTGAAGTCCCCGATATCGCCTAGGCTGGAATAGAGGACAGCAGCGCGCCCTTCCTCTGAAACAGGTCTGCATGTTGTGTGGTAGCTTGTGGAGGTTTGTTATGGCTAACTTGAGATTGGGAGACTGTAGGTCCCATGGCCAAGAGTCTTTGATACCTCTCCTCACGCTGCAAGATCATCCCAGAGCGTAATGGTAATCCTCAATCTCTAAATTGCTTTCATTCAGTGTGTACGATTCCTCTGAGATCTATCGAGATCCAGTTCGTATATTACAATGAAATATTTGTTAGAAAGGTGGCCGTCGTTTATAATTAAACGACTTCACCTAAAGCTCATGCAGAAAGATAAAACAGCTCTCACAAACATTTCTAAGCCTGCCGAAGACACCGAGGCCGTACTTTGTGATCCAGAGACTAAGACCCATGGCAAATCAGAACCTGCGACCAATTTAGGCGGCCCTTAATAATTCGCATGTACCGCGGAAGTTATGGCCTGGATGATGGAAAACTTGAAATTTTTGACACCAAAATATTCTAAGGGTGCTCGTGATTAGCGGTCCATGACCAGCCTGAGATTATGGTCTCCGTAAGTTAGATCGTGGCACTTGACCATAGGAAACAAGGTGTGTGATCACATTGGTCTAATTGGTCTCATTAGACCACAGAATTTACAGAGCTCCTCCTTTGAAATTTGTGCCCAAACCTTCTTTTAACGATAACAAGATGGAAACTGTGCAGAGGCTTCAACTTTGAACAGGCACTCCTTTCAAAACATGCACAGCAGACGCACGTATTTTAACGGTGACTGAGAAATCTGCAGAAACCTAATGAACTTTAAATGTAAACCTGAAAGGGTGGAGGCCGGTACGTGTCGTGTTCTTCATGGTAGTTTCATTTACTAAGATTTGTATGTATGGCTATGGTATAATTACAAAGGAGATTTCGTCACCGAGGCGTTATGATTAGGACAAGACACCCAAGCCCTAATTAAACCATTGAGGTTTCACCTCCCCCCCCCCAACAAGGGACTTTCTTCTTTTGCATCACCTTTTGTTCCTTGATATTTAAATATTCCCCTTTGGAACTCCATTCCCTCTTCTTCAATTTCAACAGTGAAAGAGCTCACATACACTAGATCTCTTAGATCTTACCTTCAACAGTCAATTCCTTCATACCCTACTGCCTATCACCGAGAGAAATTGACCACTCCTTTACATTGAACACAATGATTTCTCTTCTGGCACTTCTTCCTTTTCTTCAATTCACTGTGTGTATTCCTGTTCAGGATGCCACACAATACTCTCTTTGCAGTAATGCAAAGGTCATTGCGTCAGATGCCATGAACTACCGTTCAAGTGATGGTACCTTTGAGTCAGCTTACTGGTGGCAGGCTGGTGAGGCCTACAACTCCCTTTTGAACTACCAGCACATCTGTGGGGACACACAATTCGAAGACGACATATACAACGGCATGATGGCCCAGGTCGGGTCTGATTTCAACTTCCAACCAGAGGAACACGTTTGGGAGATTGGTAATGACGACATTGGTACATGGGCTTTGGCTGCTATGCAAGCAGCAGAATCTGGGTTCAAACAGCCAAACGATTCCACCACTTGGGCAGACGTTGCCCGCAATTCCTTCGATCTCTTGTACAGCCGCTGGGACAGCTCTACTTGTGGAGGTGGTATCAGATGGCAGTTCGATTCTTCGAAAAGTGGGTGGTCATACAAGGCCACCATTGCAAACGGTAACTTGTTCCAACTGGGTGCAAGATTGGCCAGATATACCGGTGACAGCTCCTACATTACAAAAGCGAAGACTGTTTATAACTGGATCGGCTCTGCAAATTTGTTTTCCGAATTGCAGTACGGAACAGAAGTCTACGATGGCTTCAACGTTGAGGACTGTTCTGATATCACAAAGGTTCTTTGGACTTACAATTATGGTATTCTTCTCAGCGGCTGTGCGTACATGAACCAAGTTACTGGTGACTCAGAATGGCAAGACCGTGTCTCAAACATCATTCTTGGTTCGCAGGCTCTGTACAACAACACCATTCTGAACGAAAGGGCGTGTGAGGTTTATAGTACGTGTAACCAGGACCAGAGAATCTTTAAAGGTATTTACTTGCGCTCCCTAGGTCAGGCATCCAGACTGTTGAGCAGTCTGAGACAGACAATCATCGACCTGGTGAGTCCAAGCATCAATGGCGCCGTCCACGCTTGTACTGGAGGTGCCAGCGGCCACGAATGTGGTATGAAATGGACCATTAACGGATTCGATGGATCTTACGGTATGCAGGAGCAGATCAGTGCACTTGAGGTTATGCTCACAACCATTGCACATCTGAGTAGCGCTATGGACACCGCAGACTAAACAACTGTGAACCCATAATCGGAATACAACCTCGGCTCCGTACTCTTTGACGAACCACAGGAACACTCACTTTATCATGATCATAAGCAACACCCCCACCATTAATGCTGTGTACTTTCTAACTATGTAATCTTATGCCCCATATCTATGAGTCTTCTCTGTAGTCATTTTGAACAGTACTCAACGGTACACGCCCATCCTGCAAGTTCGACACAGCACAGCGTTTATAATACCGTTGGAGATGTCTCTCCGTGGATTTTAGTGGGGGGACAACTTGCCTAATCGGGCTATGTTTTCCCCCCGACACTTTGCTCCCGTCAAGATTGTCATTTTTACAGTTCCAATGCCGGCAGAGTTCAATTCAAGCACCATTTCGGGGACTACACGAGAGCTAATGACAGTGCTACACTACTACTACTCAATTGCAAACAGTATCGGCAGCTGAAGCCCGTGGTTACCATCTACTGCTTGTCTGTTTTCACCAGAATAAGCACTGGTTCATTGTCTAAATAGAACCATTTTTTGTTCCGCGCGCGCTTTCTCCGGATACCTATAATCTGGCCCTTATCAACAGAAAAACTGATAAGCTCCGAGCAGCTTTTTAAAGCCCAAGTGTCTTTCCGTTCGGTTTAACAAGGTGAAGGGATGGAAAGAGGGTAAAAAGAAAAGCTTAAAAGGAAAATCCACGTACGAATTTCACTCTGCCTCCTCTGGACGAGCAAGGGAGGAAAAGGTCTAAAAGGGAAGCATTATCCAGGTACGTTTGAGCGTCCAGCCTGCCATTGAGTGTTGTCTTCTTGTTTTTGTGTGTGTGTGTTTTTTCTTGCTTCTTCTTCTTCTTATCGTTCTTCTCTCATTATGGCAGAAGTTTCGATGAAGCCTCATGAATCAGTGCCCGACAACTCCTCACAGCAGAGCACGATACCAAAGAAGAACCACAAGTCCAGGAACGGTTGTCTCACCTGTAAGAAGAAGAGGCTCAAATGTGACGAGACCAAACCACAATGTCTGAACTGTCAAAAGCGTGGTGTGGAGTGCGGTGGGTATTCAACAACGTTCAAGTGGAAGAGCTTTGAGGAGACCAGTGCGTCACAGAGAGTAAGAAAGGTGTCGACTGGCTCTTCCATGGGTTCAGCGTCTGCTCTACAACCAGCACAGAAGATAAAGAGGTCGATGTCGGTTCCTGATAAGGTATTTGACGAGGCATTGCAACAGGCATCGCTGAGTATTGCAGGCAAGTCGCCAGATGAGCTCGCATTGCAAAACGAGCTAATGAAATTGGGTAAGAACCCGCATTCTAAGTTACCTCAGTTAGCTGAAGAACAGGCATATATCACTTCGCCAGCTGCGCCGTCTGCTTCAGTCGAGTTTACCACGAGCTCTTTGAGACATCAGCAACAGAAGGGTGTACAGCAGCAAGGGCGGCCTCATCCCTCTTCTCCAGCACCAGCAGCACCTGTAACAACTGCAGAACTACAGCAACAACACACTCCATTACACCCACAACAGCATCAACATTCACTTCAACTGCAGCAGAGTCAGCCCCAGTTGAAGAAGAGAAGAGTATCTTCAATCATCGCACCATCTCCTCCAAATATGGTGCCATCCCCTGGCCCAATACAGGACATTCCTTCCCCTTCATTATCAACAATAGTACGTTCTCTGACTGATTTTGACCAGCCACTGCCCGCAAACATCCCATCTCCAAATATGGAGAGCTTCTATCCAAAGTTGTACGAATTGGATTCGGATGCAGTAGAAGAGGGTCCATCGTCCTCTCATAACGTCAGCGGTATGAAGAGGTCGTTATCTGTGGACTCTGCACTTGCACAGACAACAATTCCTGAATACCGTCGTGAGTTAATATCTTACTCTCAAGCACTATCACCAAAATTGCCAACGATTCACTTACCGCAATTTGACATCTCCAACCTACACTTATCAAACACAGACTTTGATCGGGTGTTCCAAGCGTTTGACAAGTATACATGTGCAATAATGTCCATTAGAGATGGTCCAACAGAAAACCCGTGGAGAACCCTTATGTGGCCTCTTGCCATGCAAAACAGTGTTTTGTTTAAGTCGCTGGCGGCGATGGCACTATTCCATATTGCTAGAGGTGACACAGCGTTGAGGAATAGTGGAATCACATACATGAGACAATCTATGAGTGAGTTGGCTGAAGGGTTGGTCAACAACTCCATCCCAAACGACGTTGCATTGGCAACGTGTCTCACTCTGGCCATCACTGACTCTTGGGATAAGCATACCACTGCGGGTATTGCCCATTTGAAGGGAGCAAAGAGCATCATCAACAAGCTGGACAAGGAGGCAATTCAAAAGAATTCAAAGCTTTACAAATTTTTGATAAATTCGTTCCTGTACTACGATGTGCTCTCAAGAATGTCATCTTCCCAGCTTCTTGACTCTGACTACGATGAGAATGGTAAGCTCATTAAGAATCTCAGTCTGTTGAAGTGTATTTCAGCGAGGGAATTGTCGCCTGGAGCTGACGATGATCCTAAGTTTAACCCGATGTCTCCTCTGTTTGACGAATCTGTATTGAACGGTTACGCCATGGATAAGGACTGCATCATTGACCCTCTGCTCGGGTGTGCTCGTGGCTTATTCTTCATCATTGGACGTGTTGCATCTTTTATCGCTAGGGTTAGAAACATGAAAAAGCTCTCGTTATCAACTGTGTCGAAAGCCGTAGCTTTGAAGCAAGAGATTGAATCATGGAGACCCGATGCTAACATTAGACAATGCATGTCTTTAGAAGACCCGCTTTGTGACATAAGCTCGTGTATTGCCACTGCTGAGGCCTATAGATTTTCCACGCTGCTCTACTTGGAACAGGCTGTGCCAGAGATCTCCTCGCAATCGTCCGCTGACTTGGGAGAAAAGGTGTTGATGTTACTGGCTTCCATCCCAACAACATCGAAAACCTGTCTATTGCACATGTTCCCATTACTAGTGGCATCTTGTGAGATAACCGACCCTGATGATAGGGCATGGATTGATGAAAGGTGGAAAGTTCTCTCTCAGAGGATGTGGCTTGGTACTGTAGATAAGGCCGTTGAGGTTGTTCATGAAGTTTGGAGAAGAAAGGACGCAGCAGCAAGAGCGTCTAATGCAAGCACAAGTTCCAAGAGCTCAAACGCGCTGTCAACATCTGCCGATTGGGACTTGTTCCAAGGCCGAATTGACGTTCTAAACGGCTCAAAGAAGAGAGAGACTGAAGGGATCAATTCTCCAACGCATTGGAGTTCTGTGATGAAAGACTGGAATTGGGAGGTGTTATTTGCATAGAAGGAGTAAAAGATTAGAAGAAACGATAGAAAACATTAATAAAATGACTTTCACGAATCACTGGGGGTGGCTGTAGCCACTCAGCTTGGTTAATGTGAGAATAACAAGCAAATAGTGCTAAAACAGCATCAAAACAGCATCAAAATGATTTGGAAATGGCATCCAGAGTGCATATCATGAACTCCGTATTCCGAGGGGTAAACAAGGTCGGATATTACCCCATTCCGCAAAACACCGAAAGAGGAAATTGCAGCCTCACCAGGACGAAAATTACAGCACAAAAAAACGCTGTCGAAAATTTGCCCCGTTCAAAACATCAACAACAGCACAAACTCACTATACAAAAACGACCACTGGTTCGTAACCAACGGTTCAATCTTACCAGGTGATTATTGAAGCTTGCCATTGCTTCGACCCTTCCGTCTTTGTCGTTTCTGTCTCTCTTTCTCTTCTCTTTTAATTATATTATCTTGAAACAACCCATGTCCTCTTCTGTAGCATCTCGCCGACCAAAGCGACTCGCAACGGACGTAATAGGCCAGTTGGAGGACCAGTTGAAGGTGAACGATAGGGACATTGGCTCGTGGTTGACGCTTATTCAACATGTGATTGCAAAGGATAAGACTGAACAGGTGCGTGCTATCTACGAGCAGTGTCTGAAGATATTCCCGTTTCTCGAGAGAATCTGGATAGGATACATTCAGTACGAGTTGAACAGAGGCGAGTTTGATAAAGTTGAGGAACTGTTCAAGAGATGCCTATTCCAGTCGACTGGTGTGGCGCTATGGCAGTGCTATGTTGGTTACATTAGAAGAAAGAACAATTTGATTACCGGTGGTGAGGAGGCTAGACGAGTCATCTTCCAGGCTTATGACCTTGCTGTGTCCAAGGTTGGCCAGGACCCGCTCAGTGGATCCCTGTGGGAAGAGTACATCCAGTTCATCGACGACTGGAAGCCAGGGTCATCCTGGGATGAGCAGCCAAAGTTCGATTTGAAGAGAAAAGTTCTGAAAAGAGCTCTCACCATACCGCTTGGAAATCTGGAGAAGCTGTGGACCATCTATACAACGTTTGAAAACGATTTAAACGTCACCACGGCTAGAAAATTCATCGCAGACATCTCAGGTGCCTACATGAACGCAAGATCTCTCTACAAGGAGTCCTCAAAGTTCCTAGACACCATTGATAGGTCTGATGATATAATTCCTGAGGGTGTTTATTCACCACAGCAGTTGAAGGCATGGAAAGGTTGGATATCTTGGGAGAAGTTGAACAGGCTGGAGCTGGATAACACACAGTTGCTGGAGCGTATCGACTACATCTACCAGCAAGCCATTCAAAAGTTGATCTTCCATCCAGAGATCTGGTTTGATATGGCTGATTATTACAAGCAGAATCCTCAGTACTTTTCAAGTACCAAATTACAGGACTTGTTGAGGGTGAGTCTGCTCGTCAACCCAGGGGCATTCAGTCTGAACTTCAAGTTGATTGATCTGTACGAATTGGATGACAACAGTGCGCAATTGACTAAGACCTTTGACAGTCTCCTAGAGTTCTTGAACCACAACTACTCGCAACTGCTCGAACAGGAGGAAGACTTGAAGGCCATTGCCTTGGAAGACTATATCAACCTCAAACAGTCGCAAGACGAGGATGGTGATGGCCCTGACGCTAAGCCAATATCTGAGGAGGAAAAAGAGAGCATCTATAAAGCAAACCCGGGAATCAAAGCGATTCGACTACAAATGCAGAAATTGTCAAAGACTGTATCTTTGACGTATTGTACCTATATGCACACCTTGAAACGTATGCGTGGTATTGAAGCTGCACGTCCAATATTCAAGGCTAGTCGTGCCTCTAAGGCTAAGACCCACCATATATTTACGGAGGCTGCTCTGATGGAGTACCGTCATGAGCCAACGAAGAAAATTGCATTAAAGGTGTTTGAGCTAGGGCTTAGACCTTCTAATTTCCCGAACGATGGTGAATTGATTTACAAATATTTACAGTTTCTCATGAGAACCCAGGATGATATCAACGTTCGTACGGTTTTCGAAACTACGTTGAAGAAGCCAATCGAACAGGAGTGGATGCAGAAATTGTTTAAGCTGATGGTTAGATTTGAATCCAGCACTGGTAGCTTGGAGAGCGTGGTTAGGTTGGAAGAGAAGTACCGTGAGCTATTTCCAGAGGAGGATGCAATCGGTCTATTTGCGGATCGTTATTCATTCAATGAATCAGCTATTTTCGACCCAGAGGTTGATTTGATCCGTTACAACGATCTGAAGCTGAGAAATCTCACAGGAAGTGAAGGTAAGAGATCGTTTGCACAGGTTGAAGAGGAGCGTGAAGGGCTCAATAACGCTGAAAATAAGGAAGACGAGAGCAGAAAGAAACAGCACGTTGAAAGTGAAGACACTGGCAACGATGTCGAACCACAATCTGTGGTGAAACCTGTGTCTCAAGGTGAATTCGTCACGGACGAGATTTACAACCTGTTAAGGGTCTTACCTAACAGTGCCAGTATCGGCGAACCACTGTTTAACAGCTCCAAGCTGATTGCTCTTTTAAAAGGTCTCGAGTAAGGCGACGAGAGGCGTGTGAAGTTAGAGCCTACAAGATGTACACTTTGACATACAGCGACGTACGTACATGTGCCATTGTCGTCTTCTGCCTGTCCTGCTGCTGACACTTGCACTTTCTCGAAATAGCATAAGTCTACATAAATCACATGGTTTTACACTGTTAATTGTATCATTTTAAACCTCCGTGCAGCAAAGGGTTCCAACTGTTGCCCAAAAAGGAGCCCTTTTGTAGCCTCTTGCAGACTTTTGAGCCGAACGTGATACTGCTGTCAAGGCAGAAAAAAGTGTCCGATATGGGCAATTCAAGCCTAAGAGGTAAAGTCCTTCCCACTGGGAAAGGTTTACGAAGCATACAACGGACATTTGACAAGCTCCTTTTCTCGCATGTATTGTCTACCATTCAGTCTGGAAGAAACCAGACGTTCTCCTCGTCATGAGCCAGTGATAGACCATCCACTCACCACCCGTCGTTCACGCAGCTGGAAGGCGTGTGTCTTTACCACTTTGCTGTGATATTCGACCTTCGGACTCGATTTCCGGGTTTATCAGTGAATTATATCAGCTGTGATTTACAGCAACACTTTACAATTATCACATCCTCTTTGGGATGTGAGAACAAGATGGAGCACGAATCCTCAAGATTCAAGTGTTTCTCTACACTGATTTGAAAGGCACTCCTTGAACCATTGTATTCCCGCTTTCTTAGCTCTTAGGAACTGAACCTCTTCTCTAATATTTCTGAATTATATTGTTATTAAGAATCATCTTATTGTCATTATTTATAGTTAAACTGGCACACCCTGAGCTAGGCAACGTACCACACAAAGGTCATTGGTGGTGGAAACATACATTGTGACGTCGATATAACTGGAAACATTAAGCTGAACCCCAAAGACCACGACCTCGACGGTGCACGCAGCATCCTCACCAAGTGTCTTGTTGCATCTCAAGACACACACACACACGAGGAGTGCGTTCATGCTCCTCTAAAGAAATCACTACCCTCTTGCCGTCTCCCCGACTTTCCAAGAGGACACGAAATGGCACATTTTCATCAACTTCACACCAAGAAGTCATTAGTAATCGATGTAGAATTACAAATCAACCTTCCCCGATCCCTTTCTCGAGTTGCTACTCCCCTCCACTTCACGAACAAACTACAGGTCACTTACACGAGTGACTCTTTACAGGAAATATGAGTTTCCTACGTGCTGTTGATCATTGCGTCGTATGATTGCAGAACTCTCGCCTCCTGCCAGGCGCTTCCAATACCACACTCCAGAGAACTGTACAACCAAAGACAGCGAGTATGTCGCCACACATGCGTAGAATATGTGTCGCTCAGAGCTGCCAATCCCGTCATCGGTACTCACACGGTACGCCCTATTGGCCCGGTGCACCCGGTTACGCCATGCGCAAGAGCCAGGGTTTCCTCCCACCTTCCAAGAGAGAGAAAGAGAGAAAGAGAGAGAGGGGAGAGTGGCCAGCTGGCGACACTGTTCTGCAGCTACAGCAACAATCACAGAATCAATTCCAGCCATAAGCATTGGCATCATCCAAACAGAGCTTCATCCTATCAGAGCTTCAGATCCACAACGCCCTCTCCGTCCTCGCCTTTCGTTTCCGTCAACAGTACGGAATCACACCCCAAAAAATTACACCTGCGTGCGCGTGGGGCTATAAAAAATTTGACACAAAACGCAGCGTCAAAAAGTCCGTCCCGCCCGCGCAGCCCTCTCCCGTAGGCGCATGCTTGCAAACATCAACACGCGGGAATTGAGCGTTCAGACTAGGTGTTTTGGTTTAAGCTCGGGGGTGTGATCATGTGTGCTGTGTGATCTGTGATCGGGCACAACGGAATGAGCACCCCCAAAATCAGCAGGTGTGTTAACTCTCCGCTTGGGCTGGAACCGAGTATCCGTGTGGATGTGTCAGAGCGGTCTTTTGTAGCAATGTGTATATAAAGGGACGACAATCTGTATGGCTTGTGTCTGAAGACCGCTGGTATCCCTTGTTCTGTAGAGTACTACAAACAGAAACTCACATCAAACGAGTAAATAATACCGGATAATAACCAATGGCAGGAAACCAAGCTACAGATGTCAACCCAGCAGTCGGCGTTGGTATTGCCTTGACCAACCACGGTTCTTCATGGCTTTGGGCAGTGTTCTCGATCTTCGGCCTGACCGCACTGGTGCACGCTTGGTACACGTTCTATCACCTCCATTTGGGCCGTGATAAGTTCAGAGCTTATTCTCATATTGGCCCTCTCTTCTCCGCTGCAACCTTGGCCTATGCGTACTTCACAATTGCATCCAACTTGGGCTGGACAGGTATCAACGTTGAGTTCCACAACTACCAGGAAGACCAGCAGGTCAGACAGATCTTCTACGCAAGATATGTTGGCTGGTTCCTTGCATGGCCAGGTCTTCTCTACACTTTCGAATTGAACGCACAGTCGCAACACGTTGTGTCCTCATCCGATCTCTTCAGCATATTGGGCCACTTGGCTGTGCAGCTCTGTTCCACAGAGGTGTTTGTTCTTGGACTCTTGATCGGCTCTTTGATCTCTTCCTCCTATAAGTGGGGTTACTGGACATTTGCTGTGTCTGCTCAGCTCTTTGCGTTGTCTTTGCTGCTGTATAGACAGGTTGCTTCTCAAACAAAGGCAACTTCATTGCCAAATTTGATCGTGATGGGATTCTACACGGTCTGCTTCCTGCTTTACCCTGTCTCCTGGGGCCTTTCTGAAGGTGGTAACGTCATCTCTGTGGATTCAGAGTCTGTCTTCTACGGTATTTTGGATCTTATTCTGTTCTGGATCATCCCAGTTGTCGTGCTATACGATTCTAGAAAGAATGGTACTTTCGTCGATGCAAACACTACAACTGGAGACGTTGAGAAGGCATACCACCCTGGTTTAAGAGCCTCCGGGGAGACCGAGGTTCCACAGACCTCTCCATTGGCAAGTGACGGTGTTGCTGTCCAGCCCTCAGAGACAACTGCACAAGCTGCTACCAATACAACTGTAACTCCGCAGTAATCAACTGAATGTATGGCTGGAACATAAAGACTTCACTAATTACCCTTGTGACAAGCTGAAATACATCTTTGATAATCAATCGCTGCTCGCATTACACGCCCAACTCCTTTACGAAGTCTTTAGAGATTGAGAAGTAATGTGCTCTATTATGTTTTTAACGATATGAACTAATCTTTATTAAATGAGAAATGCCCTTATATACGTGTGATTTGTAGTTCTGTCTATATAATCAAAAGTGGATATCAGCACCTAGTAAGAATGAAATGATGAGATAGAAATTGAAGACTGTGATACACAACCAGGTGATTATGCCAAACGATGCAACCCATTTACTGTTCGTATAGTCCACAATTTCAGCCTTTGGAGGTCTAGGATGGTGAGTTCTACCTGTTCTTGTTGCACCATAGTCGTTAGCATCGCTGCTCATCAATGAGCCGACATCACTCTCATCAATCGTCACCTCCACTTGCATAAACTTCTTAACAGACGTGAAGTAGATAAGTGGTGCGGAAACAAAGGGTAGAATCATGGAGAGGCAAACTTGGCTCCCGTTCAAGATGTCTGCAATACCTTTTCTTCCCATAGTTAGCGTGACAAATAGACATGGGACAATAGCGATGAGTCTAGTCAACAGTCTTCTCGCCCATGGACTAACTGACCACTGTATAAAGCCCTCACTGACTATTTGACCTGCCATGGTGCACACAATGCCTGCACTTTGACCACTGAAGAGCATTGCCCACGCAAAGACCAAACCGGCAGCTGGTGAGATATACCTTGTGAGCATTTCATAGATGGTCAACAAGTCCGCATCATCTGCATCTGGTTGGCCATACAGCGTAGCACCTGCAACGATCAAGATGGCTGAGTTAACAAACGTTGCAATTAAGGTGAGCGAGATGATCAGCTCGGCATATGAGTACTTCAGGCAGTACTGAATCGCCTGCAACGTTGGCCTAACAGGATCAACTCTTTGATGGTTGTGCTTGATGTCGTACTCTGTCAACCTCGGCTTGACCAGTGAGGAGCCCAAGTATAACGAATGTGGCATCACTGTGGCACCGAGAATACCCAGCGACAGGTATATTCCATTTTGCTCTGTCAGCTCCTTTGAAGGCAGGAACCCTCTGAACACGTGGAGTTTGTCAGGAACATCAATCTTGAAGAGCTCTATAACAAAGCAGGCACATGTGAGGAATACAAAGACACTCACAAAGATCTCGAATCCCCGAACGTTTCTCATGGAGTTCGATTCTGGTCTATATACAAATAGAATCAACAGAACGTCGAGGACTGTGAGTGCAACGCCATATGTCAAAGGGATGTTGAACAAGATCTCCAGGGCAATCGCAGTTCCCACCACTTCGGCCAGATCAGTCGCTATGATCGCCAGCTCGGCAAAGACATACAGCGTCAGGTTCAGCCAACGAGGCAGATGTTTTCGGCAGTTCTCAGCAAGGTCCAGCCCGGTGACAGACCCAAGCTTGATACACAGGCTTTGAAGAATCACCGCAAAGATATTCGATAACAGCACGGCAAACAACAACTTGTATTCATAGTTGGCACCACCAGACACCGACGTGGAGTAGTTGCCAGGGTCCATGTAAGCAACCGCTACCATGATGCCAGGACCAACGAATTTGGCATACTTGGCCAGTGCTCTCTTGACGTTGTCTATTGGCAAGGCCATGGTGTTCTCTTAGCTCTTAGCAGCACGGCTCCGTGGTCTCCTCCTCGGTGTAGGACGTTGGGAAAGGACGTTGGGAAAGGAGTCGAACAGCAACGGTTTAAACGACGATGCGCAAGATTCCGCCTATCACTGAGAACGGTGCCTGGTGATGTTTATTACCTCATCGACTAACCGGGGAGTGAAGCAAGGCAAATAATGCGTGTTTAATAGCCGAAAACGGTAAGTATCTTTATTGGGAAGGCGCCCGTGCCCGTGTTCCCAATACCGCATGTTTCCTCTTTGGGCAGTTTTCTTTGTTTATTTTTTTGCGCTTCAAATATTTTTCTGTTTGTGAGACTTTCCTCAACTTTCACTGAAATTGTAAACAAACCCATTGGCGGTCCAGCAAAACCTGTTGCTCATTAACCACTAAATGGAGAGGTCAAGAAGATCAAGGCTTAGTGAACTGTATGGAGATCCTGTTGGATACAAAGGCACTCCGGGATCAACAAAGTTCCGCGAGAGAGCCGGCATAGAGGAGTCTTTTGCAAGACAGCGACGTACAAGCAGATCAAGAGATGGTCTTCCGAAGGATGAGGGTGAGAATGCCGGGGTGAACCATCACAAGAGACAGGCGGCACAGGACACGCGTATACCTGCGACGATTCTCGATATCGGGTCGCAGAGGGCGTTTGCGCTGGCGATCTTTGCCATAATCGAGTCTTACAAGCTGTATGATCTCATATTGCTCAAGAACGGTATGCCTCTGTCCAGTGCAATCGGGTTAGGGTTTCTGAATCAACACCTGCACTTCTTGGTGAAGTACTTTATCTACGAGGCGACTTTCCTGTACTTCCTCCCAGAGTTCAGGATCCCCTCGTTGACTTTCTCTAAGATCATTGTCATTTTGCAAATTGCGCTGTTCCTGCTCATAAACCTCTTCCTGGTGAGCGATTTGAGCTTCCCACTCACGTCGGTTATGTTTGCCGCGTGGAAGAAGTTGAACTCTAAGGATCTGACTATATTGGGAAGCTCTGTGGACAGCGCAGTATTTGACGCTTCCAGCCACTTCAAAGGCTCCCATACAATCAAGATACTTCCTGAAAATACCATCCAGCTGAACCCATTCCATGACAGCTTTTGTCTTCCACAAGGTGCTACAGACTACCAACTCAATGTACCTATAAGATTGAACTCAACGTCAGACATTGACTTCCTCCAAGTGAAGTACACGGATTTTGAAACGAATCAACCAATATTGATGAACTATACGAGTAAAGACATCAAAAGGTTTGACACGAGCACCTTCAACGCGTTGTATGAAAGAGATACGCTATATGGACCAATGATCAACTATCTCAATTTGCCGGTGAATAAATTGGGATTGTACGAAGTTGTTCAAGCCCTGGACTCAAAGTTCTTGAGTTTGAGAACGTACTATTCTCCCTTGGTCGTTGTAAACTGTCCAACAGCAGCAATTGACAATTTTGCCGAGCTCTCGCAAGAAAAGTGTAAAGGGGATTCGTACTCAGTGAAGTTTATCGTTGAGGGTGTCCCTCCACTCAAGTTGAAGTACAAGAAATTCATCAATAATAATGTTCAGACGTTTAGTGATCAAAGCCTTCAGCCTGAATTCTTCCAGAGTCCCCTTCTCGGTTACTCAAGTGAAAAGGTTCTTTCTAAGGAGCACCTCTCTGATCTAAAATGGGCAACATCAAGAACTGTTGAGATCGACTTTGACAGTCCAGTTAATGAAATTGGAGACTACAATTTCAAAATCGAAGAGATTACAGACGGCCTTGGTAACTTGGTTAATTTCACAAACACTTTGAACGACGATTCTGAGCTATTCAACCAATACAGTCTCATGCAGAGCTTCTATTCACATGACTTGCCAAGAGTTCATCTTGAGGAAAGAGTTAACAGAAATACAAAGACCAAGAGATCTCTACGTCTTGCAATTGATCACTTCCCAGGTGACTCGGCCCCATTCGAGGCTCAAATCAAATATATCAGTGATGACGAATCAGAAGTGGAACTGTTTACTTATCTGTTCAAGGACGATAGAGATGAATATCCTGTGCAGAAACCAGGGACTTACACATTGGTATCCGTCAAGTCTAAACACTGTCGTTCGATCATTAGTGGTCGCTCGTCAGTTTCAATCCCATTACCTGTTGTACCAAAGTTAACAATTGAATCTCAACCAATTCAAGATTCGTGTGTGGGTCAAGTTGGTCTTGTCTTCGACATGGCATTTGTTGGTACACCACCATTCAAATTACACCAAACCGTTTACAAAATTGAGAATGGTAAGAGAGTAAATACACAGTCAACGACATTGACGTCGCAAGGTACAAGATTCCGCTTCAACTATGAGCCATCCGTTGAAGGAAACTATGAGATCGCTTTCAACAAGCTTGTTGACTCTTTATACTCGGATCCAATCGAATTACAACCGGCACGCGATTATACATTCACCACTTCAATGAGAGTCAAGCCAAGTGCGGAGATCAAACATTATCAGAACCGTGGTGCTCTGTGTCTTGGTTCTAGTGTAAGAATCCCTGTTCAGCTTAAGGGTGAAGCTCCTTTTGTGTTGGAGTATGATGTGATCGAAACACAATCCAACAAGAGAATCCCTTATACAGTTAAGGATATCAAGGGTGACTCATATGAGATTGAAACTCCTGCATTCAAAGTTGGTGGAGAGTACATATTGTCACTCACTTCTGTGAAGGATAACTCTGGTTGTCTTGTTAGTTTGACTGGTGCTGATGCAAAGATTGCAGTGAGACGTGAAGTTCCATCTGTTGGGTTCGGAGTAGGAGAAGATCATAATAAGATTAAAATCAAAAAGGGGGAGACCACGGATGTCCCGTTAAGATTACTTGGTGAAGGACCATTTGATGTCGATTTTGATTTCTACAATTCTGAAGGTCTGTTCGTATCCTCAAAGAAAAAGCATTTCCATAGTGCACACAAGGGCCACCTTACTGTTTCAGAAGCTGGTACATACAAGCTGAAATCAGTAAAGGACTCATCCTGTCGGGGAACTGTCAGTGATACCGACAGCTATGCTGTGGAATACCATCCAATACCATCAGTGTCTATCAGTGAACACTCGGATGTTAAACCCATTAAGTCAAATGTGTTTGAAAAGAACAATGCGTGCCAAATGAATGGTAGCTCTGTTGATTTAGTTCTACATGGCTCTGCGCCATTTGTTGTTGAATACACTGTCCTCAATCCAAGCGGAGCGAGATCCTCAAAGTCATTATCCGTTGCAACCAGATTTGCGTCATTAAGGTTCCCTAACGACAAACCTGGTGAGTACAAGTACTTCATCACAGGTGTTTATGATGCTCTCTATTCAAAGTATGATCTTGATAAGATCCACTATAGCATGGACGAAATCGTTGTGAAGCAGGTTGTATCTCCTTCTCCTCGTGCTGAATTCAAGAACAAGAGAAAGGTTTACCGAACATGCACAACAAATGTTCTGGATAAGGACGTTCTTGAACCTATCCCATTGAATATTGATGGCAACGTTCCAATCACTGTAACTTTTGAGGTTATACATGAGAGTAGTTCCAAGTCAGAATTCATCACTTTGAGTAAGATTACATCTACTTCTGACCTCAAAGACTTGTACCGTGGTCTTAAACTTGGAAACCATATGATTCGTATTGTGAAGGTCATTGATGCTGGTGGGTGTATACAGACTGGGTTCTCCGATAATGGCTACGTCTCTATCTCAATCACAGATACACCAAAGATCAACCAACTTGACTCGAGCATTAACTACTGTGTTGGAGACCACATCGGCTATCAATTGATTGGTACTCCTCCATTTTCGATTGTTTACGGATTCAATGATCTCACATTGAAAGCTACTGAAACATCTTCACAATTCTCCAGATTGGCCGCTGAACCTGGTACCATTTCCATCAAGTCATTGAAAGACTCTGCATCTAACTGTGTTGTGAACTTTACTCTTCCTGAAAACAGGGATAAGGAAGAAAGACTCTCTATTATTGTTCACCCTATCCCATCTGTTGAGGTTTCACAAGGTGACTACACTATTCAGGATATTCATGAGGGTGACCAGGCGGAGATCATATTCTCATTCGAAGGAACTCCTCCATTCTCGTTGACATACGTAAGAACTGAACAAGTTGCATCAAAGAGAGGCAAATCCAGATCACAAGTTGTTGAAACTCATACCGTGAATGACATATATTCGTATGAATACCGTGTTCTCACAAGCTTACAAGGTACATATCAAGCCGTTGAGGTTTCAGATGCCTACTGTGTTGCAAGAAATGACTGATGAGACTGAAAAAGAAAGCAAACATGTATACTAGTAATAGAATTTCAAGATTCGTGTTAATATAATCTATGTATAATGTTTTGTTCAAACCAATCAATCGATTGTTAGGTTGCCTCTCTACTTATCTGTTGTGCCTGAGGTGCTCCTTAACCACACAAATTCGTCTACAATAGCGATTATAATAGAATCACCGTATATTAAAGCCCTATCCTAACCAGTACCCATGATACCCGGACCTAAAAGGCCGATTGCTAGCACTAGTCTTAGAAGAACATAGCAGCAGCGATGGCAATGGCACCAGCGCCAGCACCGACCTTAGCAACACCGTTCTCAGCAGTTTGCACAACGAAGGAAGTGGAGGTTTCCTCCTCAGCAACGGTGGTGGTGGAAGCTGGCTCCTGAGAAGACTCCTCAGAGGAAGACTCTTCCTTACCAGGGGTAAAGTCAGCAGCAGTGGAACCATCAGAAAGAGAAGCTCTGATAGCAACTGGGTTTGGACCCTCAGTGCCGGCCAAGACGTTGTAGTCCTCGTCAAGAGAGAAACCAGCACCGTTGTAGAGCAAGTAGCCGTCAACGATGGAGAAGACAGTGGATGCATCAGAACCAGAGTAAATACCGTCATCTTGGACAACAGCGTAGACACCATCAGCACCCAAGTTCAACTTACCATCGTCGTCGATCTTAGCGTTGATGTAGTTGTTGGTTTGGGTGTCTGCCTGGAGCTTACCAGTCATGATACTGACTGGGGCGTTTTGGTAACTAGCACCAGATCTGATGAGAACCAAACCGAAGGACTCGGAGTCAGCGAAAGCGGTGGCTGCCATAGCCAAGGAAACGAAGATAGAAGAGTATTGCATTTTCTGTAGATTAATTATCCGAACGAATGTGAATTGAAGATACACTTATGGACAACATGAATCGAAAGAAACATGGAACATGGACCCGTTTTTATAGTTGAAATCGGACGACGTGAGAAAAGGGTTTTTTGCCTTGACAAGTCAATAAGAACTCTCAGATCCATGCTATTTCATGCATTGAAGGTTGTATGTTTGGGCTGGCTATCATTTACGTGTAAAAGAAGTGAATCTATGGTGACTTTTCCTCCCTTCCAAGAAGTTTCGAAAGAGGTGTTTTGCTCTGTATGCAGGACCATGCACTACTGTACGAAGAAGGGGAGTCAGGCTGAAATAGGCTTTAGCCTTTAAGTCATCATGCTGCACTTCGTCACGCCTGAAGGGGAAGACGAGCGAGACCAAGATCAATGAATATTCGGACGGTGAGAGCACCTGTAACACTTTCCCAAGCTTCAATGTCTGAGACCCGCTCTGCGTTAAACACTGTAGAGCTACGTATCTAAATTGAGATGCCTTGGTTAAATTTGGAGCCCAGATGACAGCATGACCGGGAGAACCCTTTTTGCCTGAACTGTAATTGTAATACAAGTGGTGGGCTGAAGCTGAAGAACCTATTCACTCCACTATATGGGCGACGATCTACGTAGCCCTTGCTTGCAGTTTTCAGGTTACACGCGTCAGTATCCTCATTTGGATGACTGTGAAGGTCCGAAGGCTGGAAGGTGAAACACACTTTTAAGACGCGATGCGTTTTTCCCTGACGTTCTATATATGTAGTTTGACAAAACAAACGCCACATGGATGGAGAGGTGTGAATCAGAGAGTATATGCCTCGTGGGTGACGGTCATGTTTCAAATTGACTTGTATGAAGGTTTGTTCAATGGTGTGCCATGAATAACTGGACCCGCTGCACAGAAGCTGTCGGGTCTAACTTTAACGTGTGCACGTTTTTTTAAGCCAGCACCAGCTTTTCGGTAGCTTAAGAGAGATCCTTATGACAATTGGTTTACATTATTGGTTAATTGGCGAGAATTCTATTTATGGAATGCGGATCTGTGTTTGCGTAGTTTGTACGATATTGGTGATGATGATCCTACAGACGTCTGTGTCTCAGGCTCTAAACGTGCATTTGGTCACCGAACACAGATGTCAAGATTCGAATTACTGTGGCAATACGGTACTTATCAATACACATTCGGATCAAACACACAATTGGGGTAACAGGATGATGTAAAGTTATTGGGTGTGTAAACATGGATGGTTTCCATATGGGTTTTTACATATAAAACGTGTCATAAAAAAGCGGCTTGTGATGGCCACGATGACGCCCAATGCACTGGCGCAGGTGCTAACCAAGCAGAAGCTTTGGCTAAACTCACACAACTGCTTCTATTTGCTATAATTGCAAGGAACAGTGACACTGAGGCCCATGAAAAACCCCGATTTCCACTTTAGGACATTTATTTATGTTTTTGGGCGATTTTATACACGATACATGATCCCAGGCGTGAGTGTTTAGGCGTCCATGCCTCAACATTACTCAGAGTGGAGGTCAATTACTGAAACTGGAGGTCAACTTCTCAATTGGGAAGTTACTCCTACATCCCCAGTGCAACATTCCACGCAAGCACATAGGAACATGCAGCATAGGTAGTGAGACTGTAATTCCACATCGATGACCGCGCTATATACTCCCATCTGTTAACTTTGGAGATATGGTGTTGATCACCGAGTACGTCTCTATCAACAGGTCAATGCGGTGATTGGATAGACCCTGTAAATAGTCACATGACCGCGTGTGCCGTGTATGCTCTGTCGTATTCACTGGGTACTCAAATGCTAGAACTTCAGAGAGGAAACAACTACAACGGCCTGGCCATCGATGTCCTTCTTGCTTTTCCCTGGTGTCCCGTCCCTGGTGTCCCATCCCTCGTGTCCCGTCTGCAAAGTCGAAACCATACATAAATCCGACGTGGTTTCACAATCATCCGTACACCACAACCTGTGCACTTTCCGATGACTAAGCACAACACCGTCTGCTGACTAAGCACTCCAAAAGTCCCAAAGGGCAAATTTTTCTTGTGCCCAAGTGCTTTTTTTTCACAGCTTTAGGCAGAGATGAGATGCTCCTTCACATACAAAACCAGCGGAGGCAAATAAACATCTTCAAAGGCTTTCATCTCAGCAATGGCGAGCCCTGTTGTCGGTAAGAAGAGGCTCAGCGAAGGCCTCACTGTGACGTCGAAGGTGTTTGTGAGGTCAAGAAACGGAAATGCGTCCAAGATTGTTAGGGAACACTATCTGAGAAACGACATTCCATGTCTGTCAAGGGCGTGCCAGAGATGTGGTGAGCTTGTTGCTCCGGACGCCAATGGCCAGCTCCCAAAGTTCATCTTGAGCCCTGAGCCGCTGCAACTGAAGGAGGTTGGCCGTCACTACGTCGTTGTCGATACAAACATCATCCTCCAGGCCATTGACCTGCTTGAGAACAACCAGATCTTCTTTGACGTGATTGTACCACAGACCGTTCTCGACGAGGTCCGCAATAAGAGTTTCCCAATCTACAACAGAATCAGAACCCTGTGCCAGGATAATGAGAAGAGATTCATCGTGTTCCACAACGAGTTCTGTGAGGAGACCTACGTCAAGAGGTTGGACTCCGAATCCATAAACGATAGAAACGACAGGGCCATACGCCAGCTGTGTACGTGGTATCAGGAGCATCTACAGTCCTCTGGCATCAACATTGTTCTCGTGACCAACGACAGACTGAACAAGGAGAGTGCAGTGAAGAACAACATCACCACAAAGAACTTGCACGAGTACGTTGAGCTGCATCCAAACTGCTCAGAACTGAGAGATTTGATTCCTACTGAAGAATTCAAACAGAGAGAAAAGGTTGAGCACTTCTTTGAAAACCATTATACAACCTCACGTATACTTGGAGGGCTGAAGAACGGTACCCTCTACCAAGGAAGCGTCAACATCTCATCGTATAACTTCCTAGAAGGTGAAATTAAGGTGGCATCGTTACCAAAGCCACTTTTGCTCATTGGCTCTGCGAACCTCAACAGAGCCTTCAATGGTGATCAGGTCGTTGTGGAGCTGCTGCCTAAGTCGCAATGGAAAAAGCCTTCAACCATGATCATTGACGACGAGAAGCTCAATACAAATGAAGATCCAAACAACGAGGATACCCAGATCTCCGACAGGGAACGTCGCTTGTTAACACAGGACGCCATCGACACGCAGAATGACTCATCAGAGGTGCAACCAACAGGCCGTGTTGTTGGTATTGTGAAGAGATCATGGAGACTGTACGTTGGACAAATCGTTCAAAACTCCGTCTCCAAGAACACCTCTAACTCTGCCAAGTCATGCTTTGTCAAACTGATGGACAGAACTCTACCAAGAGTCCGTATTAGAACTCGTCGGGCAAACGAACTGCTGGGACAAAAGATTGTTGTTGCTATTGACTCGTGGCCAACGACTTCGAACCATCCAGAGGGTCACTTCGTCAAATGCCTGGGTGAATCAGAATCAGTCGAAGCTGAGACTGAGGCCCTGTTGCTGGAGCACGATGTTGAATACAGACCATTCTCCAAATCCGTGCTGGACTGTCTCCCACCAGAAGGACACGATTGGGTGGTTCCTAAAGACCTTGAAGACGCAGAAGTCTTGCGCAAGGATCCCCTACTTCCAAAGAGAAAGGACTTCAGGGATAAGCTTGTTTGCAGTATCGACCCTCCAGGATGTGTTGATATCGATGATGCACTTCACGCACAACAGTTACCAAACGGTAACTGGGAAGTTGGTGTGCACATTGCTGATGTCACGCATTTTGTAAAACCAGGCACACCACTCGATGCTGAAGGTGCCTCGAGAGCCACGTCTGTGTATCTCGTCGATAAGAGAATCGATATGCTTCCAATGCTCTTGGGTACTGATCTATGTTCGTTGAAGCCATATGTGGAGAGATTTTCCTTCAGCTGTATCTGGGAACTCGATGATGATGCCAACATTGTGAATGTCGAGTTCAACAAGTCCATCATCAAGTCTCGTGAGGCGTTTTCGTACGAGCAAGCTCAGCTACGTATTGATGATAAATCTCAGCAGGATGACTTGACAAAGGGCATGAGAGCACTTTTAAGGCTTTCGAAGAAACTGAAGCAGAAGAGATTGGATGCTGGTGCTCTGAACTTGGCATCCCCTGAGGTGAAGGTCCATATGGATAGTGAGACATCTGACCCTGGCGAGGTGGAGATCAAGAAACTCTTCGAGACAAATTCTCTCGTTGAGGAGTTCATGCTGCTAGCCAACATCTCTGTTGCTCGTAAGATCTACTCCGAATACCCTCAGACCGCAATGTTGCGTCGTCACAACTCACCACCAGCAACCAATTTTGAGAAGTTGAACGACATGTTGAGGGTTCGTAAGAACATGGCCATCTCTATAGAGTCATCGAAGGCACTTGCGGACTCCTTGGACCGTTGTGTCGATCCAAATGATGAATACTTCAACACTCTGTTGCGTATCATGTCTACGCGTGCGATGACTGCTGCTGAATACTTCTCCTCTGGCTCGTATGGATACCCTGAGTTTAGACACTATGGGCTTGCAGTTGATATCTACACCCATTTCACCTCACCAATTCGTCGTTACTGTGATGTGGTTGCGCATCGTCAGTTGGCTGGTGCCATTGGTTACGAACCTTTAGACCTGGGACACCGTGACAAGTCCAAGATGGAGACCATCTGTAAGAACCTGAACAAGAGACATAGAAACGCACAATTTGCTGGAAGGGCCAGTATCGAATACTACGTTGGACAGGTTATGAAGAACAATGAGAGTGTTGAAACTGGCTACGTCATTAGAGTGTTTAGTAACGGTGTTGTTGTTCTTGTTCCGAAGTTTGGTGTTGAGAGTCTGATCAAGCTTGATGATTTGACATCCCACGTTGAGAGTGTTAACTTCGAGGAAGACAAGTACCAGTTGACATTCACCACGCAGGACGGTAAACATCAGAGAACTGTTGCGGTGTTTGACCAAGTTAAAGTCGAGGTCAAGTCAATATTGGACCAAAGCGTTGGTAAACGGAAAGCACAGCTAGTCTTGTTATAGATGTCATCATAACGAAGCACGTGTCATTAAATGGTATGTGTCTAGAGTGCAATATATGTGTAGTTCTTTAGTTTGATATGTCGTTAATGATTTGAATATTTCTTCTCGTATCTTTTCATTTCAGAAAGCACGTACTCGTTAAACCGTGGATAGTTATCCAGGTATATATGGTGACCACAGTTCTCCATAACCAGGAACTCAGAGCTATGTGCAGTTTGTGAGTTGATGATCTTGGAGCATTCAACTCCTCCTTCCTTTGGCATCCAATCGTCATCACCATAGACCCATGCTATGTCACAGCTGGCGTTCTGGATCTTATCCACCAGTGGAACTTTGGCCACAGCTCCAGCACCCAAGATCTGTGGCATGTAGTACTCTCCTGAGCCTCTGGCGTTGAAGATGGCATAGGTGTACCTGTGAAGCCTTTCACGTTCTTCCTGTGTCAGTTTGGCGAATCTACGGGATGTCCAGCCGGATGTGATCATGCTTCCAAATGGCCCAGAGTTTCTCACCAGCGAGAATGGTGACACGTTCTGCTCCCATAGCCAATCAAACCATGCTGGAATCTCGCCCGGAGGCTGTGGTGGTCTATATATGCCAGCAGGTGATATGCACAGCAACTTCTTCACAGCATTGGGGTACTTCATTGTGTATAGAACCGAGAGGTACGCACCCAGCGAGTGGGAGCACATCAGCATCGAGTCGATGTTTCTTTCACTTCTCCACTTCTCGAGCGAGTCTATGAAATAGTTCTCCAGTGGTATGGATCTGTCAAACACAGGCCTTGAAGAGCAGCCGTAACCAGGTAAATCTAAGGCATGGATACACCAGTTATCATTTTGAGAGATCGCCTCAAAGTTCTTCAAGAAGAATCCCAGGCCAGCACCGTACCCGTGTATCAGAACAAAGTGGTTCAGCTTCGCAGGATCAGTGACATTCCTTGGTGTTATGCACACTTCATTCATGGTGTTTCCTCTTCCTATGGCAGTCTTGACAACCTCCAGGTCTCTATTGGGCAACGACAAGAGCTGTAAAAGGTCCCACTGCGCATCGTCCAGGAGATGTCTCGACTTCCAATGCTGGAATGATTCACTGGCGCTCATCGGGAACAACTTGGTGGTGATGATCTTGTACAGAGGAAGAGCTGTAGGGGCCGTAGGCCTCCTATAGCCATGTGGGTGCTTAGCATCTGCATTGGACGCCGACGATGATGGCTTCGAGCCTCGAGAAACAACCCCAGACGCCAGCGTTTGAACCGTCTTCACCAGGTTGTTCAGCTTAAGACGCAACATTGTTCCTGCTCTCGAACGCTATTTCCGCAAACTTGGCCGTTGACACCTCGTCAAATCCTCGGAGAGAAGCCAAAACACATCCAAAAAAGGCAAGCGGTGGGTGTTGAAACGCAGTTTTAAACCACTTCACTTGCAACGGACGGCAACGACGATGAGCTAACGGTAAGCCAAACCGAATGTTTCAACGTTGAGACAAATCAGCACTCACAACGTTTTTTTCTTTGGCTGAGAGGCCGGTGTTGCAGGTTGCGCATGTGGCCCACGATCGTGCGTTTTTAAGAGCGTTGGGATTCTCTCTGTGAGGTGTGGGTGTTTGTGGGTGTTTTGTGGGTGTGCGGGTGTGGTGTGGCCCCACCGACCCTGGGGAAAAGCCCGATGGTCCTCGCCCATTTTGCACCTGTGCCTTCTCTTCCCGAGCGCCAATGTCCCTGGCGTGCGCCAACCAGAAGACCTCCGAGGTTGACGTGTGTGCGTATGTGTGTTTTTTTGTTGGGTACCGTGCAGAGTGCCAAGAGCGGCAATACCCAACAAAAACCTTACTCGGTGTAGGTACGGAGAAAAAGAAAAAGAAAAAGAAAAAGAAAAAGAAACCACGCTCCGTCCTGTTGGAAAGCGAATCAGAGGGAAATGGGCACACAGCGTGCGAATGTCTCTGTTGGTTTGTCCGCGAATTTCAAACAGCTCACTGTTGCCTTAGCTCGTATATAATTCCAATGGCGCCATTTTGCGCTGGCCTCCGCTGCTGTAGCGCTGGCCTCCCCAGCTGTAGCGCTCTTCCAGCGCTTTCCCTCCCCAGTCCCACCCTGATAGGCTTCATGACATCATCAATTGAGGAGAAGGACCTCCTTCTCCCCACGATTTACTGTGTCCTCCCACTCTCTTGGTGCTCGCCTCTGATGTTGGCGTTGCGTGTCCTTCTGGTTCCGGCACCGTGATCCTAGCCATGCCTGCATTTTGTCCCATGGCATTGGGATTTGTGTCAGCGAGGTGGAGACCGCGAGCGGTTTTGTGTCAAACAAACTTTCTTCGTTGTTATGACGCCGCTGTTAGGGACACGCACAGAGGCTCTCAGCGCACCGGGGCGGGTGCGCGTTCGAAACGCCGTCACCGCTGCCCTACAGCCCCAGTAATAAACAGGGTGAGAGATAGAGAGAGACCACTGACTTGGATCCTCACGAGGCCTCGCTGAGGCCTCGCTAAGACCTCGCTAAGACCTCGCTAAGACATCATCCGATCCCCGACGTAAGGAAGCTCACCACCACCACCCCACACACACCACGGAAACAATGACGCTGGCCAAAACCTTCAGCCAAGGTTGCCTCCTGTCCAGAGACGCTGACCGCGTTACACGCACTGGCTCTTCAGTCCACCCGCTCCGAGGTCAACAGCACAAGAAATCCAACAATCAGAGGTAAACGACAAGCGCCCACCACAGAGTGGCTCAGCGTCCCGACTGGATTGTTCTCAGTGCTCGTTGTGGGCTCCCATTGTAAACCAGCAACCCGCCGTGGAATCCGTCCTGTTGCGCTGTGCTGTGCTGTGCCTGTGCCTCGTAGGCGGGAGCGATGGGTTCTTTTAGGGCCTGTCCGTTGTGTGCGTGTGTTTTTTCTGCTTATTGTCCGAGTTCTAGGCAGAAATGCGCAGACGGAAAGATTCCTTTGCTTTTTTTTTTGGGCCTTTTAGGCGTTGGACTCGCCTGCGTCAGCTTATGATCAACAACTTGCCGAAGTTTGACAAATAATTTTCCTCTCTTCTGTCTCGCCTTCTCTCCTCTTCTGTTGAGTTTCTACCCCCTGTTCCGTATAGGCAAAGTATCTGCTAAAGAAGATCACATCGACGCATTCTGAACACCATGGCCCGTCTAGTGAACGTTCCCATTGGTGAGGCTCGCAAGGGCGAGACGGCTCCTCGTGTCAACGGGGACTTGAAGAACAAAGAGCCGATCAAGAGACCGCTTGGGCTGAAGTGTAACACAGTGTACGAATTCCTCACGGAGGTGTTTGAAAGAGGCGGCAACCGCAAGTGTATGGGTTTCAGAGACGTTATTGACATCCACAAGGAGAAGAAGATGGTGAAGAAGGTTGTTGACGGGGAGGAGGTTGAGGTTGAGAAGACGTGGTTCTACTACGAGCTCTCCGGCTACAAGTACCAGACGTATAAGGAGGTGTTTGAGTTGGCGCACGAGTACGGCCGTGGGTTGGTGAAGCTCGGCTTGAAGCCAGGGAACACCGACAAGCTGCACATCTTTGCTGCCACCTCGCACAAGTGGATGAAGACGTTTATGGCTGCTCAGACCCAGGCCATAGCCGTTGTCACGGCCTATGACACCTTGGGTGAGAAGGGCTTGACCCACTCCTTGGTTCAGACAGAATCAGCAGCCATCTTCACGGACAACTCACTCTTGTTGAACTTGGTGAAGCCATTGCAATCCGCCACAAACGTCAAGTTCGTCATCCACTCGGAAAAGATTGATCCAAAGGACAAGAGACAGAATGGGGAGTTGTACGCCAACGCCAAGAAGGGATACGATGAGATCCTTAAGGTTAGACCAGATATCAAGATTGTGTCATACGATGAAGTGGTTGCCATGGGTAAAGAGGCAAAGGACATCCAAACAACCTTGCCAAAGCCATCAGATTTGTCCTGTATCATGTATACATCCGGTTCCACTGGTGATCCAAAGGGTGTTGTCCTGAGACACGACAACATCGTTGCAGGTATTGCTGGTGTGTCCTTTATCGCTAACCGTAACTGGATTCTGGAGAGCGATCGTATCATTGCGTTCTTGCCATTGGCACATATCTTTGAATTAGCATTTGAACTCATTGCCTTTTACTGGGGTGGTATCATTGGTTATGGTACAGTCAAGACTCTCTCGGATGTATCCATGAGAAACTGTGTTGGTGATATGAAGGAATTCAAACCAACTATCATGGTTGGTGTTGCTGCTGTTTGGGAAACCATCAAGAAGGGTATTCTCTCACAGTTGGCCAAACAACCACCTTTCACACAGAAGCTGTTCTGGGCTGCTTACCACTACAAATCGAAGAGTTGGAAGATCCCAGGTTCCACGTACCTCATTGACCACGTTATATTCAAGAAGGTCAAGGCTGCCACCGGTGGTTGTCTTCGTTACATCTTGAACGGTGGTTCTCCATTGTCACAGGATACTCAGTTGTTCATCACCAACTTACTTGCACCAATGCTTATCGGTTACGGTTTGACTGAAACTGTGGCTAACACCACTGTTGTTTCACCAGGTGCGTTTGAAATCGGTGTTCAAGGTGCGCTTTCTGGCTCTATTCAGGTCAAGTTGGTTGACGTTGAAGAAGCCGGCTACAAAGCTGAAAACAACCAAGGTGAGATCTGGATTAAGGGTTACCCAGTTATGCCAGAGTATTTCAAGAACGAGGAGGAGACGAAGGCTGCCTTCAACTCTGAAGGCTGGTTCATGAGTGGTGATATCGGTGAGTGGACAAGCACAGGACAGTTGAAGATCATTGACCGTAAGAAGAACTTGGTGAAGACCCTGAACGGTGAATACATTGCATTGGAGAAACTGGAGTCCGTGTATCGCTCAAACCATTACGTTGCAAACATCTGTTGCTATGCGGACAACTTGCATGCCAAACCAATTGCCATTGTTGTTCCAAATGAAGGTGCAATTCGTCAATTGGCACTGGAGAACAAGTTCATCTCGAAAGAGTCTGATGATTTGCACAACGTGTTGAGAAATGCCAAGTTTGTTGGTAAGGTTCACAAATCCATGGTTGAAACTGCCAAATCTCAAGGCTTGATTGGTATTGAGATTATTGCAGGGTTGGTGTTTGTCGATGAAGAGTGGACCCCACAGAATGGCTTTGTCACATCTGCTCAAAAGTTGCAAAGAAAGAAGATCTTGGAGGCCAGCAAGAAGGAAGTTGACGACTTGTATGCAAGTGTTTAAGAACCTCTTTATGATTGTACCCATTTTACCATTCGCACACGCAAAATGACAGGCATATATGAGAGACATTCACTCTTTTCTCCTCTTTCCTCTAATGATTCGTATCATTAGCTTCATCTTTTGGTCACCTTCACGCATGCATCGTTGTATTCTGTATCATTAATTACGCCTGCCCCTTCTCAGCCTCTTCTTTTTATTGTCTCTACTCGTGCTTCACCATTACAACGTCTTTTTATCATGCTCATGTGTGCATATGGCCTCGTTCTTCCCCTTTATCTTGGTCTCTTCCTCTTTGATTTTGTCTTTTTTAACTCCTTTGAGGCTAATTTACGGTTGTTTTACTTTTATACCAGTGCAAATCCGAGTAAAAGTTGTAGTGGGATTGATATATATGCGGTATGTACAAGTGTTGCTCCATTGGTATACTATATCTGAGGTCATTTTTTATCAATAGGGAAGGGGAGCTGTTGACCACCTTGCGCCTCCATGTCCTTGAGGAATCTCTCCCTCTTCAAGTCAACAACGTACTTCTCCTTGAAGTAGTGAACCCAGCTCTTGACGCACTTGGACTCGAACTCCTTCTCCTGCTGGGCGCACTCCTTCTTTATAACGCTGGAGTACTTATCCTCGAACGGGTTCAGCACGTTGTTCTTCTCCAAGCAGTTGAGGTACTCGTCACGGGCGTCCCAGCACACCTGACGCTTCGAGCGGTTTGGCGCAACAGTAGCAGTGTCGGAAGATGAAGAGAATAAGCCCATTTCTTTCTGAACAGGTCCGTGGAGCGTGTTTTCCAAAGCAGTTGATGGAGCTCTTTGCAACGGAAATGAGCCATCGGGAACTGATGAATTGATCGGTGATTTGTCGCGAATATTGCCCCTTCGGGAAACAACATCAAAAGAGGAAATATTCGCGCAACCCGGACACCACTTTCCTTTTTTCAAACTTTATTCTTTTTTTTGCCTTTGGCGGTTTGGGCCCAGCTTCGATGAACCTCAACATCAACATCAACATCAATCTCTACAACGCAGCGGTGGTATTAAAAGCATTGGTTTGTATCTGAAAGCTGAAGGGAAAATGTCAAACATTGGGCTCCAAGTGCGCCAGGCAGTTCCATCTATTGATCCTGTTGTTGCTGACTACGCTGTCGGTTACATCAACAACATCCACCAGGCTACAGAGGACTCTGTGTTTGCACAGCAGTTAGACGTTGAAGAGGAGGTTGGTTTCATATCGGACTTGTTGAAGAACGCTGGCGGCGATGCTGCGAAAGTTGATAAGCTGGCACAGTCTGTGTCTGCAAAGCTCCTGGAGGAGCTGAAGTCGAACCAGGCCAAGTTGGAGCTGACCGGTGATACTTCAAAGAGGCTGCTGGACGTGAACCTCTTGAAGAACCACGCTTCCAAGAGGAACATCAACACCAGTCTTGCACTGCTAGGTGTCTCTAGAGACATCGAGCATGCCGGAAGACACGTCGAATCTAAGGTTGATAAGAAGAAGTTGGAGAAAGCTGAGAAGAAGATTGCAGCCAAGGTGGCTAAACGTGCAAACAAGTTTGTCAAATATGAAGCCTCCAAGTTGCTCAATGCCAGTGAAGACGCCAACTATGATGAGTTCTTCTTGAAGATTAATCCGATTGAGTTTGGATCCGGTGCTGGTAAATCTAAGGATATCAAGATTGACACTTTTGATCTGTACATTGGTGACGGTCAGAGAATATTGAGCGATGCCTCCCTATCGTTGAGTTATGGACATAGATATGGTCTTGTCGGTAGAAACGGTATAGGTAAATCCACGCTGCTGAGAGCACTGTCCAGAAGAGAGCTGAACGTTCCAAAGCACATCACTATTCTGCACGTTGAACAGGAAATCACCGGATCTGAAATAAGTGCCATTCAAAGTGTGTTGGATGCGGACGTTTGGAGAAAACAGTTGTTGTCAGAGGAGAAGAAACACCAAGATAGAATCCAAGAAATTGAGGAGTTGAAGAAGGAGTTCGACGAAGAGAGTTTGGAAGTGAAGAAGTTGGATAACGAACGTGATGATTTGGAGACGCATCTCCAAGAGATTGAAGAGAAATTGGTTGAAATGGAATCCGACAAGGCGGAGGCAAGAGCAGCTTCCATCCTCTTTGGTTTGGGTTTTACAAAGGAGTCACAACAGAAACCAACCAACTCCTTCTCTGGTGGTTGGAGAATGAGATTGTCATTAGCAAGAGCACTTTTCTGTAAACCTGATCTGTTGTTATTGGATGAACCTTCCAATATGTTGGATGTTCCATCCATCACATTTTTGGCAAACTACTTACAGACTTACCCAGCTACTGTCTTGGTGGTTTCGCACGATCGTGCCTTCCTGAATGAAGTTGCCACTGACATCATTCATCAACACTCTGAGAGACTGGATTACTACAGAGGTCAAGACTTCGACAATTTCTACAACACAAGAGAAGAGAGACGCAAGAATGAGATGCGTGAATATGAGAACCAAATGGCTTACAGACAGCATCTGCAAACCTTTATCGATAAGTACAGATACAATGCTGCCAAGTCGTCTGAAGCACAATCGAGAATCAAGAAGTTGGAGAAATTACCTGTGTTACAGCCTCCAGAGGAGGATAAGGTGATCACTTGCAAGTTCCCAGACCCAGATGTATTATCACCACCAATCATCAGACTGCAAGAAGTTTCATTTGGCTATACCCCTGAGGATTTGCTGTTACAGAACGTTGATCTTGACATCCAAATGGATTCACGTATCGCACTTGTCGGTGCCAACGGTTGTGGTAAGACCACACTCTTGAAGGTTTTGATGGAGAAGCTAAGACCTCTGAAGGGATACGTTACCAAGAACCCTCGTTTGAGAATTGGTTACTTTGCTCAGCACCACGTTGACTCCATGGATCTGACCACATCTGCTGTTGACTGGATGTCAAAGGCCTTCCCAGGAAAGACAGATGAAGAGTATAGAAGACACCTGGGCTCGTTCGGTATCACTGGTACGCTGGGTCTCCAGAAGATGCAACTGCTCTCTGGTGGTCAGAAGTCCCGTGTTGCCTTTGCCTCGCTGTGTCTCAACAACCCACACATCCTCATCATGGATGAGCCTTCGAATCACTTGGATACTGCGGGTCTGGATGCCCTTAGCGATGCACTCAAGAACTTCAAGGGTGGTGTCTTGATGGTTTCCCATGATGTTTCCGTGATTGACAGTGTATGCAACGAGATCTGGGTGAGTGAGGGTGGAACCGTGAAGAAGTTCGACGGAACCATCTACGACTATAAGAAGTACATCCTCGCAGCTGCCGATGCCTCTGGAGTGGTCAAGAAGCACTGATTGCGGCCACAGTCGTCATCATGGCCTTCATCACCATCATCATCATCACCATCACCATCACCATCATCATCATCACCATCACCATCATCATCATGTACGTAGACAGCCTACATATGTTAGTACTGACATTTACGCACCCCTCGTCCAGTAACAGCCCTCCCCACAGGCACAGAATACCGTACAGCCCGTGCTGAAATTTACGCCAGAACTCCCAGCCACTCCACGCCACTCCACGCCCAGAAAACTCATCGTAGCCGGGCCGAGGACAAACTTCCCAGCGCCGCCGGCCCACGCCGCCTGCCCAGCGCCCGTTCAAAATTAATCACCACTATCACACACAAACAGGCTTACCTTGCACAAAAGGGGAGGGAATAACCCGATTTGCACACAAGTCTTGATCCTTTGGCAATTTACACTCAATCAGAGCATTGAAATGGCCACCATTGAAGGTCTCTACCTATCGGATGAACGAGAGTAAGTGCACCAGTGCTGTGAGGCTGCTGATTGGCTGCTGATTGGCTCGTTTACTGACCAAAGATCCAGTGCTTTGATATTTGAGTATCCAACATCACCCGGCGCGCCATCGTTTTCCACGATGCTTTCACTCGTGAAAGGCCCGTCACAGGTGGTGGAATCGCCGGTGGTTCAGGTGTCTGGCACGCATTCCGTTGTGAGAGTGACAAAGGGCCGTGTTAGTGCGCTGGCATTTGTGCGTTCGTCAGACCCTAAGCAACTGAAGCTGCAAACTCTTAGAGATGACGATGAATCCACCGTGGAGTCCTTGCAACACTCTACAAAGGAGCAGGAGATTGTACCCACCAACCCGGAGATCGTTCTCATCTTCTTGGATAGATGGTTGGACGTGTTGCAGGACTACTTTGCGCTGTCCACTCTGACTATTGAAGCGAACTACGATATCATGTGTAACTTGATGCAGGAGCTTGTGCAAGCTGGAGCACCATATATCACTGACATCAACGCGTTGAAGGAGTACGTTCCTTTCAAATCGACTTGGTCCTCTAGGATCTTGAGCACTACGAACCAGCTGGCGAAGAGCTATTCGGCTCATCAGCAGGTTGAGACCATGAGTAATGGCATTCAGAGAAACGTCCCGTGGAGACGTCCTAATGTCAAGTACACCCAAAATGAACTCTTTGTTGATATCACTGAACGTATCAACGTTGTGCTTTCACCTCGTCATCATAGACAAAAGAAAACTTTACTGAAAGGACAATATCAGCAGCAGCAGCAGCAGCAGCAGTACACCCAGGAACTCTTCACCAAAATGGCTGTCCTCGAAGGACAAGTCGACTTCACTTCACACCTCAGTGGTGTGCCTGACGTGGTAATCAACTTCAACTTGAACGGACATCGTCTCGAGAATCCATCCTTCCACAGATGTGTTAGACTGGATCGATGGTTAAACAACGGAGACACAGTCTCCTTTATACCCCCAGATGGTAAGTCCACCTTGATGCAATACACATTGGACCTTGACCAGTATAGCTCCTCCAAAGCACACAGAAACTATGGTGTCGTGATCCCTGAGTTTAGACAAGGATTGGGAGTGAAGAAGAATGAGTTTGAAATCGGTGTCAAGCTTAACATGTTGAGGAACGTGTCTAAAGTAGATAACTTGAAGATCACCATCTCAACAGAAACCGGTGCTACTGTGAAGATCCTCAGGTTGAGCCATGGTGATCTGCAAACAAAGTCCCAGGGCACGTTCGAATGGGTTTTCGATACAGAGATGTCTCTTGGAACCAATGCCTTACTTCGAGGCGTTGTAGAGCTGCCAGACTCCAACCCGAAATCTAAAGAACAGGAGGACGATGACTCTGTTCTACCTATACCTCATTGGCCAAAGACGATTGCGTTGGATTATACGATTAAAGGTGCTCTTCCTAGTGGAATCCGCGTCTCTTCTGTGAAGGTCAGTGGTCTTAATGTCAACCCATACAAGGGTGTAAAGTACGTCACCAGCGTTGGCGACTTCGTCATTAGATAATCATTTGAATGTTGTGTTTTTTCTCTCTTAAAGCTGGATGATTCCATGAGCTTGTAACTTAGTTCATAGCATTCGAAGAAGGCATCAAGGCATAAATTGTATTCGTCATAAATTAAACAAAAGAGAACAAGAGCAACAGATTGTCTACTTGGATTTCAATACTTACCTTCAGCTGAGCTCTGTTTAGAGGAAGTTTCCTCAACAACTACATCCTCTGTATTTTGTAGGTCTTCTACGACACCCAAGTCCTGTGCAACTTCAACTTCCAAGTTCTTGATATCCATCAAACCATAGACTGCGATGGTGATAAGACCAAGAATAGCAGCGATACACGAGAAAACCATTGCAACAATACCCTTACCGGTGAATCCATCTGGAATATCACCATGCTGAACGTTCTGGCCAGTCAGATCAAGGAAGTTCTCGGTGTTACCAGCAGCATTGGATTTCACGTTGATACCGTTAGCCTCACAGTTGTCAATGTGTTGCTGAGTCAATTGTTGAGCAGAGTTGTTTTGAATCTCCTCTGGGGCCTCGACAAGAACAAGAGCAAGACCCTGTACCAAGTGCCATTCGATGTGACAGTGGAACATCCACACTCCCGGGTTATCAGCTTTGAACCGCATTACAATATTGGACTGTGGACGCACATAAACAGTATCACGCATCATTGGGTACTCAGCAAACTCGGTGTGGTTGTCGTAGTCGAAATGGACAAATGGATCATCGTCATCAACTGCAGCACCTCTGTCGATGAGTTGGAAGACGTGACCGTGTAAGTGGAACGGATGCTTACCGGTATCCTCGTTGTTCAGCACAATGTCGACGATTTCGTCCTTTTGCAAGACAATGGTATGTGTGTTGGTACCGTAGACGAGCTCGTTACTGGCCAGGTCACCAGCAGCCAGCACGGTGAGCAAAGTTGGAGTCTTTGGCGCAGTGTATGTGATGTTGTTGAAGAAAGCGTAATTCACACCGTTCTTCAAGTTGTCCATAATCACAGAGATGGTGATAACGTGATCTGGATCGTCATATAACTCAACTTTGTCGTATGGAACGAGCTTCATATCATCGAGATAACAGTCATCGTCCAAGCAGTCAACGTAGTACTCCTCAACTTCTGCGTTATCAGAGGAGTAGGACATTGTGTGTGTGGTATTCAGAAGCAGTCCGCTTGGTATCAAGTCAAGCATACCATCATCAACCAATTGCATGATGGCGTAGTTCTTGGAGGTGTCATCTTTAGTTGTGATGAGAACAGTGTAACGTTGAGCAACTGTGATGTAGATCTTGTCAGTCTCATACTTCTCAACTGGAACACCATCCACTTCAACAACAGTCATGTTATGACCTTCAATGAAGAACCAGTATGAAACAAAACCACCAATGTTAACCAATCTCAAGAGATAAGTAGTGTCTGGTTCAACTTCCCATGTCATGTTCTTAGTGTTGTTCATCAAGAAGTTATTTGGAATTGGCTCAGCACCTGTTGGGTTGTACAAGTTCAAAAAGTCTGGGATAAGGACATCAGCAGTATCATGGTACCACTCCATGAAAGTCAACGTCGCAGTCTCATTGTAGTCGATGCCCTGTTTATAAGGGTAGTCGTTGTTATCCTCGCTGATGACCATCACTCCTCTCATACCATCCATGTACTGGCCAGCTGTGTGGGAGTGGTACCAGTATGAACCAATCTGATCAGGAGCGGTGAAGTTGTATGTCATCGTATGTCCAATTGGCACAGGACATTGTGTGATCATCTCTGGACCATCCATCTGGTTAGTACCGTGCTGGAACAAACCGTGGAAATGCAAGGAAGTGTTTCTATCATCAAACCCATTGTTCAAGTGCACAATGACTCTATCACCCTTGTTGACGATAACATCTGGCCATGGAAATTCACCGTTACACGTGATAACCGGTCTCTCATAACCATCGAGATTGGCAGTGCCCCAAGCAGCAGTCCAGTTGTATACATGTGTCTCAGCGAGAGCAGAGCTAGCAAGGGCACCGGCCAAGAGTAAGCTCGTCACACTGACCATAATGCGTTCCTGTAAGTGAGTTTGTGTATAATCCACAGCACAATGGGATCTTCCTTCTCTTCAAGCGGTGTGGAGGCACAAGAGCAACAACTTGTAGAAAAGGGATGACAGCTCGGTTTTATAAGGAGCATCAATGGTCCAATGGCTGGGATTGCATTGCCTATAAAATAAAAGAGGAAAAAACACGGCTTGTACGTCCTGCTAACCGAACAGACGAGACTTTGAAGGTTGTCAGCCGGATCACGAAATTGAAAGCACTTTGTTAAACTCGGGTAAGATGGCTCAAGCTTATCGGTAAACTCACTCCAAAATACCGTTCACCATCTGCTGTTCGTATACGTCACATCTGGGAGCGATAACTTGTGAATGCCTTTCAGCACTATCGGATGACGTTTGGGTAACGATGTCTGCTTCCTTTGAGCCCTCTGTTGTTGTTAGTCTTTGCATCAGGATCGGCGTCCATGGCCACTCCACTGAGCTCGGTATTGCCATGATCCAATTTGATGACAACGCGAGAGAACATGTATAGCCATAACACATGTATGTCATAACCTTATATCGCCCGCACACAGGTGATCCTTTGGCGACGAAGCTCGATCCCCTCGACCATGAGCAGTTGAAACTATACTTTGCCTCCAGGTTCTAGTCTCTCTGTCCCCCCCCCCAGCTTGACGTCAACTTGTAAAAGGGGACCACCGATGCAATGCATAGGAGGGCGTTTTTTTTTTCACGTAATATTTGTCGCGCATGTCTCATCGTCCTCCGCAAACGCTCTCACAGCATCCCCAGTCTATTGGCTTGCGAGAGAGCGTTCCTTTGATTTGAATCGAGTACAATTGAGCCGTCAGCTGGGCGCACAGTGTACATGTCATCGCACAGACAGCGTATGCCAGCCAGTAGGGCAGAACCCCCCCCCCTCTAATGGCGACATGAATTGAGCTCTATAAATGTCTCATGGAGTGTGGACTTTACATGCATTTCATAAAATAAGAAAATTTTTTAACAAAGTTTGGGCCCACAGCGCGCGCGAGCGTGCATAGAACGGACAAACGACGTGAATTAAAACGCTGATGCGCCAGTATTGTTCACCATGGGAACTATAATGGCACTTCACCGGTGACAAGTGACAGGCTCAGTTAAGGTGGTTTTTAAAGCACAACTGGGGAGTGTGGGATTTGTACATACATGGGCACACACACAAAGACACACCACTACCCGATATTATCAATGATAACGTGTGCGTTTTGTATATTAGTCCGTGTGATAAAAAGATGCAGGGTGGTGTCTTGTCTGTACATCCGGACACCCAGACATTTCTAATATTGCTTCGCGGACGCTGCCATTAACTCCATGTCGCTCACACACAGCGTACCGTGGACACACGTTTATAATTCAGTTAGAGCTGTGTCCTCCATTGAATTGAAACGTATGTATATAGTCCGATATCTCGGTGTAGCAAATGTAATAAGATTATATTTCCTTATAGATTTATGGGGTACGATGGAGGTGTAATGTTGTGTAGCTTGCTGTAAGTAGACCATCAAATATTCTGATGATAAATGTACACACTCTTTTTTCTTTAATGATAGATAATTTCATCCAAAAATGTATAATATAAGAAGCCTCATCAGGTTATGTTAATGCCATTACAATAACATAGTTAATACGACATAATAACATGCGTTATCTATTTAGTGCTAGGGCTATAATGGCGACAGAACAGTGGATATTGGGACCTTTAAGTATGGTCTCCCTAGTTTGACGTTACACATTGGACTGTACATATACGTGTCCATATACAGCTGCAAGTCAGAATCTGACTATGGTTATACAGGACATGTCTATTTACAACAATCAATACTAAAAGAAGGTGTAGAATTAACAATCGAGAAAACAAGCATATATACTGCAGAGAATGAATTCAGCGCTTGATATCGTCAGAACTCTGCTTGGAAGAGGAATCCTCAACCAACTCTTCAGCCACACCTAGGTCTTGTGCAACTTCAACTTCCAAGTTCTTGATATCCATCAAGCCATAGACTGCGATGGTGATGAGACCAAGAATGGCTGCGATGCATGAGAAAACCATTGCAACAATACCCTTGCCGGTGAATCCATCTGGAATATCACCATGCTGAACATTCTGGCCAGTCAGATCAAGGAAGTTCTCGGTATTACCAGCAGCGTTGGATTTCACGTTGATACCGTTAGCCTCACAGTTGTCAATGTGTTGTTGGGTAAGTTGCTGGGATTCAGTATTCTGGATCTCCTCTGGGGCCTCGACAAGAACAAGAGCAAGACCTTGGATCAAATGCCATTCGATGTGACAGTGGAACATCCACACTCCCGGGTTATCGGCTTTGAACCGCATCACAATATTGGACTGTGGACGCACATAAACGGTATCACGCATCATTGGGTACTCAGCAAACTCGGTGTGGTTGTCGTAGTCGAAGTGGACAAATGGATCATCGTCATCAACTGCAGCACCTCTGTCGATGAGTTGGAAGACGTGGCCGTGTAAGTGGAAAGGGTGCTTACCGGTATCCTCGTTGTTCAGCACAATGTCGACGATTTCGTCCTTTTGCAAGACAATGGTATGTGTGTTGGTACCGTAGACGAGCTCGTTACTGGCCAGGTCACCTGCAGCTAGCACGGTGAGCAAAGTTGGGGTCTTTGGCGCAGTGTAAGTGATGTTGTTGAAGAAAGCGTAGTTCACACCATTCTTCAAGTTGTCCATAATCACGGAGATGGTGATAACGTGATCTGGATCGTCATATAAATCAACTTTGTCGTATGGAACGAGCTTCATATCGTCGAGATAACAGTCATCGTCCAAACAGTCAACATAGTACTCCTCAATTTCTGAGTTATCAGAGGAGTAGGACATTGTATAAGTCGAGTTCAATATTAACCCACTTGGAAGTAAATCCAGCATACTATCATCTGCCAATTGCATGATAGCATAGTTTTTGGAGGTATCACCTTTAGTCGTGAGGAGAACGGTGTAACGTTGGGCCACGGTGATATAAATCTTGTCAGTCTCGTACTTCTCAACTGGTACACCATCTACTTCAATAACAGTCATGTTATGACCTTCAATAAAGAACCAATAAGAGACGAACGCACCATAATTCACTAATCTCAAGAGATAAGTAGTATCTGGTTCAACTTCCCATGTCATGCTTTTAGTGTCGTTCATCAAGAAGCTATCTGGAATTGGCTCAGCACCTGTTGGGTTGTACAGGTTCATGAAGTCAGCACGCAGAACATCGATAGTGTCATGATACCAATCCGTAAAAGTCAAAGTTTCAGTCTTATTATAGTCAATACCTTTCTTGTAAGGGTAAGAGTCATCATCTTCGTTGATAACCATTACTCCTCTCATACCATCTGTGTATTGACCAGCCGAGTGGGAGTGGTACCAGTATGAACCAACCTGATCAGGGACTGTGAAGTTATATGTCATCGTATGACCAACCGGGATTGGACACTGAGAAATCATATCTGGACCATCCATCTGGTTAGTACCGTGCTGGAACAAACCGTGGAAATGCAAGGAAGTGTTTCTATCATCAAATCCATTGTTCAAGTGCACAATGACTCTATCACCCTTGTTGACGATCACATCTGGCCATGGATATTCACCGTTACACGTGATAACTGGTCTTTCAAAGCCATCAGGACTAGCAATACCCCAAGCAGCAGTCCAGTTGTATACATGTGTCTCAGCGAGAGCAGAGACCACAAGGGCACCAGCAGTGAACAAACCCTTCACACTAACCATCATGTGTATATGACTGGAAGAGGACAATAGATGAGGCTTCTAGAAGAGTCAGGACCTCACCATCTCCAACTGACATATTTCAAAACGAGCGAGTTCAGCTCTTTATATAGACGACAATGAGACTTTCCAGATAATCTGCACAGAGGTGATACAGCCTCTTCAGGGACTTGCCATAGGCTTATTTATTATTTTTCCTTCAAACCTTCCATGTCCTGAGGGTCTTGGACGCATGATTTGGAGAATTGGCGGCCTCTGGATGTAGTTAGTACCTATCGGCCTCTGAAGCCTAGATCAATTTGTCGAATGTCTTGTCTTGAAAGAATGAGACTCAGTCTCTCTATTAATGTCCCACAACATGGTCCCATGAGACATGCAAGTTATAGGCAACGTCCTAAAACCGTTCCTGAGGACATGAGTGATGTATTTCAATTACAGTGGCCAGGATAAATTGCCCTTTTCAAATACCTGGTGTGATGGTTTTAGTTGCAAGCGTGCATCGCACACTTCAAGCTTCACAAGCTTCTCCATGTGCTCGACCACGACACTGATGGGCACATTAGAGTCCAGTGAGCGGTCTCTAATGGTGTCGAACCATCATAAATAGACCAATATGACCATAACGGACAAAAAACCAGATGATCTTAGTCCAAACAAGACCCTGATTGTCTTTGTGATTAAAGTTTAAAACTTGGTCTGAAACCAGAGGCCGACCAAGGATGGGTCAGCGCGTAGTTCGAATCGCATAGTCCAATTGGCGGCATTATAATATGCCGTGAGGGTCTCAGGATGTGCAGAAAGGGTTGCAAGTTTAACAGGTACGTACATGAATGTTTACTTTGAAGGCCTGAACCCATTTTATATGGCCATTATTGATGGTTATTCGATCATTGGTGGTTTGGTGAGTTTTCTCTACAAGTAAACACCGCACAAACGCCGGTGACCTCTTTACACCCGTACACCAATCCACATACCATATGCGTCTGGTGTTTATGCTTTCCCCTACGACCCTTGCTGTTGACCAAAGACCCTTGCGCCGAAGAATAATGTACGCTCGTAACGACCTTGATCACCTGGGCCCTGAGACACACGATGCCCGATTCTAGGTATTGGGTACTATGATACATTAAGTTGGAAGATTTCAAGAGAGGTTAGGACCTCTTTGTTAATCTGAGCCTGGCTCTATATTTAAACCACGAAGTCAAGAGCTTTTATA